TGCCGAGCCCCAATGCGGTTTCAGGAAAGGGCGGTCCTGGACAGATGCCATACTTTCTGTCCGTCTGCTACAGCAGAGGTGTAGGGAATTCCAACAACACCTGCATCTCTGCTTTGTTGACCTGGTCAAGGCCTATGATACCATCAGTAGGCCTGGGTTATGGGTTGTTCTTCGTTTTTTCAGAGTTCTTTCAGAGTCATGATGGTGAGCGGGCCTGGGTAAAACTACGTGGACGGGAGTCGGAGCCATTCCCTGTACACCTTGAGCTGTGACAGGGATGTCCTCTGGCTCCCACATTATTTAACATCTACAGTGAGGGAAAAAAAGTATTTGATCCCCTGCTGATTTTGTGCGTTTGCCCACTGACAAAGAAATGATCAGTCTATAATTTTAATGGTAGGTTTATTTGAACAGTGAGAGACAGAATAACAACAAAAAATTCAGAAAAACGCATGTCAAAATGTTATAAATTGATTTGCATTTAAATGAGGGAAATAAGTATTTGACCCCTCTGCAAAACATGACTTAGTACTTGGTGGCAAAACCCTTGTTGGCAATCACAGAGGTCAGACGTTTCTTGTAGTTGGCCACCAGGTTTGCACACATCTCAGGAGGGATTTTGTCCCACTCCTCTTTGCAGATCTTCAAGTAATTAAGGTTTCGAGGCTGACGTTTGGCAACTCGAACCTTCAGCTCCCTCCACAGATTTTTTTTTATGGGATTAAGGTCTGGAGACTGGCTAAGCCACTCCAGGACCTTAATGTGCTTCTTCTTGAGCCACTCCTTTGTTGCCTTGGCCGTGTGTTTTGGGTCATTGTCATGCTGGAATACCCATCCACGATCCATTTTCAATGCCCTGGCTGAGGGAAAGAGGTTCTCACCCAAAATTTGGCGGTACATGGCCCCGGCCATCGTCCCTTTGATGCGGTGAAGTTGTCCTGTCCGCTGAGCAGAAAAACATCCCCAAAGCATAATGTTTCTACCTCCATGTTTGACGGTGGGGATGGTGTTCTTCGGGGTCATAGTCAGCATTCTTCCTCCAAACACGGCGAGTTGAGTTGATGCCAAAGAGCTCCATTTTGGTCTCATCTGACCACAAAACTTTCACCCAGTTGTCCTCTGAATCATTCAGATGTTCATTGGCAACTTCAGACGGGCATGTATGTGTGCTTTCTTGAGCATGGAGACCTTGCGGGAGCTGCAGGATTTCAGTCGTTCGCGGCATAGTGTGTTACCAATTGTTTTTTTGGTGACTATGGTCCCACCTGCCTTGATATCATTAACAAGATCCTCCCGTTTAGTTCTGGGCTGATTCCTCACCGTTCTCATGATCATTGCAACTCCACGAGGTGAGATCTTGCATGGAGCCCCAGGCCGAGGGAGATTGACAGTTATTGCGTTTCTTCCGTTTGTGAATAATCGTACCATCTGTTGTCACCTCACCAAGCTGCTTGGCAATGGTCTTGTAGCCCATTCCAGCCTTGTGTAGGTCTACAATCTTGTCTCTGACATCCTTGGATAGCTCTTTGGTCTTGGCCATGGTGGAGAGTTTGGAATCTTGATTGATTGCTTCTGTGGACAGGTGTCTTGTATACAGGTAACAAGCAGAGATTAGGAGCACTCCCTTTAAGAGTGTGCTACTAATCTCAGCTCGTTACCTATGTAAAAGACACCTGGGAGCCAGAAATATTTCTTATTGAGAGGTGGTCAAATACTTATTTCCCTAATTAAAATGCAAATAAATTTATAACATTTTTGACATGCGTTTTTCCGAATTTTTGTTGTTATTCTGTCTCTCACTGTTCAAATAAACCTACCATTAAAATTATAGACTGATCATTTCTTTGTCAGTGGGCAAACGTACAAAATCAGCAGGGGATCAAATACTTTTTTCCCTCTGTTCTTCGACCACGTAGTTCGTGAAGCCTTCAATAGCTGTATCGGAGGAATTTCCATCTGGTACAGATACAATGGGAGGCTGATCAATGCCCGGGTGCGGTCAAGGGATGGCTCCCTATTGCCCAACCATGTTATGTATGCTGATGATCTGGTAAATGCTGCTCACTCAGAGGACGAGTTGGAGGCGCTGCTGCTGAACCTGGAGCTTGCCACTAAGAGGTGGGGACTTACCATCAGCCCCACCAAAACTAAGCACCTGCCTGGGTATTGTCCCATCGGACACTCCACCCTCACAACTCCTAATTGGTGATAGGGCAGTAGTGGAGAGAGTGGAGAGTTTTCCATACCTGGTCAGTGTGCTCATGACCAGCTCCGGTTTAACAGCAGAGAGTTCTCACTCCGAATCAGTCGAGCGGCATTATCTTTTAATTTGTTGCGTAACGCTTTGTGGAAGCTACCTGGTCTGTCGCTCCGCACGAAGCTTCAGGTCTTCTCGGCCACAGTCATTCCCTCCCTTCTCTACGCTTGCGAAACGTGGACCTCCCTAATGAAACATTCGCCGGTTAGAAACATTTAGGCTGGCCTGCCTACGATCCATCCTGGGTTTAACCAGGCTAGATTGTGTGAGGAGCTCACAAATCCATCAGTGAGCTCCTCCGGCCGTCAAGGCTGCATTGGCTGGGCCATGTATCCCGCAAGCCCAGCTACCGCATGCCGAAACAGCTTTTGTTCGACCGGATCGAGGGGGCTAAACGGGCGCGGCACGGTCTAGAGAAGAGATGGAGTGAGAAGGATGTGGAGCTGAGTGGACTTGCCGATGACTGGTACCAGCGGTGTCAAGATCGGCCTCTGTGGAGGAGGCTCGTGAAGGACGCTACTGGGCAGTTGGAGGCAGTCGCCCTCCAACAACAATGGAGGGCGGAGGAGTGACGCTGACAACGAGCGGAGCGCCAAGTGGCTAAAGCACAGCAGGTTGGCACAGTAGGGGGCACAGGTGGTGTATCAGCCAGTCGTCTGTCAGTCGACCTCTGGCATCTGGGTCTGCCTCGTTATCTCTAGGCAGCGGGAGTTCGACACTTCACGTGGCCTCAAGGTGCACATAGCCTGCACAAGCGTCGTGGTGATGTCACCGCCACTTAGTGGCGAATAGCGGCTGTTGTTGTGTGTGACAACCGCTGTGTTTGTTTGTGTTCGTCCATTGTGTGTGCGGTGTGTGTTTAAGTCGATGTGTGTGTGTCAGTCGATGTGTGTGTGTTAGTCGATGTGTCTGTGTGTGTGGGTCCATTTGTGTCGGTCGATGTGTGCGTGTTAGCCAATATGTGTGTTTAAGTCCATATGTGTGTGTGTAGGTCGATGTGTGTGTGTGCGTAAGTCAATGTGTGTGTGTGTGAGTCGCTGTGTGTCTGTACATTGATATGTGCGTCTGTAAGTCGATGTGTGTTAGTCCATGTGTGTGAGTCCATGTGCGTGTGTGCGTCCATGTGTGTGTGTGTAAGTCCATGTGTGTGTGTGTAAGTCGATGTGTGTGTGTGTAGATCGATGTGTGTGTGTGTGAGTCGCTTTGTGTGTGTGTGTGCAAGTCGATGTGTGTGTGGGTCGATGTAAGTGTGTGTGAGTCGATGTGTGTAAGTCCATGTGTGTGTAAGTCTGTGTCTTTTTCGCCCGGGCAACGCCGGGTACTTCCCGCGAGTAAAAAAATAAAACATTAAGATTTTTACACTGATCTGTGTTATAACTGTAATTTATGTATGATTCCAATCATTTTTATAGTCAAAAATCGACAAATTTTCGGGGCTCTGCTGCAAATACAGGGAGAGATGAGAGGTGAGGAAGCGACGAGCTCAGCCTCCCTTCTGATTGCGCAACCCCTCAGTAACTGGATGGAGCGTGGCCAATAAGCGCGTGCCTTTTGCTATCTCAGTATGTCACCAATGTAATGTTTGTAGACCCCTTCATTTCATGTCCTCGCCTTCCATAGTCCAGGTAACTTATTTCACGTATATGTGTATAAAAAAATATTTAGGCTCGCTGGTCTCGTCATAAAACTGCAATGAAAAAGCACAAAGGGGGGCAGCTATCACATCTGCCTCAGAGGGGGGCGTGTCATACACGCCCCCGTCAGTGTGTAAATCTGGCTCTGATACTAGCCAGTGCCTCCCAAGCCATTGACCTCACCGCACGTCACTGGATATAAATGCCCCACCCCCCATAAAAGAACGTATAGCTGTGTTAAAAACGTTTTTTATGTTACACTAATGAATAATTTTGTATTTCTGTTCTTTAGAGATACGTTGAATGCGTTTTATCATGGAATGTTTTCATCGGCTGAGTGGTCCGCGGGCCCAAAAAGTTTGAGGAACACCAGTCTAAAATATGCAGTGATAAAATGTCCTATATGTGGGTCACCGGAAATCAGAAACGAGGGACGATGGGAAGGGAGCCCGAGGTTCCATTGCACGGAGTGGCGATACAAAATGCTCCCAGGGAGCGTTTTGTATTTTGTTGGTTTCTGTGGTGGCAAAAAACAGACTGGAGTTTGAGAATGAGAATTCGGAGTGTGCTGGTATCTGCCTCGAGATTAATAAATATTTTCCAATTATTGGTTTCCACCAAAAATTAAGGGTAACTGTCTTTCCACCAGCATGTTATAGTAAACTAAACTATTTTGTGTTATTTTATCAGGTAAGGCCCACTGAGATATATCTCTTTTTCAGAAGTGACCTGGGTATCAAAAATGATAGCTCAACTAAGTAGCTTATCGTCACGTGGAAATGTATAGCAGCCAAATATACTAAACGCGTGATTTTGATTCTAAATTTAGAGAGAAAAACCGGAGGACCCAGAGACAAATCCACGTGACCACGGGGAGAACACGCAACTCCAAATATACAGCAGGCATTAGGTCGGAATTCAACCCATGACCTCCTACATACCAGGCGAGGTAGTTAACATCTTGCTATCTCATCATTAGTGGTTCTATTGCTCTGCTATATGACCTCCAAGCCAGCCTAATTGGTCGTCTAAGTGGTGGATATCAAATGGTCCATGAAGAGTATTAGTAAAATGATGAAAGAGGCTTTGAAGTAAGAACAAAGTAAACCTTTTGACATGCCGACATATCTTTATTTCATAAATAGCAATAAATAAACTCCGCTGGGAGTACACATAGCCACCAAATAAATACAGCAAATCATTACAATCTATGACACTAAAACCACGTACAAAGCATATAGAGGACAGCACATTGTTAGTCACATGCCATAGAGCACAAGACAATGGCTCGAACACTGTAGAATATCTACAGCATATACAATGTGCGCTCGCACACACACGATGGGCTTCCCTGCTCCGATGATCACAAATGATAGCGAAGCAAGCAAGCGCTTACCACTGTACAACGCTGTGCTTATCCTAGGATACACTCCCGACTAAACGGCAATTCTAAACACGGCGGTGTTAGATTTAACACAGACACGATCAACAACACCTTAAACTCAGATTGAGGCAATATTTTGGTTTTCAAGGCCTTGTTTTAAAGATAGCATTTTTTTTGTATATCGGTCACGTCCCTTGTGGCGCATTTAAGCGCTCAAGAACTCGCAATGCATTGTTATGCAAACGCACACAATATGTGCAAATGAAAACATTTAAAGTTGCTCCGTACGATGGGAAACAGCCAGAGTATTATGGGAAAAGCTTGATCGCACAGATGGTATGCATGCAAAGCAGTCTGAACTAACCTGCAGCGTGCCTTTAGACCACGTGATGTGAGTAAAGCTAATCCACCCCGGTATCACTCTGTCAAGGTTCACCACAGTGCCACCATCCATTTTATTTGCAAGGTATTGTGGGATTTTTGCCTTTGTTCTTCGTGACCTAACGTATTTCTACATTCAGCGCATTGAATATTTAAGTCTAGGAATGCACACGTTATTTTCTAGCCGATTCTTTACCAACATTAAGCTTGTTCATGTAAACAATGTCACTTCAAGGTCCTTGAAATTGGTTCAAATGTGCCACGTGATGCAGGTAAATTTTTGCACAAGCAGTGAACATTGGTAGTAAAAAAAAAGAGGAAAAACCTATTATCATTGGTAGTAGACTTAAGGTCGTGGACTTGAGGAGATTGTCAGTATAAACGAGTACGTATTAGGACGGACTGTGTTTCCATTTAGTATTTTTCTTCAAGCTAAAGCTATGCACTATGTTCATGAAAGTTAAAGGCGCAGCCGTGCAATTTCTTATTCGTGTCATTGCTGCCGGAAAGGCCTCCACTAGAGGGAGCTCTAGAGAAGCCCCAACGGTGGCCAAACGTCCTGGGAGAGAGTAAGGCCTAACACTACAATTGTCAGTCCCAACTCTTATACTAAACAATCCCTTCCACCTCTTTCACAATCCAGGTAACCGTAGCAAACATTTGCCAAGAATACAAAAATGTACGCCATGAAAAAGTTTGTCAGGTGAAATTTAAGAAAAATGGCAGTTTCTTCCATAACACCTGGGCCATATGATAAGGAAATACGCCGTGCTCTGGTGTGGTCCGTTTACATCCCCCCCCACCCCCCGCAAATCCTGAAAGGCCTCCGAAACATTCGGCCCAATTTGTGTCCGGAAGCGTGTTTCCACTAACACGATGCAGCAAAAGGGGGAAAAAAGTGCATTAAAAACACAAGGCCACAGCAGACTAAACAGAGCATTAAGGTCCACCAGGCATAAACTCTTTATGCGAATACAATCAACGGCAGTGAAGTGTTCAGGAACCTGAGGAATACGATCCCATGACCGAGAAGAGCCAATTAGAAATTCTGCTAGCTGACTGTATATGAAGTCTAGATTTATAACGTCCGATTCCTTTCTATATATTAAAACAACTGCTTTGTGGAAGCAAAAGTGGTTTGGAAGCAAAGAAGCAGCACTGCCGATCGGGGAAAACGTAAATCCACACACATAAATACGGTCACGTATTAAGACTGTAAAAGTGCCACTTGCCAGTCAGACAAAAAATAAGGCACTGGCGCTCCAGTTTCTGTTTTAGTTTGCCAAGCCATATAAAAGTCGACAAATGTTACAATTGTTAACCAATACCTGTGTTCTAAAATGTTTTTTTTCAACAAAAGGCCATTCGTAACCCTTTCACAAAGCACGACGACCACGTAAGCACGTGGACATTGTTAGACCAATTGCAAGAGAACAGAACGTGGCAGTTGTTGAATCAAGGACATCTTTTCTTGCTGTATTTGTTGTAGGAAATGTAGAACATGGCAGGTGCAACGCCTCATATTTTTTTTCTCTGTGGTCAATGTTGGGATTATGGGCATCTGTAGGTGAATTTATTCTAACACTTGATTTTATCGTTTTTATTCATTTGACGCACGTTAAGTAAACATTTACTGGTAAGTTGTAAACTGAGTGTACCAGCCTGCAATAGATTAATGTGTCCGTCCGTCCGTCCCCTTTCAATACTTTAACGAAGTGAAATCTCGTGCTGTTGGGGTGTAAAAATAAAATTGCGCAAAATTCCAATGTTCCTACCAGCCCACCCTGCAGGGACCTGTTAATAGCAAACAAGAATAACCGGTCGAACTTGTCACTGGAAAAACTGAGTAAATCAGATATATTCTCACTTGGCAATCCACTTCGATAACATTCATGAACATGATGTAAAGCGTGCCAATACAAATGTTTAGCGTTGCAAGGCACGACAAACGATACAGTGTATGGCACAATTGCCGGAGGAAACCCATGACGACCATGGCCCTTGCAGGAGCTGGCAATTCCACACGCTGTGACTCAGCTGGGTCTGTCAAACCCAAGCACGAGGCATTCACAGCTTGGGAACTGAACTTGTGACCTCCACACGCTTGGGAGGGCGAGTGAACAAACAGCCCACCTTTGTGACAGTCCTCAAAAGGAACACCACAAGACCTGCAGGTCAGCACCACGCTCTGTCTGCCGACACAAGACAATGTTAACAGAATTCTCGGTCGGGTAACTCACAACTCTATCCCACGGAGCACGGGCGGCAGCATTCAGGTGCAACCACAAGGACGAGATGACCGGATGTGCGACTGTGGACGCACAAGACGAGTGGCTTATGCCAGCCAGTCTGCCTCTGCTCACAAACCCTACGATTGCATTTACAGCTCCAAATGTCAATGGTTTCATTGATCATGAACACATTCACTGCATTGCCATCATGTTAATAAACATGTATCATGGTAATAACATGTATCATGGTAATACACATGTACAGGAATGCAGAGGTTGGTGGCACAGGTAACCTTTTCAGCAGGGGGGGAAGGTCATGTTCCGTACCACATTACACTATTATACATGGGTCCCCGTGGCTACTCGCTTTTCCAACTTAAGAATAATTCCCACGTACCGGATCAACACTGATCAAGTATGGAATCCATGGTCACCGGATGAAGACAGTTCTGTAAAACGCAGTTTCATCTACATCGCGGTTTGATGTCCGTAAAGGTGTGGCAGTGAAGTACGTTTTGGTATTCGCACCGTTCTTATGGCACCAATGCCATCACTCGAAAGCGCTACGTTTATGCCTTGTGAGCTGCCACAGATCCGGCTGACGGTGACAATCTATGAACAGTGAACCGGCAGCAGAGCTCCGCGTAGATTTTGCCGAACGGCGCAAACCTACGGGGGCCGTGGCCTCGAAGTCTCGGCGCCTGGGAACGATCGGGGCAACTCTACGCTGGCGACAACCGGAGTTGTCGTAAACTCCGGTTATCATCAACTCGGCCTGCTAGTTTGAGCGAAGTCATTTAAAACTAAACACACACACAACTGGTGTAAAGATTTTATGACTTATAATTGAATTCCTCGAAACCTGCCCATGTCCGTCACCATGGCGATGGCTACGTGGGTCGTGCATCACCCCTGATTTGGCAGAGTCCCCAGGTATTTCGTTTGCCAACATCTCGGCTGGAGTTCGTTTTGAATGCTTCTGTGCGTTTGCGCTCCCAAAGGCCGCGCACGATTTTCTGTTTTGGAAACTTAATTATATCACGGACGTGTTGCCGACATTCCAACCGGTCAATCTTGCCATCTATGCCATTCAGAGACGGATGATACACCTCCGTGCATGCCTTGAAAGCTTTGTCTTGTGTTTTGACAACTGTGTAAGTTATGTAGGATCGGATATTGTCGCCTGGGAAATGTTGTCATCAACAGGAAGAAGAGGAGTATCAACATGCCTTAAATCATTGAACATATTGGTTGTTATAGCAATAAATTAATGTAACGTTAAAACTAAACTTCATGTCTTTCTGTAGCACTGCTTTTACCAACAACCATAGACAATAAAAACGAAATGACTGTTCATTTATGTACATGCAGTAATGCTATTTAATAATAGGATGTGACGGAATAAAAAGGGAACCTAACAGCATACAGTACAGTATTTAAACTAAATTAGTTGTTTGTTGTCCTTCCCCCACACCTCCGATTATCATAGTTGACGATGTAGGGTGCGAAAGAAGTTCAACATACATACAGTTATGCTTTTAAATCTTAACCCAGCAGAGCCTCACCGATTCTCAATGCTGTTTGGGGAGGGTTTTGTTGGAGATATTTTTTTTTTACCACAGTAATATTGTGCATGGGGAAAGCAGGGTGCATGCAGATAACCCACGTAAGAGTGGTCAACTTTTTTCTTTATAAAAAAAACTATTTTGATGCATTGGCGGTACACCGGTGCAGCATAACATCACACCGGTGCAGCATAACATCACACCGGTCCTCATAACATCACACCGGTGCAGCATAACATCACACCGGTCCTCATAAAACAGTCTCGACGATGTCGCTGTTGCCCTTGAGCGAGCTCCAGGACTCTCCATCAGAAGTTGCACTCAGATTCAACAGCTGCTGTCCCCATTCCAACGTGTGACACCACGAGTCATCATCTTTTTATGCCACCGTCCGCACAAAAAAAGATGATTCCGGAAATGAATCGAGGAACCGTCCGACCAAGTCTAGGGCACCAGGAGTCAAACCTTGCCTTTGGAACACCGATCCGATCCTCACCAGGCTGGGTGCTGCTGTACGGCAACAGACTGAACCTTCTCGTTCAGCTGCTGATAACATTCGCCTTCCGACTGCTTCGACATCACGACAACTGATTTTGACGCACCACCGCGCAAGATTTTATGAGCGGGGTTGCGAATCGCGGGAAAATAATGATTACGAAAAATTAGCTTTTTTTTTATACTGACGCACTACCGGTGTACCGCTACTACGCTAATTTACCGAAACCTGGAGCCGATATTTCCATCAAATAAAAACTTTTTGGTCCCATAATTTCCAACTCTGCACCCATATCGTTGTGTCCCTACCAACCCCCAACCTTTTGCGGCCGAGGCGTGCAAGCCAGGCATGGTGCACCCTCTTCTGGCCAGAAATCTTGGCAAGTTCAGGGTGGGGGTAGCGGGTGAAGAAATGTTCCTAAAAACGATATTTGTGCAGGGTGAAAATTATTAAAGTAACAAGCGTTACAAAGCTCGGCATTGGTCGACACCATCGATACTGATTCATTATAATGGTCTACATATACAACATTATTAATAACCACAAGTTCCCCTGGACTATATAAACACTCCCAGCTCAGAAAATGAATGTAATTAATTTCGAAACAATTTCCTTGTCTTTCTGTTGCAGTAAAATGTCTTAAAAATAAGTTATCAGATGATGTAACGTGCACATTTAAGGTTCGCATAAAACATTATTTAAATATAAAGCTGTAAATAAAACACACAAACCAAAATGACCTTGCATATTAAAAAAAAGACAAGCCAATGAATTATTCAACAACATTGAAACTCATTAAATGGCAAAATCAGCTTAGCCAAATTGAAATTACCTCCGATGAAAAAAAAACATCGATACAAAAATAATTTTAAAGACAAAGCCGAATCCGTCACATATATCCGCTTAAGCACGAAACGTAAAGAAACGCGACCAAAACATTCCAAATGCAAAAAATTAAAACCAAAGGTTCATCCAAATAATGATGAGATACCAAAAGCTGCCAAACAAACAAAAAACAGAAAAACCGGGGCCGACTTGGCACCGTTCTTAAATGTGGGCAAATGCTCGGCACTGCTGCCCTTTTCAAGCACTGTCTGACTATGGGAAGGCTCCTTCCATTGGCACCGCTGGACAAGCAATCGGTAAGAAAGGTTAAACAATGGAATACATATCCCAGCGACAGGAGCCAAAATATGTAACAATTAATATGTACGTAAATTCACGTATAAAAGGAAAGCATCGCTAAGCCTCGAGACTTTTTCAGGAGCATCTTTACGAGAGGATGTTTGTCCATTTCCACGGTTAGGAGTGTTTGAATGTATGTTATGTATGCGAGAAAGCCAGAGAACCCAGAAGACAAAAACACCCACGTTTACAAGATAACGGCGAAAAGATCTGAACAGACAGGTGAACGACCCATTTGCTGTACTGCCGTCGCCTGGCCATACCCAAGTGGGATTTGGGAGTTTCACAGCTTTCCATTGCGCCTTTAAGTCGTATTCTTTGGGTCTTTCGGTAAGTCTTGTTTTAAATGCATTAGATTACAGGAAATGACCCCAGTGTAACTTGTAAGCCTAATGATTTAAGAATATGCGTGCGCACTACCCGCTTTAAAGCCACCGGCTTCAAAAGGCACAGGAAGCTCCGTTGGGTTTGCTTATATACCTTGGCAGCAACTCAACACGGCACATGTATACTACCTTCACACTCACTAGAGATTATCTGTGCAGCGTAAGCTCGTGCAAGCTCTAACGGCATCGTTTGTGCTTTGTGTTTTTATCCATGTAGCTATGTTTTTTTTTACATTCGTATGCATCATCGTGATCCATGGGAGATGGCCCCAGAGGTGTTTCCACTTTCCTCTGTCTTGTGTCAATATGCTCAAGTGGCGGCCACATCTTCCTGACACCAACCTCTTGTGTGGTCGTCAAGCCATTCTCTCGTATGCATTGATATAAAATAAATTCCATGTTTTTTCCCGGCTGCAATTGCCAATGACCTGTAACCTACAAGTCAACGAAAAGCTGTTGCTTTGATGTTTGTTAACTTATACTTCATACAGTGGTAAGAATCTACTTAAGGGACACCGCAGTACAGACAGTACTTGATATTAAGGGATCTTTTAACGTCTGGATCTTTAGCATCTTTAACGGCCGTTTTACAGCAGAAGACACCCTAGTAATTAAGATAACACCAATTATGGAAAAAAACCCCGTCATTGTCATGGGAAAACACACTCGTGCAAACACTCACAGGATAGCAAGGCAGGAGATGTATGTAATCCAGGTTGCACCTTTACCCATGATCATTTTACTTGTGGCTCCAAATTTACACTACTAGGAAATACTGAACATTCTATGGCCTTGTTCGGTCGCATTTGGACATGGCAACCAATTCATTTTACATGCTCTGGAGTTTGAGAGCGGACACCCACCTTCTGGCTAGTAATATTGTGCCCGTGGGGGGGGGGGGGCAGTACAGCAAGTAGGTTCACGACCGACTGTCCATGCGATTTTGAGCATTCTCCATTCACGTGCCTCTGGTTTCTCCTCACAACTCCCCTTTTTTCTGCAACGTGCATTAAAACACTCAAGGGATTGGTCCCACAGCCCAAGCATTATCCCTCAGCGTCAGTTTTGAAGACTAAAATGAGGATTACCTCGTGTAACGATAAAAAAAATAACAAAAGTAAGTTGTTACACGCAAGCAACAAGGCTGCTGCTGCTGCTGCTGCTGCACTGGCGGTAAACACAAGGCAGTCAACGTGTGTATTGCTATTAGGTGGTTCGCAGTAAAAATGTAATGGAGTGACGTGCATTATTCACTTCATAAAATGTCTCTGCTGTTTTGTAAGTATTCAATTTGTTCAACATAAAGAAACACAACTGAAATAAAAAAAAAATGTATTTTACCAGACAAGGCCCCTTGAGCTATATAGCTTTTTTTTATATATCAGAAGTGACCTGGCCACAAATGATAGCTCAACGAAGTGGCTTATCACGTTGAAATTTATAGCAGGAGCCAAATACTCCGAACGCGTGTTTCTGAAGTCTTCACAGTGGGCGTGGGTTTGGATCAGTAGGCAGCACGAGCCACAGGTGGGGGTGGACAACGTTGGAAAGTTGTAGTTGCCGTGGAAAGCGAGCCCCCCCTTTTCTCATCACAAGAGACCACGAAGCCACTGCCAGTCCCCCAGGAGTGGCTTTGCTCAACGTGGATGGATTCCGAGTGAAATGTGACGCCGCTACAGAACAAGGGTTCAGCGCCTGTGTCACGCTTCGCCACAGCACGAACGGCATGATTAGATGGGCGATACGAAAATGCAAAATTGTTCAGGGCACGGCCACGTTTTTCCACGTGGTTACAAGGCTTAAAATAATAAATCCAGAAGACGGGTGCACAGCACGTTGCTGAGACACATGCAGGATGTGTATCTCTTAGACAGTGCAACGTGTTTGAAACCGTATGATTGAGAACTGTGCACTTTGAAAAACGGAGTATGGAGATGTGGCATCTCAAATTGGAGCTTTTCACATCCATGAAGTGTTGTGTCAAAAAAGAAAGGCTCTCAGTAAAGCAAGAAAGTGTGTCGGCATCACTACATAACCAAGAGACCACCTCTGGCAAACTTTGTGAACTTTGCAACCTTGAAAAAGTGCGTCAATCGATCCATCTAAAAGGCTCAACGCAGGAAAGCCCAGGCAGTTTCAACTGCATCAGACTGACGACACAAAGTGCCGTGCTTCATGAGAACTCTTCCTACAAAGTGATATTCTTAATGCATCATCGTGCTTCCCACCAAATTCCAGTTGCGATATGGGATTTGCGATGTAAAACTGCAATTTTTCTTAATGACGGAAATGTCCTTATCCGATGTTTTAAGACGAGTGTATCTATACACAACACCGTGGCTGCTTTCCCAGTCTCCTCATTACCCAAAGGAGGTACCCAACTCAATTGCACATTCAGAATCCACGATGAGGCAGTAGGCATCAGTGTGGGGTCGTCTACGCACGGGATCCGCCAAGTGGGTCCATGAGGGCGAAGCCGTTTCTGTAAAGCGGATTCTGTTGCACCTGTATTTCCGACTACACAACTGCTCTTCATTATCAGTTGAGTTCCCACGAACGGCGTTATTGTGAGTAATCTGTTATAAATCCAAAATATTATATTTTTGGGGAAAGTGTGCTTTATGTGCAATATATGCAGTGTAATTTCTACGAATTAATGCAATAATAATATCCTATATATATTCAGGGAAGTCTCAGCAAGTTTCAGGAAGGTCCTGGCATTGAGAGACGTTTGGCCAACCCCTTGCTAACAACGTTTGCGAGAGCGAGAGAATAACCGAGTTGTGTGTAACGATGGTTTCACGAACCCACCTTTGTCGTACGACCACCTCCTGGCCACCTCGCAGCTCAGCAGGGTTTGGAGACTGAATACGAGAGACGCAAACCCCTGCCTCCAAAGTGCTGATACGAGGCGCATGCCACAAACACGCCCGGCAAACGGGCTCCGAACCCCTCCGGGCAGTGCGCGTGTGTGTACGTGCGCATGTACGTGTACGTGCGTGCGTGCGTGCGTGTGCGCGCGTGGGGAAACGGGAATGGGGTTAAAGGAGCGGAGGACAGCGAGGGTGGCGGGGGCAAAGAGGCTACGCGATGATGCTGTAGACACGGCCAAGTCGGCCGAGCCAGTCGCGCACGGCTTGGCGCACGCGCGAGTCCGTCACGTGGCACGTCAGCTGGCTCAGGCTGGGGAATATGGCCGGCTGTAGCGCGACGAACGCCGGCTCGGGCAGCCCCAGCAGCTGGTTGAGCAGCATGAGCACCATGTTGGTCCACGCCTGCGAATTGGGCAGCGCGCAGATATCCCGCGTCAGCCACCGTTCAAGGATAAGGGATTGCACGTACATAATGGGTGGGCTGATTTGACTTCAAATCGGCGACTCAAAAGCGCCTCACACCAGATCTCATCTGAACCACTCCAATTGCCATGCTGCAGTCTAGCCAAGCGGATCCCAAAAGGGGGAAACTGTCCCTGTGCGGCTTAAGTTGTACACCCATCACCTGCCTACAAACGGAAATTATTCTGCCATTAATGGTTTTCCCAATAAAGTATTTTAAGCAAACTGAGAAAGTCTTTTTTACACTCAAATTCAGGACCATAACACCGCCACCACCACCACACATGGCCCCTTCCTCTTTTCCAAACGTCACGCGATCTTTAACTTCCAGACGGTGATGCTAAATTATCCACTCACAGTATCAACTAGGGCGGTTCGCGCGGCTCATACCACAAACCTCTGCAACAAGCGGAAAATGTACGACACCACTTGGCCATGTCATCGCCCACGACGACCTGTTGTGCATGGTGGTCGTGTATCAACGCGCTCGTTGAATATGCATTGTGTGTGTGTATGTTGAACTTCTTTCGGACCGTACGTAGCCAACCATCCTAATCGAGGGTGCCCTGAGGCCCCAGTGTGCGTGTCTATAAAATCGGTCAACCCAGCAGCATTTGTTTAACGGGCCACGCGCTACTTTCAGAGGATCAGCGAAGTAAAAACTCGTCCAAAGTTTGCCCCGTTAAAATGAATAACTCCCCCATACATGAAGGAAGAAAAGGGTCGATGTCACGGGGTTTCCGGATTGCTTGCAGGTGAGATCATCATCACCCAGCCTCTACTGTATCCTTACTCGCTGGTCTCAGTCGTAGACGCCCTTTCACGCGTTTCTTCTGCACCAGAGTTGCTCTGGGAAGAGCAATGTTCAACGACCAGCTGCTATCCCCACTGCGGCCTTGTGGTCTCTGCTCCCAGTGTCCTGAGCCTAGCCTTTTCTTATCCATCCCTGGGTCTCGCAACCCATCACCAATATCATAATCGAATCGGCCGTGCTGCACACTTTTTTTTTTACCGAGAGACTTGTGGTGCCCTCATTCATTTGTAACTCCTGCAGCCTGGCACATCGCGGTAACTCAATCCGCATGCAACGCCTTGGCCACTCGCTTTGTTCCGAGTGCTCAACAAACGAACGTTGCACTCTCACATGACGCCATTAAACATTCTCAAACCTCATAATCCTACCATCTCGTGACGACACACACGAACAAAGAGAGATTAAATTGACACACAAGTCTCAATTGCAAAAGAGCCGTGGGTTACAAAACAAAGATTGCACAGAGTATATAATTACTTTCAGGCCCAAATGGAACAACACAATTACCTGGTCTCCAAGGGCCTTGTGGTTCGCAGACCATTTTGTTTCAGTGATGAAGCAGATGCGTTCTCTGTTCGTTCACCTGCCTATCTTTCTACATTTCTATACGTTTACATGTCAATATATACGTTTTATATAATTATATCTAAATGTCGATCGGACACCATTCGATTGTCAGCCACAGTCTTATCTCACCAAGCAGAGCTCTCCCCGGCCAGAAGCATAACAAATCTATGAAAGTCTGTTTAACTTCTTTCGCACCGTACGTAGCCAACCGTGCTCATCGGAGGTGCAGTGAATGACAACAAACTAAATGCAAAAAGCAGATCTATAGAAATTCGTGTTCTTTAGAACTGCTTTTTGTGATCAAATCTTCAAAGACAGAGACCGTGTCCAATGCTTTCGTTCCACCCTAGCCCGACTTCTCCCACGCCCCCTCGCCCCCCTCACCTGCAGCTGAGCTTCGGAGTCCCGCGAGGCTCCGGACGGAGAAGCCGAGCTCTGGCTCGCCGAGCGACTGCGCGGGAAGCGCTCCGAGCGCGGAGTCTCGGGGCCGCTCGTGGACGAAGATCGCCTTGGGGGGAGCGGCCCCCCCTCGCCCAGCGGGCCCAGCCCCCCTGGGCTCGGCAGCCCCGCCAGGCCGGCGGGACGGACGCCCTCACATGGAGGCCCGGGCCCTGGCAGAGAGAAGGTTTCAGCGGTCGTAGCCGATTAGTGGAGCAGCGGTACAGGCGTCGAGCCGCGAGTGGGAGAATTGATTCATGGGATAATTTCAGTCACCGAAATGTGTTCTTGCCCATTCTTCCCCTTCACGATAACCGTCAGGATGTGAATGGGACGAAAAAATGGGACAGCACAAGGGACAGAGACACTAAAAACGAAACGCAGCACAGATAAGGTAGACGATAGGCATTACCAAAGAGACAGCCACATGTGAAAAGGGCAGCGAAAGTAATTCAGAATACAGAGATGGCGCAATTGACTCAAACAGTCCAATTTACAAATGAAACCGATGGTGCAAATGTGAATGAGATGGTACCAAACGATACAAATACAATTTTTACAAACAAGACAGATGGTACAGACATGATGACTGAGGAAGTACAAATGAGACTGGCAGTGCAAATGAGAAAGACAATTAGGACAGAACTGTACATACAGGAAAGAATGATCGATACATAATGATTCTTGAATCATGACAATTCAACATATAATGACAATGCGTGGGATGCTGCAAGGCGGGCCGGAAGGTGGGGTACATGCCTCCTAGTGGGGCAACAGGGTCCGTCGTGCCCTCTGCCTGCTGCTGCATCGGCCGTGGGCTCAGCACCAGTGACGACCTCTGACCTCCTGTAGACTGACACGGGTTCTTCACTGAGGATCCATCTGTGGAGGAGGAGGAGAAAGATCACCAGTGTCCAAAGAGTGAGCGGAAGGATACTCAGCGCTCGCCATGTGTGGTAGTGTAGAGTGCAGCACTGTTTACACAAATACTACCCACACATTTTAATTGGATCTTGGATTTCATTGGCATAACTCACTCACCGAACCGGCCACTCGTTCACTCACTCACCCACCTACTCAGCGTATCACTCATCCACCCGTCCATCCACCCACCCACTCACTCATTTAGTCACTCAAGCATCCAACCACTCATCCATCCACCTACCCATCTCCCCAGCCGCTCATTCACACACTTATCTATCCATTTATCCACCCACCTACCCATCTACTCATTCACTCATCCATTCACCTACCTACTTGTGCACCCATCCACTCATTCACTCACCAATTCATCCACACACCCACCCACCTACTCACTAATCCATCCATCTATTCACCCTTCACCCACCAATCCACCCAACCACCGACCCGTCAGTGTATATTGGACACCGCGCTGCTGGGAGGTGCTCACCTGCATTGGCGGCGAGGCCAGGGCGCGTGGGCTCGCGCACAAAGGTCGTCAGCGTGTGCTGCTGCTTGCGCCGCTTGTACTCAGCCACGAGCTTGCTGATGGTGCGATCCGTGGCCACTGTGTAGATCTTGCCGCCCGTGCTCTCCCACCACTCACGCTGCTGCCGCCGCTTGCCGCTGCGCATACGTGTGCGTGTAGACGCGGCAAAAAAACAAAGACAAAGACAAAGATCCTCCCCCATCCCCGTGTAGCCTTCACAGACTGTTGGGGCAAGTGCTGTTAGCGAACACCTACGAAGGTCAGCACGGCACACGAGGGGGTAGGTGGCCAGCATCACGCCCGGCCACCTTTGTCTTCCAAAGAGCGATGTTTACACACCGCACCATGTACACAATTGAGGCCGAGTCGATTTAGGTTAGATATTCGTCAGTGATGTTGGCCGTGAGCAGCAATTGAACTCGGGACGCCAGGTTCATCGCGCAGGGCGCTAACCGCCACACCACAGCTCCCCACGCAAGTACACACAAACGCGTACAAATACATTCTTGTGTTGTCTCATCCCTTAACCGTGTTCAGCTACCGGCACTGCAGGCAACAACTCTTTTCTTTCTGCTTCTTCCATCGCACAGCTCCACAGTTTGGAATTCCCTCCCATCGTCTCTTTCCACCGAACCCCTCCGTTCTTATAATAACCTTGCTCAATTCAATAAACGCGTTACACTCTTATCTATTACAGTGAGGGAAAAAAGTATTTGATCCCCTGCTGATTTTGTACGTTTGCCCACTGACAAAGAAATGATCAGTCTATAATTTTAATGGTAGGTTTATTTGAACAGTGAGAGACAGAATAACAACAACAAAATCCAGAAAAACGCATGTCAAAAATGCTATAATTTGATTTGCATTTTAATGAGGGAAATAAGTATTTGACCCCCTCTCAATCAGAAAGATTTCTGGCTCCCAGGTGTCTTTTATACAGGTAATGAGCTGAGGAGCACATTCTTAAAGGGAGTGCTCCTAATCTCAGCTTGTTACCTGTATAAAAGACACCTGTCCACAGAAGCAATCAATCAATCAGATTCCAAACTCTCCACCATGGCCAAGACCAAAGAGCTCTCCAAGGATGTCAGGGACAAGATTGTAGACTTACACAAGGCTGGAATGGGCTACAAGACCATTGCCAAGCAGCTTGGTGAGAAGGTGACAACAGTTGGTGTGATTATTCGCAAATGGAAGAAACACAAAAGAACAGTCAATCTCCCTCGGCCTGGGGCTCCATGCAAGATCTCACCTCGCGGAGTTGCAATGATCATGAGAATGGTGAGGAATCAGCCCAGAACTACACGGGAGAATCTTGTCAATGATCTCAAGGCAGCTGGGACCATAGTCACCAAGAAAACAATTGGTAACACACTACGCCATGAAGGACTGAAATCCTGCAGCGCCCGCAAGGTCCCCCTGCTCAAGAAAGCACATATACATGCCCTGTCTGAAGTTTGCCAATGACCATCTGAATGATTCAGAGGACAACTGGGTGAAAGTGTTGTGGTCAGATGAGACCAAAATGGAGCTCTTTGGCATCAACTCAACTCGCCGTGTTTGGAGGAGGAGGAATACTGCCTATGACCCCAAGAACACCATCCCCACCTGTCAAACATGGAGGTGGAAACATTATGCTTTGGGGGTGTGTTTTATGCTAAGGGGACAGGACAACTTCACCGCATCAAAGGGACGATAGGACTGGGGCCATGTACCGTCAAATCTTGGGTGAGAACCTCCTTCCCTCAGCCAGGGCATTGAAAATGGGTCGTGGATGGGTATTCCAGCATGACAATGACCCAAAACACACGGCAAAGGCAACAAAGGAGTGGCTCAAGAACAAGCACATTAAGGTCCTGGAGTGGCCTAGCCAGTCTCTAGACCTTAATCCCATAGAAAATCTGTGGAAGGAGCTGAAGGTTCGAGTTGCCAAACGTCAGCCTTGAAACCTTAATGACTTGGAGAAGATCTGCAAAGAGGAGTGGGACAAAATCCCTCCTGAGATGTGTGAAAACCTGGTGGCCAACTACAAGAAACGTCTGACCTCTGTGATTGCCAACAAAGGTTTTGCCACCAACTACTAAGTCATGTTTTGCAGAGGGGTCAAATACTTATTTCCCCCATTTAAAAGTAAATCAATTTATAACATTTTTGACATGCGTTTTTCTGGATTTTGTTGTTATTCTGTCTCTCACTATTCAAATAAACCTACCATTAAAATTATAGACTGATCATTTCTTTGTCAGTGGGCAAACGTACAAAATCAGCAGGGGATCAAATACTTTTTTTCCCTCACTGTACATATCTAAGAGTGCTGTTATTGTTGGCTGCTTGACGGGTAGGGCATTCGAGCCCTGTGCTCAGTAATAATTGATTATTTTTATTTTATTTTATTGACCAGGAAAAGCCAATTGAGCTATTAACTCTTTTTCAGAAGCGTAATGATTGCTCAACGTAGTGACTTATCACGTGAAATTCATAGCAGCCAAATACTCTGAAAGCACGTCGATTCTAAATGCGGAGGACCTGGAGAAAAAAATCCACGCGATCACCACGGGCAGAAAGAGCTGCTGCAAACTCGAAAATATACAACAGGCGTCATCAGGGTCAGGATCAAACCCACAACGTCCAGCATACCAGGTGCGGGCGATAATAAATAAATAAAAACTCAAACCCATCATCACTCACTCTCTGTCGGCATCGGCGTCGACGGCGCGGGGGCTCGTGGGCGGCCCACCCCCACCGGCTCTCTCGGCGTCCACCTCCTCGGTGACGAGCGACCGCACCGTGTCGCCCGACGAGAAGCTCTCCTTGCTGGTGGACGACAAGGACGACGCCGCGGGCTCCAGCGGGAAAACGGGCAGCAGGAAGAGCGTCTCGGGCGCCATCGCGCCCCTGCCACCCGCCCCCGCCGCCCCAGACGCCGCGTCGCCGTCCGCGGCGCCCTCCAGGTCCAGGTGCATCTGGATGTACGTCTGGCAGAGCTCGAGGCACAGGCGGTGCAGCCGCTTCACCAGCCAGCACCAGTCGGCGTTGTTCGCGGGTTGCACGCCGAGGGAGGGCGCGCGCCGGTGCTGCGGCGTGACACGCGAGCCCACCCCGTGCTGCCGCCGAGCCGGCTGTGGCCGCGGTGGCTGCGGTGGCTGCGGCGGTGCTGCCGCCAATACGGAGAGTGGGGTCACCACGGTGGTAGATGTGGTGATGATCGGGGCTGCTGGTGGCTGCTCATCCTCCTCATCCTCCTCTTCCTGCTGCTGCTGCTGCTGCTGTTGATGATCCTCGTCCGATGGAGATGCCAGGGATGAGTCGGAGCTCTCATTGTCCTCCTGAGACAAAGTCAAGAGTGAAAGTTGCCGTCCTCTGAAATGTGCATTACTGCAAATGGTTCTCACGTCGGTAAAACCACACGCATATTTCATAATCGTGAACTATCGATTTTAATTGCATGAATGAAAAAAAAATCTCAGTGCTTCCCTGGACAAATGAGTAAAGAGTGGCATTACATCCCAGTGGCGTGGTTAAAATTCCACAATTCCGTGGTAGAGGCCAGTCTCTCCGTAGGACGATCACTGTTGACTTCACCACAAAGTAGCGTGCATTTATTGACCCCCTAGAGGAGTCTGGGTCAATCATGGGACAAATGTTACAATCTTAGAACCGAGCCAGGTTTTTTGTGACCCGTCATTAAACTGGGTCTGAGCGAAGCGAGTTGAAGGTCCGAGTCCGGTCACAAATCACTGCACAAAAAACCCGTCACGTAATATTTAGCTTTAAATAAGTTGGCAAATTCCATTTCTGAGAAATGGAATGTTTAAAATGTGTTTGCCATGCAATCAAAAACATTTCTGCAGCAAGACACACGAAACGGTGCGCCAACTTCGAAGCAGTTCTATGATCTTGATTTGAAGCTTTCGTGACTGCAGGAATCCATACTCATTGGTTCTTTCGGCAAAGCCACGTAGGTATAAAATAAATCACGATGTTTCGGGCGCAACACAAGCGCCCGAAACGTCGTGATTTATTTTATTTTATACCACCTGATGAAGGACGCTTGTGTTGTGCCCGAAACGTCGTGATTTATTTTATTTTATACCTACGTGACTTTACCGAAAGAACCAAAGAGTACAGCTCTATGATGTCATTTTTCCAGAGGCCGTTCTCGATAATATAGGGTGATAAACTTCTTTCTGCAAGAGTTCCCAATAGAAATGTATTCATCTCATGACATGACACCTAATGCACTATTAGAATTGGGATATTTTTTTTTTAACCATCAGGGGATGAATAGCTGAGTCAACTTCCGACCATGATTTGAACTTGCAGACTCCCAATTGAAAAGATAATGATTGGCATTTATAGGGGGCTTAAATCTATAAACTGAAGCTATTTTTATTTTACCAGGTAAGGCCCACTCAGCTATACAGGTTCTTTTTCAGAAGCAACCTGGCCACAAATAATAGCTCAACAAAGTGGCTTATCATGTGGAAATTTATAGCAGACAAGTAATCTAAACGCATGTTTATTCTAAATGTGTAAGGAAAAACCTGAAGACCCTGAGAAAAATCCACGCGACCACGGAGAAAACATGCAAACTCCAAATATACACGTGTCAGGGTCGGGATCAAATTCACGACCTCCTGCATACCAGGCGAGGAAGTTAACATCTCGCCATCACATCTCATCTCAATCTCAGAGGCCCAGGACGATTTATGATTCTTGCCAATGATGTGACGCACGATTGGGAATATAACTTAAGTCGTTGGGTTCGTAGCGCAGTGCGCTAACCGCTTACCTATGACAAAGATTCCCCATTTAGTCACACAGACAGTTGTGCTTCGTCTTGTTGGCGAGGAACCTATTAAGGCTTCACCCCTGACACAAGTGACGCGGGGCACGTATACTAGCACCACCCTTGCTGATCTCGTCAAGGAGAATAAACCATCATGCAAACTCCGGTCACCCTCGCAGCAGCAGCTTTTGGCTAATCATCGGACAAAGAGGGTCACCGCATCGCATGCTTTTAGGCGCACTTTTGCGGCCTTTTGGAATGCTCTTCCGATATTAGAAAGCCACTGAAGCTATGCTCTTTTAACTCATTACATTGAAAACAAATTTCTTCAGAAGTTTGTTGTCCTTCCCCTGCACCTACAATTAGCACGGTCAGATACGTATGGTGCGAAAGAAGTTTAATATACAAAGATCCCCCATATAGCCTTAACAGACTATTGCTGTTAGCAAGCACATATGAAGGCCGGTACGGCACACGAGGGGGTGGGGGTGGTCAGTACCACGCCCGTCCACCTTCGTCTCCCCAGTGGCATGGCATTATTCACACAGCATACCAGATACTCATTTGAGGCCGAGGTGTTGTCCGTGAGCGGGAATCGAACCTGGGTTGCCGCGTTCGTGGACACAGCGTGCTCACCGCTACTACACGACCGCTCCCCACATACACACACCAATACCGATACCCGCGATCCGCCACTTAAGCGACGGCGACGTCACTGCTGTGGCGCCTGTGTAAACACACAAGACACGCAAACCCGCGCGGGTACCTGCTCGAGCTCCGCCACGATGCGCTTCACTTGCTCGGCACTGAGGTCATCGCGCGCCAGCAGCTGCAGGGCGGCGAGCAGCGCCTGTCCGTACACGCCCAGGCTCATGGCCGCCTGGCGGTAGAGGTTGGCGGGCGCACCCATGCCCGACACCTTCATGAGCAGGTACTTGAGGCCAGGCCTCGTGTCGAAGTCGCGCGCCGCTCGGTACGAGTCGAGCAGCAGGTCGAATACAAGCGAGAGGTTCAGCATGGAGATGTGGCGCAGGAACGGGGCCGATGTCACCACCTGCAACAGTAAAAAACAGTAAAAAAAAAGACAAGGATCCACCCCTCTCCCCCGTAAAGCCTTGAACAGATTGTTGCGCTGCACGGATTTCCGCACCTCCAAGCAAAGGCAGCGGTAAACCTCATTCTCGGATGAGGGATGTTAAGACACGGAAAACAAAAATAAAGATTCCCTGTGAAGCCTCAACAGACTGTTGGGACAAAGTGCTGTTAGCGAGCACCTACGAAGGCCGGCACGGCACACGAGGGGGTGGGTGGCCAGCACCAGGCCCCGCCACCTTTGTCTCCCTCGTGGCAATGTTTTTACACACCGCACCAGATACTAATTTGAGGCCGAGGAGCATTTAAGATATTTGTCACTGGTGTTGACCATGAGCGGGAATCGAACTCGGGTCTCCGGGTTCGTAGTGCAGCACGCTCATCACTACAACTACCGCACCCACACACACACACAGTTTGTCGTTTGTTCATTTTGTTGGGTTTGTTTTTAAAATAAATAATTTTAGAATCGTGGATGCCGCCATGGCTTATTGGTTAGCGTAACGGACTTCCAGAGGCAGCCAGTTGGAATCTACTTACGGGGCAGGTGAAACAATGGACACATTTCTTAAATCAACCCACCACCTCTGTCCACCCAGTAGGAAATATAAATGGCTGAACCATAGTTCACCTTGCAAGTCAAGTGCGGTGGTGTCAACTGCCGCTTAGCCCCACCTCCTTACAAGACGCCGGGCCATCGTGGTAGAGTAGGCCAATGTCACTAGAGGGGCTCTCTAGACACCCCCCCCCCTCTAGCGGACGCTGTTCTGTCAGTGGTGGAGTGAGTAAGCAATTGCAAGACTCCACCTTTACTTATATATTGTAATTGTGCTCCTGGTGTCGTGTGCTGAGATGAAGAAGTGTCTATTCGATACGGGCAGGGGGCAATTTAACATCACCTCTCGTCAGCGAGCAGGCTCCACAAGTTGCCATCACAGAACTGGAGGCAGTCTCTGGTTTACGACAGTCCGATTTACAGTAATCCACACTCACAACTTTATATAACGCCACCATGGATCAAATTACGACGCGGAAACTTATTTTACGATACATCTTCCGACATAACTCCGAATGCATTTGAACAGAGTTAGTCTGATTTCCAATGTGACTTGGCGTGGAGCTTTTGTTATTCTTAATTTTTTTTGTGGATTTTTACCCATTAAACCCCGTTCAATACTGCCGATAAAAGGATGTTTCTACTATGGGAAAACAGGGTCTGATTACGACGAACCAATTTACGGCGGCGTTTCCAGGAACGTATTGCTTCGTAAAAGCGGGGACCGTCTGTGCTTATAACTGCAGGCCCTTGAATGTATGTTGAACTTCTTTCGCCACGGTGGCAAGATATTAACTTCATCGCCTGGTATACAGGGCATGGGTTCGATCATGACTCTGATGCCTGTAAATTTGGAGTTTGCATGTTCTCCCCATGGTCGCGTGGATTTTTCTCCCGCGTCGTCCGGTTTTTCCCTCCACAATTAGAATCAACGCGCACTTAGAATATTTTGCTGCTGTAAATTTCCAGGTGATAAGCCACTTTGTTGAGGTATCATTTGTGGCCAGGTCGCTTCTGAAAAAGAGCTACACAGCCCAGTAGGCCTTACTTGGTAAGATAAAAAAAAAAGTTTAGCCAAGTTTTAGTTTTGCACGTAGCTAGCCATGCCTTTCATTCTCACTGCACTCCCTCGCGCCCTGTCGTAGACAGTTTCAGTTTTCAGTTCCAGTTTATTTATTTATTTTGGTATAGCCCTGTGAGCCATTCAGCTCTTGAATCGGGTGCAACCACAACAAACAAAAACCAAAAACACGAACAAGAAAAACATCTTAAAGTGACTGTGTGACTGTGCAAACAGAAAATCCAGAGGTGCCCTTCGCATCGCGGCCAAAACTCGACCTGCAGCGGAGCCACCACGGAGACGGGCGAGTGATCGTCACGCGAGCCATCCAGCGAACGCGACCCTGAGCCCGGCGGCGCCGCCGGCTCGTCCAGCAGCAGCAGCTCCAGCAGGTTCTGCAGCAGCACCTGGTGCGACAGCAGCCGCACCACGATGCTCCGGAAGGGAATCCTGCAGTCACGGTGAGGGGTGGGGGGGGGAGGGGGGGGGCGGGGGGGAGGGGGGGCGTGCGTGTTGGCGTCAGCAGTCACCACCGGTTTCACGGCGGTCAATGTTAGCCCTGGCTAGGAGTCGGAACTCGGGTTGCCAGGTCCGTAGCGCGCTGCACTTACCGCAAAGCAGCTGCTGCAACCAATGGGTATAGCAAACGATCGATAGAGTAATATTATTCTGCTTCCTTTCATTCTTGTATGACAGGAATGACAGGTAACGGGGGGGTTGTTTTACTAAAATTGTATCCGCTGACATAAAGAGATTAAAATTATGTAGGGACACTGCCTTTTGAGGTTTTCTGTCAACAGTGTTCTCGGTGAGGAGAGACTGAGCTCCGTCATGTAAAATATCAAATTTCCACTTATTTGTGAATTTTGGCTCAGGGCCACAAATGTGATTTGATGGGAAAACCAACACTTTAACGAACGGGGAAACCTCTGACATATGAGAGAAACCTGTGTTGAATGCAGTGCTCCTGTACGGGTTTGAGTGCAGACAGGGGCACATGCCCTGACAATCGGTCCACACGATCCCTGCCACTGCCAGGGCAAACCTGTAAGCCCAGACAGTTATTTCGGCCATCTGGCCAAAAACGAAGAACGTAACCACCAACGGCTGCTCCAAAACGACTTCCCTGATTATGGGATGAAAGAGGGTGGGGGTATGAGGGAGGGGCAAGGTGGTGGGGAGAGGGGGGGGGAGGACACGAGGAGGGGGAAGGGGGGTGCACGTTCTCAAGCCCTTACCCTATTTTTCTGTCCCGATGGAGGCAGCACGGAGCAACACAAACACAGGGTAAGTTCTCGACAACACGGCACGGCACGGCACGACACACACACACACACGACTGTGGAGCCATCACGAGCAAGGGTGAAGCGATGGGGCCCGTGTGATCAGACAACGGTGCGAGCGATGGAGAGGCATCGCCATCCGAGAACGCAGCAGCAGCAGCCACTGTAGTACCGATAATACATGTGCTAATTCTGCTTGCAAAGAATCGACAAATGGCAGATATAATGTTATTTATGATAAAATAACTTTATTTAGAAAATAACGGTTAGTTTTACTAGAAGGCAGGTGTTTTTGAATATCATGTGGCAGATAAACCAGTCAGAAGAATGGTAATACAGCAGCTTAGGGGGGTGAATTTTATTTCCTCTGAAAGGACATTGATGTAGGTACACACCTTGGCTGCCTTTAATGTTTTTTTTTTGTTTAAAGCCAGAGCCAAGTGACCGAGTTAAATGAGTCAAGTGCAGTGAGTTAAGCTAAGCGAGTTAATTACATACGACTGAGCTAAGTATATAGCAACAATCATTTATGTTATTTGGAACACTAATTTCGTGGCCAATCCATAATCTGATTCTGTTTATTTACTATGTTAAAGAGCCCATTGGGCTCATTGGGCTCTTTGACCTACGATACATCTCGTCACAGTGGCGAGATATTTACTACCTCGCCTGGTTTATAGCAGGTTGTGGGTTCGATCCCGACCCCAACGTTTGTATATTTGGAGTTTGCATGTTCTCCCTGTGGTTGTGTGGATTTTTCTCCGGGTCCTCCAGATTTTCCCTCCACATTTGGAAACATGCATTTAAAGTAATTTGGCTGCTATAAATTTCCACGTGATGATAAGCCATCTCGTTGAGCTGTCACTTGTGGCCAGCTCGATTCTGAAAAAGAGCTAAATAGCTCAGTGGGCCTTACCAAGTAAAATAAAAACAGTTAAATACTATAGTATATAGTAGTAATTGGCCTTTGAAAAAACAGCTGAGATTTGTTGGCACAATATTTATTGACCAACCCCACACTGACCAGAGATTTGGACATTTCTTAACGAGTTGTTTTTCTTTCTATGTGCGTGGTAAGAAATCAAGAGTGCCTGGAGAAATTCCCCAAATAACAAGAGCCATGAACGGAGGACAAACCCAGTACCCGTTCAAGCGATGAGACACACCGAAATTTACCGAACCTGACTCGACAGGTTAGCATTAGGGTCACTGCCGATACGACAATATATCTTTGACTCGTACTGGATGCACACGGAAAACCGCACAAACAACACAGTAAAAATACAACTATAAAGTTGTGAAAAACTAATATCGTGATGATCATGGTGTCCTTAATATCAGTATCGTGTCATTAAAAATAATATTATCACTGCAGCCCTAGTTACGTGACACAGAGAAGCCAAGGTAGCAGCACTGGGCAGGTCTGAGCACATCAATACCCATGAGCCCCGCATATCTCCACACTACCCCGTGACAAAGTCTCCTGCTGTTGCTGCTGCATCAGAATCAGAATAATGATCTATACTGGAGGAATCCGATGAGCTATAAAGCTCTTTTTCACAGGTGTCCAGTAGGGGCACGGGGTCAGAACATTAAAGCTGCTGCTATAGCTGCTGTGAGCTGTAGCAGTGAAGGGGCGGTCCTCTCACCGCTTCTGCAGGGAGGCCCGAGTGCCAGCGTGCGAGAGCACTTCGATGATGAGCACGCACGACTGTGCATGCTCCAGCCCCTCCTTGCTGCTGGGCGTCTTGGCCACGCACTGGCTCTCGAGCAGAAACACCTGAGGCCGGGCGCAGCGATCACAGTAGGGGGCAATCCGGATTAGGGCAGGTGTGTGCGTGTGTGTGTACCTGTGGAGCGTGCCACTAAGAGATGGGGCCTTACCATCAGCCCCAACAAAACTAAGCACCTGCCTGGGTATTTTGTACCATCGGACACTCCACCCCCACAATTCCCAACCGGTGATGGGGCAGTGGTGGAGAGAGTGGAGAGTTTCCCATACCTGGGCAGTGTGCTTATGACCGGCTCCAGTTTAACAGCAGAGGTTTCACTCCGAATCAGTCGAGCGGCAATATATTTTCATCGGTTGCGTAACGCTGTGTGGAAGCTACCTGGTCTGTCGCTCCGTACTAAGCTTCAGGTCTTCTCGGCCACGATCATTCCCTCCCTTCTCTACGCTTGCGAAACGTGGACCCCCCTAATGGAACATCTTCGTCAGTTAGAAACATTTAGGCTAGCCTACCTACGATCCATCCTGGGTTTAACCAGGCTGGATTGTGTGAGGAGCTCACAAATCCTTGAAAGATCTGGACAAGGTCCCATCGGTGAGCTCCTCCGGCAGGCAAGGCTGCGTTGGCTGGGTCATGTAGCCCGCATGCCCAGCCACCGCATGCCTAAACAGCTTTTGTTCGGCCGGATCGAGGGGGCTAAACGGGCGCGGCACGGGCTAGAGAAGAGATGGAATGATGTGGTACAGGAGGACGTGGAGCTGAGTGGACTTGCCGATGACTAGTACCAGCGGTGTCAAGATCGGCCTCTGTGGAGGAGGCTCGTGAAGGACGCTACTGGGCAGTTAGAGGCATTCGCCCTCCAACAACAACGGAGGGCGGAGGAGCGACGCTCACAACAACGAGCGGAGCGCCGGATGGCTAAAGCACAGCAGGTTGGCACAGTAGGGGGCACAGGTGGTGCATCAGTCAGTCATCTCAGTCATTTTAGTCAGCCGACCTGTGGCACCTGGGTCTGCCCCGTGACTTCCTGCCAGCGGGTGGTCGACACTTCACGTGGCCTCAAGGTGCACATGGCCTGGCACAAGCGTCGTGGTGACGTCACCGCCACTTAGTGGCGAATGGTGGTTGTTGTTGTTATATCTGTGGTCGGGCGTGGTACTGGCCACCCACCCCCTCGTATACCGTGCGAGCCTTCATAGGTGCTCGCTAACACCACTTTGCCCCAAAAGTCTGTTTAGGCTATACTGGGGATCTTTGTCTTTGTATATCTATCTGTGTGTCACAACCTGTGAGTGGGGAGCGGTAGAGTAGAGGTTAGCGCGCTGCGCTATGAACTCCGCGGTCCGAGTTCGATTCCTGCTCATGTCCAACACCAGTGACGATTATCTGAACCGGTCCTGGGCCTCGCCTAGGTCGACTCAGCCTCAAATGAGTACCTGGTGCAGTGTGTAAACATCGCCACTGGGGAGACAAAGGAGGGTGTGGTCCTGGCCACCCACCCCCTCGTCGTATATGGCTCGGGCCTTCATAGGTGCTACTCGCTGTTGAGGCGACCAGGGGGATCTATGGCTTTGTATAGACGTGTGTGTCTGTGTGTGTTTCTGAGGTTGGAACGCCACCTGCTGAGCCATGGCGCGGATCCTCCAGTATTCGGCCTCAACGCTGTCCGAGTGGTGAGGGGCCGCTACCTTCACCTCGCACGCGTCCCCGCCGAAGCTGTCAGAGCCCGACTGGAAGCAGGAGAGCAGGTCCTGGTTGACAGCCAACGGCAAGAGCGTACAGATACACACACACAGAAAGAGATCCCGGGTGCAGCCTACACAGAGATCCCACGTGCAGCATACACAGAGGGTCCCGTGTGCAGCCCACACAGAGGGTCCCGAGTGCAGCCTACACAGAGCTCCCGAGTGCAGCATACACAGAGGGTCCCATGTGCAGCCTATACAGAGGTCCCGAGTGCAGCCTAAACAGAGCTCCCGAGTGCAGCATACACAGGCTGTCGTGCCAAGTGCCGTAAGCGAGCACTTATGAAGGTCAGAACGGTGCACCAGGCGGTGGTGTGGCCAGGAACCATGCCCGACTGCCTTTATCTCCTCAGTGCTGATGTTTACATATCTACTCATTTAAGACTGAGTCGTCTTACGAGAGGCCCAGGATGAATTTGGATATCTGTCACACGTTGGCTGCGAGTGAGAATAAGACTCAGGTCGTTGGGTTCGAAGAGCAGCGCGCTAATCACTTCGCTATCACTCCCCACACATTCATACGAAGACAAAGATCCCCCGTATAGCCTTAACAGACTGTTGGGGCAAGTACTTTAAGCGAGCACCTATGAAGGCCGGCACGGCACACGAGGGGGTAGGTGGCCAACACCACACCAAGCCACCTTTGTCTCCCGAGTGCCGAAGTTTACACACCACACTCGGTACTCATTTGAGGTTGAGTCGACCTAAGGAAGACAGGAACGGTTCAAATAATCATCACTGGTGTGAGCCGTGAGGGGGAATCGAACCCGTGTCGCTGGGTTTGTAGCGCAGCACGCTAACCGCTACACTACCGCTCCCCATTCATACACACGGACACACATTCGTGCACATTTGGAAAAACGTGCACACCGTGTTCATTATACACCCACACAATTTAATATCTGTATCCAGTGGTAACGCAGCCTGAAATTCAGTCCTTATTCACTTGCAACTCTGCTGCACTGTGTGGGATGGCGATGGCCTTTACCCAGCAGTAGATTGAGCATGGCTGAAAATATATTTATGTATAACTTCTTTTGCACCGTACATAGCCAACTGTGCTAATCGGAGGTGTGGGGGAAGGACAAGAAACTCAACACAATTTAGATTTAAAAGTGCATAGCTCCAGTAGCCTCCTTATTCACTCAAAACTGCTCTAGAGGAGTTGTACACCCCTAGCTGCCACTGCTATTCAGTGGCCTAAAATAAAATAATGTTTTGCTCAGGATGACCGCTGCAAAGTATTAGCTGTATTTTGATTTAGTGTGCTGATCTTAAAGGTGCATTGAAAAATGTGATACTCCGACTGACGCTCCTGTTGTTTGTGGAGTGACTCATGCAGCCAACTGTGGCTCTAGGGTTTGGTGTTACATGCTATTTATGTAGTTTATTGTAAAAAATTCGGTCACAGTTCCTATGATCACTGTTACATTGCATCTATGGCTTTATTTTGGTGATTTCTAAAAGTTTTTTGGTTTGGCCATGTTTTTGTTTATTGTAGTGCGGAGTTAGACTGATGGCCTTAATCTAAGTTTTCTTGTTGTTGTTTGACTTGCATCCCACTGGGATTTTTGCACACAGCATTGGTGTACGGTGCTATTTCAGGAATATTTTGATGTTTTTTTCCTGGATTTTCTGTTTGCACATGCACAAAGTCACTTTAAGATGTTTTCTTGTTCATGTTTTTGTTTTTTTGTTTGTTGCGGTTGCACCCGATTCAAGAGCCGAATGGCTCACAGGGCTATACCAAATAAATGAAACTATGAAATTATATCGGAAGGAAGTGCGTTCCAGACGGCCAGACAACAAAAATTATGACGACAATCGATTACTTAAACGCATTTATTTTAGCAGGAAACCCGCTATGACGTGGACCGTGTGGCACTTGAGAGGTCCCAGCCAGGGGAGTGGTACCTTTACGGGCTGCAGCGTGGCTGCAAACGCATCTTGGAGCGCGGAGCAAGCGAGCTTCCACATCTCATCCGTGAAGACTGGACCCGCAGACACGAGTAAGTAGCTGCGCCACCACGCACCCGAGGGGGGGGGGGAATGAGAGAGAGCAGAACACAGAGAGACAGTAGAAGACATCTTTATCAGGATGGCAATGACGAGCTCATTGCGGATAATCGTCACGGATGGTAGCCATGGCGGGGAATCAAACTCGATCCGCCGGGTTAGTAGTGCAGGGCACTGATCACTACACCACTGCTTTCCACATACCAACAGCTGCCTTTAAACACTTCTTCTTCTCCTTTTCGTATGGCTGATGTAGATGCAGAGGAACAACTACAATTTCACATTCGGGTGGTCAAGCCAGACATCCGTGTCAGGAGCAGCTGTGATGTCTCCTTCGTATTTGTGCAGTGGGCATTGCATCTTTATACGTTCTACGGTCTGCTCTGGATGTCCACAGTCGCACGCTACTGGAGAATTTTTTTAATTTTCAAGGTATCTGCATCTGCCATGGTTTGTGCAGATGTGGTTTCGGGTGGACCGTGAGCTTCGTGGAAGATCAAAACCAGGGATGTTCTGCGTTGGGTCAACACTAAGTGATGGTGATATAAACACAGTGCTTGTGTCAGGAGAAGTAGACTACAATTTCAAGTGATTTGGCGAAGGCTCGCTGGCAGGAGTTCACGGGACACCAAAGCGATACGGATTAACTGCTCTCCGTTGTGCCAGCTTGCTGTGCTCCCAAGAAAAACACAAAAACAAAGATCACCCGTATATCCTTAACTCACTGTTGGGGCAAGTGCTGTTAGCGAGCACCTATGAAGGCCGGAATAGCACACGAGGGGGTGGATTGCCAGCACCACGCCCGGCCGCATTTGTCTCCCTAGTGGCGATGTTTACATACCACACCAGGTACTCATTTGAGGCTGAGTCGACCTAGGGGGGCCCAGGAGCATTTTAAATCATCGTCACCGGTGATGACGGGTGTGAGCGGGAATTGAATTCTGGTCTCCAGGTTCGTAACGCAGCACACTAATCGCTACACCACCGCTCCCTACAGTCTGTGGGAATAGAAAGCGGCCGCTGCTGCTGCTGTCTAAGTTGGCGGTTTTCCACGCACCGTATGCAGGAGCAGCCAACGCGGGAGATGGCCTCTGCGGGCTCGGAGATGCAGGCGACGAGCAGGCGGAAGAGCTGGCGCAGCATCGCGCTCACCATGCCCTCAAAGCCGATCTCTGCAGCAGCAGCAACAGCAACAGCAAACGCAGTGTACAGATACAGAATCAAAGGAATAATTTTATTAATTCCATAAGCCTATGTTAAGATATGGTTTGCAAGATCTGAAAATATTGCTTCTTACCGACACGATTCAACACGTGGACCATGAGCATAAAGAGGAAATATTGATCGTTGCATCCCTACACTCACCCACCAAGTCCCTTCCCTGCTCCCTCATGCATACTCACCCCTTCCCTCACTCAGTTTCTTCCCACTCACCGCTCACCCGTCCACACTCACCACTACCCTGCACACCATCTCCCTGACTCACCCATTTATACTCACCTCTCCCTGTATTATCATCTCCCCCATTTACCTATTTCTACTTAAGCCCTCCCCTGCCCACTATCCCCCTTACTCATCCCTTACACATTCACCACTCATCCATCCACACTCGCTGACGGTGCACGCACATCCACAATCAACACCCCCCCTAGCCAGCACCAGCTATAGCTCCTCGCAGATGCTGGGACGGGGGGGGGGGGCAGTAGAGCTGTTGTGTGTGGCAGGAGGGCACGATAACAGCGATTCACCGCTCAGGAGGAATATGGGGGGCCCTGCGGCCATCGAATGCCCCTTTGGTAGCCCAAAGGAACACTCAATGGCCGCAGCGCCGCTGCGCCCCCCCTCCCGTACCGCACGCCCCGTCGCTCACCCATCTGCGTAAAGTTGTGCACGTGCTCCACGACGAGCTCGGAGCAGAGGCCGATCGCGTGCTTGAAGTTGGCGGCCGCCTCCTCCCAGTAGGCATGGCTGCTGTGCGAGCGCTGGAGCCACAGCGTCATGACGGGCAGCAGCAGGTGCGTCACCGCATACATGCCGAACTTGGGGCCTTGTCCACCACGATGGGAGATAAGGGGGGAGGGGCGGGGGGAGAGGCGGGGGGAGAGGGATGGGGGGGGGGCAGGCGGGGGGGGGTGCGGCACGGCAGACAATGTTCGTAACTGGAGCTAGGGACGGCTCGTCGGTCTTGATACCAAGAAGAGGTCAGCGAGGTCAGGAGGTTAGTGATAATTTCAGGAGGTTAACAGAGAGATACCTGGAGGCTATTAATACCCGGGAGGATGTTAAATTAAGACAGTGATATCCTTGGGAGATGGAGATACCTGGGAGGTGGGCGACGGCTCTAAGCAAGTAGAAGAGCAGGCTCAGGGTAGGGGGCTGGTTCTGCCGAGGGCACGCGGACACCGCGGACGCCAGGTGCTCCAGCAGCAGGCTCCACACACACACGAGGCCTGGGCACACGAACACACACGAACATACGTGCACAGATAAAGATGGCCCGATAGCCTTAAGAGACTGTTGGGGCGAGCGCTGTTAGCGAACAGCTACCAAGGCCAACTTGGCGTCGTGGATAGCACAATGCCTGGCCACCTTTGTCTTCCCAGTGGTGATGTTTATAAACTGCGCTAGGTACTCATTCAATGCTGAGTCGACCTACGGCAGGCCCAGGTCCTGTTCCGATAGTTACCACTGGAGTTCGGTCGCCGACACCGTATCGCAGTGTGCTAACCAGCGCACCACTGCACAAACGAATGAACACAAGGGCACACGCGCACACAACACGTCCCCCCATGGAGTTTCTCACAATGTTGGGGGCACGTGCTCTTAGTGAACGCATGTTTGTTTTTCAGCCATCTCCGTGGCACAGTGGAGGCCAAGGAGCGGTTCCAATATTCGCCATCGGTTGTCAGCCGCGAGTGGGATTCACGTCCAGGGGAGTTGCCCAGCCACGCAGGAAGCTTTCGGGGCTCCAGGGGGTACGAAGGGGAATTGGAGAGGGTCCGGTGGTCGTGGCGCGTTACCGGAGCCGTCGTCGAACTCGCCGGGCGTCTCGGGTGTGTCGAGGCTGTCCTCTGACGTGCCGGTGCCCGTCTCCGCGCCGTGCAGGGTGAGGCCGGCGAGATGAGCGCCGTGGAACATCGGCCGCGACGGCATCTCATAGATCTTACTCAGCAGCTGATACGCACACGCAGACAAAACAAAGATCCCCCCCCACCGCCATGTAGCCTTAACAGTCTTTTGGGGAAAGTGCTGTTAGCGAGAACCTATTAAGCTTGGCACGGCGCACAAGGGGGGTGGCTAGCCAGTACCACGCCTGACCGCCTTCGTCTCCCCAGTGGTGATGTTTACACATCGTACCAGGTACTGCTTTGAGGCCGAGTCGGCCTAGGGGGTAAGGCCCGAGACTGATTCCAATAATCATCACTGGTATTTACCTTGAGTGGGAGTCGAACGCGGGTTACCGAGTTCGTAGTGCGGCACGCTAACCGCGACATACACACACAGTGGCACATAGAGATACACAAAGACAAAGATTCCCTGTATAGCCTTAACAGACTGTCGGGTCAAGTGCCATTAACGAGCATCTCCGAAGGTTCACCCGGCATATAATGGCATGATCTGGCCAGGCTTCCGGATTACTTAATCTCCCGAATGATTCTGTTCACACAACACCAAGTGTCATTTAAATCTGAGTCAATCTCGGGGAGGCCCCGTATAAGTTAAGATACCACTTTACTAAGTAGACGTAGCAAAATGTGCGATCCACTGCACCACCACGATGCGGCTGGTGCTATTGTCAGTTCTGCTGGGGTCTGGCCAGGGCATGATTGTGGTCTGGCTGGGACACCGTGATGGTCCTTGACACCCATGGGTCGCCCTATGGTGAGATGTAAACTACTTGGCCTGGTATACAGGTCGTGGGTTCGATCCCGACCCTGACATCTATATATTTAGAGTTTGCATGTCTCTCTCCCCGTGATCGCGTGAATTTCTCTCTCCAGTTTTTTCCTCCACGTGCGTTTAGAGTATTTGGCTGCTATGCATTTCCACGCGATAAGCCACTTCGTTGAGCTATCATTTGTGGCCGTGTTACTTCTGAAAAAGAGCGATATAGCTCAATGGGCTTACCTGGTAAAATATGCACTTTTTTTTACGAGGTCTGGCCGTGTGATTTTGGCTGGGTTTAGCTGAGATGAACTGGGTCGGGCTGGATCTGGCTGGGTTTAGCTGGGTTGAACTGGGCCAGGCTGGATCTGGCTGGGTTTAGCTGGGTTGAACTGGGCCAGGCTGGATCTGGCTGGGTTTAGCTGGGTTGAACTGGGTCGGGCTGGAGATCTGGCTGGGTTTAGAGCAGCACCTGCGAGCACTGGCGGAGGTAGTCGAGGGCTGGGAGGCACAGGCCGAGTGAGGAGTATCCAGAGGAACCCTGGGTGTTCGAGCACGACTCCCGGCCATCGCCCTCCCCTGCACGCAGCCATGGGACACGTGAGAATGTGTCCAGTGCTTCACTACGATACAAATGCATCACAAAGCACATCACCAGCTACGAACCAACCAGCTGTCAAGAGGCGCTCTCAGATGCAACGTCTCTCCGCCCAAACGAACACGGGGCGGCACTCATCTCTGTCGGCGATCCTGAGCAGTGATGAAATTTCCACATTCATATGATGGGATTAGTATTTCTAGTCCCTGACGATTGCTGAGTTCCCAGAAAGTTTACTCATTTTATTCACTCTATAGGAATGAAGGTGAGCTGAGTTGACCCCCAACCTTGACACGAGTCCAGCGTTCTGATCATTTAGCACGGTTGGCTACGTACGGTGCGACAGAAGTTCAATATACGTACATATATAAAGTGAGGGAAAAAAAGTATTTGATCCTCTGCTGTATTTGTACGTTTGCCCACTGACAAAGAAATGATCAGTCTATAATTTTAATGGTAGGTTTATTTGAACAGTGAGAGACAGAATAACAATAAAAAATCCAGAAAAACGCATGTCAAAAATGTTATAAATTGATTTGCATTTTAATGAGAGAAATAAGTATATGAACCCTCTGCAAAACATGACTTAGTACTTGGTGGCAAAACCCTTGTTGGCAATCACAGAGGTCAGACGTTTCTTGTAGTTGGCCACCAGGTTTGCACACATCTCAGGAGGGATTTTGTCCCACTCCTCTTTGCAGATCTTCCCCAAGTCATTAAGGTTTCGAGGTTGACGTTTGGCAACTCTAACCTTCAGCTCCCTCCACAGATTTTCTATGGGATTAAGGTCTGGAAACTGGCGAGGCCACACCAGGACCTTAATGTGCTTCTTCTTGAGCCACTCTTTTGTTGCCTTGGCCGTGTGTTTTGGGTCACTGTCATGCTGGAATACCCATCCACGACCCATTTTCAATGCCCTGGCTGAGGGAAGGAGGTTCTCACCCAAGATTTGATGGTACATGGCCCCGTCCATCGTCCCTTTGATGCGGTGCAGTTGTCCTGTCCCCTTAGCAGAAAAACATCCCCAAAGCATAATGTTTCCACCTCCATGTTTGACGGTGGGGATGGTGTTCTTGGGGTCATAGGCAGCATTCCTCCTCCTCCAAACACGGCAAGTTGAGTTGATGCCAAAGAGCTCCATTTTGGTCTCTTCTGACCACAACACTTTCACCCAGTTGTCCTCTGAATCATTCAGATGTTCATTGGCAAACTTCAGACGAGCATGTACATGTGCTTTCTTGAGCAGGGGGACCTTGCGGGCGCTGCAGGATTTCAGTCCTTCACGGCGTAGTGTGTTACCAATTATTGTCTTGGTGACTATGGTTCCAGTTGCCTTGAGATCACTGACAAGATCCTCCCGTGTAGTTCTGGGCTGATTCCTCACCGTTCTCATGATCATTGCAACTCCACGAGGTGAGATCTTGCATGGAGCCCCAGGCCGAGGGAGATTGATAGTTCTTTTGTGTTTCTTCCATTTGCGAATAATCGCACCAACTGTTGTCACCTTCTCACCAAGCTGCTGGGCAATGGTCTTGTAGCCCATTCCAGCCTTGTGTACAATCTTGTCCCTGACATCCTTGGAGAGCTCTTTGGTCTTGGCCATGGTGGAGAGTTTGGAATCTGATTGATTGCTTCTGTGGACAGGTGTTTTTTATACAGGTAACAAGCTGAGATTAGGAGCACTCCCTTTAAGAGTGTGCTCCTAATCTCAGCTCGTTACCTGTATAAAAGACACCTGGGAGCCAGAAATATTTCTGATTGAGTGAGGGTCAAATACTTATTTCCCTCATTAAAATGAAAATAATATTTTTGACACGCATTTTTCTGGATTTTTTAAAAATTGTTATTCTGTCTCTCACTGTTCAAATAAACCTACCATTAAAATTATAGACTGATCTTGATTTAAAGCTTTCGTGACTGCAGTGATTCATATTCTTGGTTCTTTCGGTAAAGTCACGTTGAAGGGAAACAATAAAATAATAAAATATATTTTGATTTAAAGCTTTCGTGACTGCAGTAATTCATATTCTTAGTTTTTTCGGTAAAGTCACGTTGAAGAGAAACAACAAAATAACAAAATATATATAAAACAATAAAAAATTCTCACGACGTTTCGACCATATATATATTTTGTTATTTTGTTGTTTCTCTTCAACGTGACTTTACCGAAAAAACTAAGAATAATAAAATATATGTTATATATAATATGTTATATATATTTCATTATTTTGTTGTTTCCCTTCAACGTGACTTCACCGAAAGAACCAAGAATATAGACTGATCATTTCTTTGTCAGTGGGCAAACGTAAAAAAGGGGATCAAATATTTTTTTCCCTCACTGTATATACAAAGCGACACCAGGCCTCGAAATCCTCAACTGGGCATTGGGCAAATTTAATCGAGCAGGGCCCTTAACTGAAGATGTGTCCGCCCAGCGGTGCGCTCGTCACCGAGTGGCAGAAGTGAACCCACCCAGGCCTTGCACGAACTTGATGAGGCAGAGGATGCAGTCGACAGCTGCGTTGGCAAACACCTGCACGCTGTCCGTGCTCAGGAACGCCTCGAACACGTCGAAGACAGGAGCCCGTGACTTCCCTGCGCGTACCACACGAACGCGGTCATTCAGTTAATTGCTCGCTCATTCACCCGATCAGACGGTCGTTCACTCAGCTGGTCGTTTACAGGTACACAGGCTTAAGCAGGAGCGTCATTCAGAATATATATTTATACTGGAGGAATCCGATCAGCTATAGAGCTTTTTTTCACAGACATCCAGTAGGGGCACGGGGTAAGAACGTTACAACAATAAAAACAGTACAAAAACATGATAGTAGTGCAAAGTACAAGAAAGGTATATAAATCACACAAACACATACAAATAAAAATAAACCATCCCCATCCTACCAGGCAAAGCCCACTGAGGTATCAACTTATTTTTGAGACGCAACCTGGCCACAAATCATAACTCAACAAAGTGGCCCATGATTAGGACATTTATAGCACCAAAATAATCTAAATAGTAATCATCTAATGACTCTTATATTCTTGGTTATTTCGGTAAAGTCACGTAGAAGGAAAATAATAAGATAAAACTAACTCTCGTTAGTATCTATGGAACCACGGCAACACTGATTTGGAGAGGTTTATAAACAGTATTTGCAAATGAGTAATAACCACCCTCTTGTAAAAGTTAAAAGATGCAGCCTTGCATTTGCTTGCTCACTACTGGCAAAGGAGCCTCTACTAGGGAGCGCTTTAGAGAGCCCCTCAAGTAGAGGGACTTTTTCCTTCTCTCCAAAGCTGGCCAGACATCTTGTAAGTGGTAGGAGTACCAAAACTCCACCATGCCACACACAAACTGCCGATCAATGCACTGTTGCCTTTGTAATGCAGTGCACTATTGCTGCTTTGGAGAGGCTTGCGAATGTTATTTGCGAATAAAAACTATATTAGTTCCTGACAAAGGAATTAAATTGCTCTTCGGTTCTTTCGGTAAAGTCACGTAGAAAATAAAATAATAATAGAATATGACGTTTCGGTTGCAACACAAGAAACTATCATCAGGTAAGAATGAATGACAAAACGCAGACACGGAAACAGCATAGGCAGACACACATGCAGAGAGAGAGACACACACAAAGACACGCCGAGCGAGACACACACCAAGACAAACAGAAGGACAACGAATCTCTGCCGAGGCCTTAAATCGAGAGAGGGGGGAGGGGCCGGGGCAGAGAAAGGACTGGGGAGGTGGGACCAGTTGACAAACGAGGGGACAAAGAGGGAGCAGTGTGGAATTCCGGATCACAGTGGCCGGAGGAGAGACAATGGTTTAGAGCAATAAAATCGAAAGTTTAAGAAAGCAAATTTAGTAAAATTAAGAAGTGTAATGCAACACAGAGAGTCGGTTAACACACAGTTAACGCATAGCCTGGTTGATTAACATTCTCCTAAAATTAGAAGTGTGATAAAAGAATTAAATTGACCACTCCTATTAACGTTGTCTATAACCCATAGTAGGCCTCAATTAAGCTCTAACCTTTGTTCATTGATTCCTCGGCCTACTGTTAACATGCCTCTCCCAAATATTTCATCACCTTTTGTAATAATAATTTTAATTAAAACATTTTTTATTTCATCAAATTCTATTCATCATCTCAAGTTGCTGGGCAAGGCTAACCCCAAGAGAATCATATTCCACCAATATTTGGCAGAAAAATGGGTATACTGGTCATAATAACTGTCTGCATATGTAGCCTTTATCAACCTAAAATTGGCAAAAACTCGTGTGAATGTCAATGCACCAACACATGAATCAAGTCTCAAATATCTGTTCACTGTCTCCCAGGCCCAATCTTAGCCAGGCCTCCGTCAGGCCGATGTCCCAGGCTGGTGGATGGCTTCACCATCATCATCATCATCACGATCCATGTGCAGATAGCACGTAGGTGTCAACGACACATTTGGTAATTTGTTTCCACTTTCCTCTGTCTTGTGCCAATATGTTCAAGTAGTGGCCACATCTTTCTGGCACCAATCTCTGATGTCGTCATCAAGCAATTCTCTCTTACGTCTTCCTCTCTTTCCGGTTCCTTCCATTTTTCCTGAACAACATCTATCATGAACCTGTCGTTGTCCATCCTACACAGGTGATGTGTCCAAATAGTGCCACAGTTTCCTTCTCATTACTGTCTGCATCATCGGGTCCTTTCTCTACGCGCAAACTTTTCCTTAACTCCCACGTCGAAGCACGGCTTTACCCATGGTGTATTCTCCGATGAGGTACTCCTTGGCGTCCGGCCGGCTGGCGTGGACGGTGCGCAGGGCCCCAAACAGAGGCCTCCACCCCGATTGGATGCGTGAGGCGCAGGCCTCTACCAGCTCCCCAATCGATGTGATCACCTGCGGGGGCACGCCACAGAGGGTGAATGGACAGTGCGAGAAAGACACGTTTGACGCTTTCCCCATTCCGTGTACGTCATCGGTTTTTCTTCCGATTCCGTTCCGATGAAGCGTACACGTCTGTCATCGGAACTGAGTCGAAATAACGGAATCGGAAGAAAAATTTAAAATAAAATAACTTTATCGGTACCGAGGCTCCCACTAGGCTATGCGGGAGGGCGTGTGGCATAGTTTGGCGCCAGCTATCGTAGACTGCGATCGTGTTGCTACAGTTCTTTGCGGTGAGCACGTCTTTAAAAACAACGGCGCTACGCCTTTCTAAATGAAGTTAACACGAACGGCTTGCGCATTCCGCGATTCAGTGGTAAACGGGACACCCACCCTGCAACTTGCAGATGTATCGGAATGGGAAAAGGTTAAGTTTCAGTCCTGTTTGGTTCAAGTGCAGCTATTTCAAGGGCAAAGGCAGTCGAAAATCAAACAAACAACTTCATGCATATGAGGGCGCCGTGGAAGCGAGATGTTAACTATCTTGCTTGGTATGCAGGAGGTCGTGGGTTTGATCCCGACCCTGACACCTGTATATTATGAATGTATATTTGGAGTTTGCATGTTACTCTCCCCATGGTTGCGTGGATTTTTCTCCCAGTGCTCAGCGTTTATAATAAACATCATGCTTTTAGAGTAATTGGGCTGCTGTAAATTTCCACATGATAAGCCCACTTCGTTGAGCTATCATTTGTCGCTTCTGAAAAAGAGCTGTATAGCTCAGTGGGCCTTACCTGGTAAAACGAAAAGTGTAGTTTTTCTATTATATGTTGGAAGCTCATTGTCATCATAATCGGCCGTGATCGATCCACTCCTGCCTCACCTGGTCCTGCACGTCCTCGTCACACAGCTCCAGCTGCATGATGTGCTGGAAGGGCCGAAAGAGCGCCTCGCCCATGTGGAAGTGGGGCAGCTCGCTTCGGCTCGACAGCACCTCGGTCAGGATGTCGTGCAGGAAGGAGACAGCTTTCTGGGATACGTGCCGCTCCTTGTGGCAGGCGGCCTGGGCACACGGTGGCGACGCACGGGAGCACCGACGACGAGCAACAGGGAGCGATGAGTGGCGTGCGCGATCGCTCACGGCGGCCCTTTCGTTATTCCACTGCCAAACAAGGGGCCTCTGCGCACCGTGCAGGTCCGGGGAGAGTTATACGGCCATACTTCACCACGCTGATCATTACGGGGTTGGAGAAGGTGGAGAGCATAAATGCGAGAGCATAGAGGTACAGTACAGCAAGAGATTGTGGTCCGCCTCCTTCCGCTGCTCACTATGCAGCTCCACTGCCGATGACACCTGTTGTTCATAGTAATCGCCCATCTAAGCACTATCCAGGTTCAACTTTGCTAAGCTTCCAAGATCTGATGAGGTCGGGCACATAACAGGTGACAGGCAGTAGAAGTAACAACAACAATAGTGCATGTTGTTTATTTCATTCTCCATGAAATTGTCACCAAGTTGCAGAACTCCTCAGGAGGGTCCTGCATTGGGACGTTTTGGCAGATTTCTTCACGACGTTTTACATTTTGATTTAAAGCTTTCGTGACTGCAGTAATTCATATTCTTAGTTTTTTCGGTAAAGTCACGTTGAAGAGAAACAACAAAATAACAAAATATATATAAAACAATAAAAAATTCTCACGACGTTTCGACCATAACTCAAACGGTCATCATCAGGTGTGTCGGTTTGCATAAATTTATTTTGAAAACGGCATATTTATTTATTTATATATAAAAAAAATAACGTTTGCGTCACGCGCAACGATTGGCAGTTTGCCCAGGACTAGTCCATCTATTTTTTGAAAAGAGGAGGGGGGAGACGAAATTTGTTTTTATGTATGCTGTCTGAAAGCCACTGTAAGCGTGAACAATCAATCAAGAACTGAAATGATTTATCAAATCTTTCCAATGATTGCTAAGATAGAATCCATCTCCTCGGTTGAAATTGTCTCTGTGTTTGTATATGTGGATAGCCTCATGAACGAATCTCTCATGGAAGCCAGATGGCTTACAAAGAACCTCCGTCTTGGAAAAGTCAATGGCATGTGAGCCTACTGAATTAGAACAATGATCTGCTACGGCCGAGGTGTTGGTCCTACCGTGTTTAAGGTCTGCTTTATGTTCACGAATGCGGTCCGAGATATGGCGTTTGGTTTCTCCAATGTAACTACTACCACAGAGGCAACTTAGTTTGTAGACACCAGGGTATTGTATGTCCGGAATCACATCTTTTACAGACGGAACCAGATCACGGATTTTATGTAATGTGTTGAAACGGACCTGGATCTTGTGTTTATTCAAGATTTTGGAGATCTTTTTTGTGATCCCAGCAATGTAGGGTAAAGTGATGGTTTTGAAAGGCTCCTCAAGAGGGTTCTTCTTCATGGTTTGAGTGATAGCTTTGCGGATTGTATAGTCGGAGAAACCATTAGCCCTAAGAGCTTGGTGTACGTGCTTGAGTTCACTGCTTATGTGTTCCTGGTCGGATATGCATTGGGCTCTATGATACAGAGTCTTGATGAGAGAATTCTTCTGTGATGGATGGTGGTGGGAATCCGGTTTCAGATAAGCATCCGTATGGGTAGCTTTCCTGTAGACAGAGTGGCTCATTGAACCATCAGGTCTCTTTTTAATTAGGACATCCAAAAAAGGTATCTTGCCATCTATTTCGACTTCCATGGTAAATCTGATGGCTGGGTGTATGGAATTGATGTGGTCGAAGAATTGGTCTAGAGCAGGCCGGCCATGTGGCCAGATGACAAAAGTGTCATCTACGTACCTCTTCCATAAGGTTGGGCGCAGAGTGGCAGTCTGGATGGCGTCAGTCTCAAATTTCTCCATGAAAATGTTAGCTATAACTGGAGAAAGGGGGGAGCCCATTGGGGTGCCCTCAGTTTGTTTGTAGAAAGTTCCATTTCAAGTGAAGTATGTATTGGTTAAACAGTGTCTCACCAGGGGGGGTACCTCAGTGTTTAGTCCTTGATGAACCAAGTCTTCAATGATTGCAATGGTGTCAGGTACAGGAACCTTGGTGAATAAGGAAACTACATCAAAACTGACAAGCAGGTCGTCTGGGGACAGGGAAATACCCTTGATTGTTGATACCAGGTGAGTAGAATTTTGTACCGCAGAGGTGGTCTTTCCAGTGAAAGGACGCAGGATTTCAGACAAAAAACGAGCTAGTTTGTAGGTGGGGGAGCTGATAGTAGAGACTATGGGACGAAGAGGTGTATCAACTTTATGTATTTTTGGTAAGCCGTATAATCTTGGTGGCCTGGCAGCAGAAGGTTTCAACGAAAACTGTTTAGATTGATCAATTAATGCGGTTGAATCAGAAATTATTTTGTTGGTTTGTGTGACGAGGCTGTTGGTGGGATCTCTTTTTATTTTTGTATAACTACCATCGTCGAGTAATTCTTTAATTTTGTTGTTGTATTCTATTTTATCCATGATGACGTTGCTCTCAGGGGCCTGGGTCACATCGCTGCAGACGTAGCAAGATCTGAAATCGCTGCAACCCTCAAAAACGCTAAGATGCCAGCTAGCAACCTCAGCAAAGATGAGCGTTTTGAATTATATAAATTAAAAAAGAGGAATGATATTGTAGTTCTCTCAGCTGACAAAGGCAATGCTACTGTCATCATGGATAAAATAGAATACAACAACAAAATTAAAGAATTACTCGACGATGGTAGTTATACAAAAATAAAAAGAGATCCCACCAACAGCCTCGTCACACAAACCAACAAAATAATTTCTGATTCAACCGCATTAATTGATCAATCTAAACAGTTTTCGTTGAAACCTTCTGCTGCCAGGCCACCAAGATTATACGGCTTACCAAAAATACATAAAGTTGATACACCTCTTCGTCCCATAGTCTCTACTATCAGCTCCCCCACCTACAAACTAGCTCGTTTTTTGTCTGAAATCCTGCGTCCTTTCACTGGAAAGACCACCTCTGCGGTACAAAATTCTACTCACCTGGTATCAACAATCAAGGGTATTTCCCTGTCCCCAGACGACCTGCTTGTCAGTTTTGATGTAGTTTCCTTATTCACCAAGGTTCCTGTACCTGACACCATTGCAATCATTGAAGACTTGGTTCATCAAGGACTAAACACTGAGGTACCCCCCCTGGTGAGACACTGTTTAACCAATACATACTTCACTTGGAATGGAACTTTCTACAAACAAACTGAGGGCACCCCAATGGGCTCCCCCCTTTCTCCAGTTATAGCTAACATTTTCATGGAGAAATTTGAGACTGACGCCATCCAGACTGCCACTCTGCGCCCAACCTTATGGAAGAGGTACGTGGATGACACTTTTGTCATCTGGCCACATGGCCGGCCTGCTCTAGACCAATTCTTCGACCACATCAATTCCATACACCCAGCCATCAGATTTACCATGGAAGTCGAAATAGATGGCAAGATACCTTTTTTGGATGTCCTAATTAAAAAGAGACCTGATGGTTCAATGAGCCACTCTGTCTACAGGAAAGCTACCCATACGGATGCTTATCTGAAACCGGATTCCCACCACCATCCATCACAGAAGAATTCTCTCATCAAGACTCTGTATCATAGAGCCCAATGCATATCCGACCAGGAACACATAAGCAGTGAACTCAAGCACGTACACCAAGCTCTTAGGGCTAATGGTTTCTCCGACTATACAATCCGCAAAGCTATCACTCAAACCATGAAGAAGAACCCTCTTGAGGAGCCTTTCAAAACCATCACTTTACCCTACATTGCTGGGATCACAAAAAAGATCTCCAAAATCTTGAATAAACACAAGATCCAGGTCCGTTTCAACACATTACATAAAATCCGTGATCTGGTTCCGTCTGTAAAAGATGTGATTCCGGACATACAATACCCTGGTGTCTACAAACTAAGTTGCCTCTGTGGTAGTAGTTACATTGGAGAAACCAAACGCCATATCTCGGACCACATTCGTGAACATAAAGCAGACCTTAAACACGGTAGGACCAACACCTCGGCCGTAGCAGATCATTGTTCTAATTCAGTAGGCTCACATGCCATTGACTTTTCCAAGACGGAGGTTCTTTGTAAGCCATCTGGCTTCCATGAGAGATTCGTTCATGAGGCTATCCACATATACAAACACAGAGACAATTTCAACCGAGGAGATGGATTCTATCTTAGCAATCATTGGAAAGATTTGATAAATCATTTCAGTTCTTGATTGATTGTTCACGCTTACAGTGGCTTTCAGACAGCATACATAAAAACAAATTTCGTCTCCCCCCTCCTCTTTTCAAAAAATAGATGGACTAGTCCTGGGCAAACTGCCAATCGTTGCGCGTGACGCAAACGTTATTTTTTTATATATATATATATAAATAAATATGCCGTTTTCAAAATAAATTTATGCAAACCGACACACCTGATGATGACCGTTTGAGTTATGGTCGAAACGTCGTGAGAATTTTTTATTTTTTATATATATTTTGTTATTTTGTTGTTTCTCTTCAACGTGACTTTACCGAAAAAACTAAGAATATAACGTTTTACATGTGTGGTAGAAAACGAACATGCACAGTGCCACAGTCGCCAATCTAGCGTTCAGGGAGATGCTTCGAACGGCGGTCTAAAACCCGGCCGCGCGAACCCGGCCGCGTGAATGGCGACGAGGCACAGCAAGCGGAGCTCACCTCGACGAGGTGGGGCGCCACCACGGCCCACGTGCGGAAGAGGTGCAGCAGTGGGCGTCGCGAATCGCGCACCACACGCAGCATCGTGTCGCCCAGCCGGAAGAGGTGCAGGGCGCTGCGGCGGCCCTGCGTCGACCTTGCCACCCCCTCGGCGCAGCACAGCACTGCGATGGGGGGGGGGTGCGTGGGGGGCACACACAGACGGCGACCTCGTTGCAAAACGCGACTAGCTGGCGCAGAGATCGCAGCCCCATCGTGTGGAATGCTCGAAGGCACAACATCGAGAACAAACCACCTCGGGCTCGACCACTTACAAGCGTGACCTGAAGAGACACATTTACGTAGCGTGCGAAAGAAGTTCAACAACAAATGTACAAACTGCACATAACCACGGTTTTGCATTTCTTAAATGACTATTCACCTTATATTACACACACAGCATGGAGGGAATGGGCGTTATACGCGACTTCTTCTTACACAGGGGGTCTCTCGGGCAAGTGAAGGAGGAGCAACAATGGGGTAATCTGAAATTAAGATAATCACAGCGTTTAACAACCCATCAATTAATATAATAAAATTGATTCTTACACTCGTGATAGGTGCGCAGAGAGCCATGCTTGTGAGAACGATCGTTTACATTCGTTCATAACATAGGTATTTGGGTTAGATCGCGTAAATATATAAATGTGTCGTTTTGCACAAAACGTCAACATTATCAAAATCATATTCTTAGTTTTTTCGGTAAAGTCACGTTGAAGAGAAACAACAAAATAACAAAATATATATAAAACAATAAAAAATTCTCACGACGTTTCGACCATAACTCAAACGGTCATCATCAGGTGTGTTGGTTTGATGATGACCGTTTGAGTTATGGTCGAATCGTCGTAAGAATTTTTTATTGTTTTATATATATTTTGTTATTTTGTTGTTTCTCTTCAACGTGACTTTACCGAAAAAACTAAGAATATGAATTACTGCAGTCACGAAAGCTTTAAATCAAAAATTATCAAAATCAATTGAGTGTCCTTGTTAGCACGCGTGTTCTGCTATTGCTGACAGTTGCATTTGGGAGAATTAAATGTTATGTTTGCCCAACATAACATTTACCACACGTGCAGTTAATCCTATACACCTTCTGTTGATAGCTTCGGTAATACATCTTTTGTATCAGATATTAAATTCTGTATTTTATGTATCGTGCCAAATCTGACTCGGATGTTTTGTTTTTCCAAACATCTGGATAGTTTTTCAGTTACTCCCGCAAACGGTATTTTGATTGTTTTAATTACTTGAGCAATTTAAATATTCTTGTTATTTGATTTGGTTTTGGTATTCAATGCCTTGTTGATTTCTGCAACATTGTAACCGTTCATTTGCAGCGTTTCTTTAACATGTTGAATTTCACTTCTCAGACTGTCACCATGTGACACTTTTTTAGCTCGATGAATGAGCGTCTTGATATAAGAGCAGATTTTTGTGCGGGGTGATGGTGACTCTGTTTTAATATAGGCGTCAGTATGCGTTTTCTTTCGGTAAACACTGTCTGTTATTTTACCATTTCTACCCCGTCCGAGCAGAATATCCAGAAATGGTAGACTTCTGTCAGTTTACACTTCCATGGTGAACTGGATGGATGGGTTTTGAGAGTAGAGATTATTTAGAAATGCGTTCAGTGTAAATTTGCCGTGTGGCCAGACCACCAATGTGTCATCCACATATCTAAACCAAGCAGATGGTTTTAGTGTGCTTGAAGCTATTGCTTTTGTTTCAACATCTTCCATGTACAAATTCGCTATCACAGGATACAAAGGAGAGCCCATTGCTGCTCCTTCCTTTTGTTTATAGAAATCACCTTGCCACAAGAAGTAGGTGTTTTTAGACAGTGCTCAGCTAGTCTTGGGATATCTTTGGCTAAACCGTTGTTCGTTACCAGAGTGTCGAGAAATGTAATTGATTCGTTGACCGGAACCCTCGTGAACAGAGAGGTCACGTCATTAGGATTAAGCTTAATATCTTTAATTAAATTGATGAGATGTTCAGAGTTTTTGATGAACGAAGAGGTCCGACCGATGAAGGGCTGTATTAGTTTCGTTACGTATTGTGCTAATTTGTACGTGGCAGAGCCTACTGTACTAACTATGGGTCTTAATGGGACATCAGGTTTGTGAATTTTTGGTAGCCCATAAAGTCTTGGTGGTTTTGATGCCCTTGGTTTGTTCAGGTATTGCTCTTCCTTGGGAATTGATGACTTGGCAATGATTGCCATTGTTTTAAGTTCCAAGGTGCTGGTTAGGTTTAATTTTAAGGTAAGAACCTTCATCAAGTAAATCTTTGATTTTATTATCATAGTCCTCACGGGGCATCACAACAGTCGATGGGCCCTTATCAGCAGCAAGAATTTGGATATCTTTATTTGCTCTCAATTCGCTTAAGGCTTTTACTTCACTCAAGTTAATATTTGTTTTTGGCACTTTGTTATTCTCACTAATTTTGGCAACCTCGTGCCTAGTCATCTCTGCTTGATTATGAGGGAGATGTCTAACTGCTGATTCAACTTCAGCAATGATCTTATCGACAGGGATTGTACGTGGGCCAACAGCAAAGTTAAGACCTTTAGACAGGACTGAAACCATCTCGCTAGATAATTCAACGTTAGTCATGTTGATAACCGTTTTATTTATGAGATGTTCATTTTCTGTTGAGAGTTGTTTGTTAGTTAGTCTAGCAAATTTGTAAATTTGGGTAGTATTCGTTTTGTTAAATACATTATCAGCTGATTGCAGTGTAATTGTGTCGATTATATTCCAGTGATCTGTAGAGACACTGTTACTCATTTTTACATGTAAGGAAATTAGTGATTTAGAAGTGTGACTTAGTTCACTTCTATTATGCTGTATTCTCAATAGACAGAAAGGACAAGTTCAAAGTGCTCGCATAATGCACATGCATAATGTACGTTGCCTCAGTAATCACCCCCCCCACATTGTGCAAGAGCGCAGATGAAGTACGCCTTTTGGCGTCCTCTGGTCTAACACTGTTTGAGACGAGGCTCGAAACAAAGCTGTCTCTGGCGTGGACCAATCAGTTTCAAGGACAATGCCACTACATTATCAGAGTATTTTTTTTGTTTGCATTCTGACCACAAGTATTGTGGTTAATGCAGACATTATTCCTTGTAAAAGGTTTCAGTTTGGTGTTTTAACATCTTAATACCTGTTATGTTGCCAGAAAAAAGGGGAAAACCTCTTCTCAGCGCAGAAGGGTGGTCAACACATCTACGCCTCTATATAAGGAACGAAACAGTAAGACGTCTCCACAAATCTGGCTGTCGCCTGAAGCTAGTTGTAATTACTGGTGAAACGTCATACTCAGTTTGCAAATGTTGTGGCATGGCTCTCCAACACACCGGTGTGCTGTACTAGTGACGAGTTGGCACGTTCTGTTTACGTGACAACCCTTACTAGTTGGCTGTGTTGAGTGGTGGCGGGTTTTAACGACACATTTATACATTTACGCGATCTAACCCAAAAACCTCTATTATGGATGATATTGGTCGCGAAAGCCAAACGTGTTTACATTCGTGTATGTTAGTGTACACTGTGGAGAAAAGTCAATGTTGCACAGTGCGGTCTGTTCCCCGTTCTTCGGCTTCTGAAAGCAGCCCGATGCCACGGTGGCCGTGTGGGCATGAGGGCCGGTACCTGGCATGGCGAGGGCGTAGTCGGTGCTCTCCGCCACCGAGTCGAATAGCTGGGCCTGCGACGCGCGACGCAGCTGCTGCAGGAAACCGACGAGTGCGGCCAGGTTCAGCTTGTACGCCGCCTCCTCAAATAGCCTGCCACCAGCCAGCAGCACAGACGAGCACAACCGTCGTACGGAGCGGGCAGGGGTGGCGCGGATGTGGCCCCGGCGCTACAGCGTTTAGGGGCAGCAGGGGTGGGGGGGTCACAGTTCGAACCCCCGTGGCCGCCCTAGTTAACACTGTGGGTGTATTGACCATAAAATAAACGCGCCGTCTGCTTCACAGGTTACGTTGAAGAGGGGGGTGAGGGGTGGAGGGGGGGTGGGCAGTGTGGAAAAAAAAAGCAATACAGATGTTCACGCGATTTACGAGGTGTTAATTTTATACCGAGTCAACCTACAGGCATCCAGGACAGCTATCGCCTGTCCACAAATGCACAAAGATTCTCAGACTGTAAACTGCAGGTGCCAGCACCTACCGCGGTTGGTATGGGATACAAAGGGGTGGGTGTGGCCGGTATCATGCCCAGCCACCTTTGTCTCCGTAGTGCTGGTTACGCACTGCAATAGGTATTCTAAACAAAACTATTTTATTCACCAGGTAAAAGCCCACTGAGCTATTAGCTCTCTTTCAGAAGCGACCTGGCCACAATGATATCTCAACAAAGTAGCTAATCACGTGCAAATTTATCGCAGCCAAATAATGTAAAGGAATTGTACACCGTGCAGGCCTTAATGTACAGTGAGAGAAAAAAGTATTTGATCCCCTGCTGATTTTGTACGTTTGCCCACTGACAAAGAAATGATCAGTCTATAATTTTAATGGTAAGTTTATTTGAACAGTGAGAGACAGAATAACAACAGAATCCAGAAAAACGCATGTCAAAAATGTTAGAAATTGATTTGCATTTTAATGAGGGAAATAAGTATGACCCCTCTGCAAAACATGGCTTAGTACTTGGTGGCAAAACCCTTGTTGGCAATCACAGAGGTCAGACGTTTCTTGTAGTTGGCCACCAGGTTTGCACACATCTCAGGAGGGATTTCGTCCCACTCCTCTTTGCAGATCTTCTCCAAGTCATTAAGGTTTCGAGGCTGACGTTTGGCAACTTGAACCTTCAGCTCCCTCCACAGATTTTCTATGGGATGAAGGTCTGGAGACTGGCTAGGCCACTCCAGGACCTTAATGTGCTTCTTCCTGAGCCACTCCTTTGTTGCCTTGGCCGTGTGTTTTGGGTCATTGTCATGCTGGAATACTCATCCACGACCCATTTTCAATGCCCTGGCTGAGGGACGAGGTTCTCACCCAAGATTTGACGGTACATGGCCCCGTCCATCGTCCCTTTGATGCGGTGAAGTTGTCCTGTCCCCTTAGCAGAAAAACACCCCCAAAGCATAATGTTTCCACCTCCATGTGTGACGGTGGGGATGGTGTTCTTGAGGTCATAGGCAGCATTCCTCCTCCTCCAAACACGGCGAGTTGAGTTGATGCCAAAGAGCTCCATTTTGGTCTCATCTGACCACAACACTTTCACCCAGTTGTCCTCTGAATCATTCAGATGTTCATTGGCAAACTTCAGACGGGCATGTATATGTGCTTTCTTGAGCAGGGGGACCTTGTGGGCGCTGCAGGATTTCAGTCCTTCACGGCATAGTGTGTTACTAATTGTTTTCTTGGTGACTATGGTCCCAGCTGCCTTGAGATCATTGACAAGATCCTCCCGTGTAGTTCTGGGCTGATTCCTCACCGTTCTCATGATCATTGCAACTCCACGAGGTGAGATCTTGCATGGAGCCCCAGGCCGAGGGAGATTGACAGTTCTTTTGTGTGTCTTCCATTTGCGAATAATCGCACCAACTGTTGTCACCTTCTCACCAAGCTGCTGGGCAATGGTCTTGTAGCCCATTCCAGCCTTGTGTAGGTCTACAACCTTGTCCCTGACATCCTTGGAGAGCTCTTTGGTCTTGGCCATGGTGAAGAGTTTGGAATCTGATTGATTGATTGCTTCTGTGGACAGGTGTCTTTTATACAGGTAACAAGCTGAGATTAGGAGCATACTCCCTTTAGGAGTGTGCGCCTAATCTCAGCTCATTACCTGTATAAAAGACACCTTGGAGCCAGAAATCTTTCTGATTGAGAGGGGGTCAAATACTTATTTCCCTCATTAAAATGCAAATCAATTTATAACATTTTTGACATGCGTTTTTCTGGATTTTGTTCTTGTTATTCTGTCTCTCACTGTTCAAATAAACCTACCATTAAAATTATAGACTGATCATTTCTTTGTCACTGGGCAAACGTACAAAATCAGCAGGGGATCAAATACTTTTTTCCCTCACAGTACATATGTACAGTCATACCTCGGTATACGACCGCTTTGGAATACGTCGAATTTGGTATACGTCGTGTTGTGACGAGAAAAAAATGTCTTGGGACACGACATCTTGCTTGGGATACGACGCGCTTGCTAGAACTTGCATGGGTCAGGATGAGTCACCGCGTACACGCGTAGACCCCGTTCACGACTGAAACAAAGCGCCGCTCCTCAATCTGCCTGTACAGTAGATCTCGTTCAGTGCACAACCCTTGCTGTAACTCGTAGGCTATCAACTCCTCTCAGCAAGGTAAAGTGACGTGAAATTTTATTGTTATTTCAATTTATTTTAATTTATTTATGCATTTATTTCCATGTATGTATGCATTTTAACAATAAGTAGTGTCTACATTATGTTATACAACCCCATTAATGTTTAATATGCCATATAAAATATAATTTCTTATACTCTGGAACGAATTATTTCCTTTCCCTTTATTTCTTATGGGAAAAATTAGTTTGGTAGACGTCACTGTCGGTATAAGTCCTCCTACCTTCTGGAACGAATTAACGACGTATACCGAGGTACCACTGTATGTTTACTTATTTAACACCGTACGTAGCCAACCATGATAATCAGAGGTGTGGGGGGAAGGACAACAAACTAAACACAAACATCAGTACTTTAAGAAATTAGTTTTTAATCTAGATAATGTGTTTTGGGTACCAGCACTTGTCCAAACGTTCTGTAAAACATTTTTTTTAACAAGCGAATCATGGCCTTTGTGGCGCAAGCTTACGACTCCACGGGGCTGCCTCACCGGTCGACCTCGGTGGACAGGCTGCAGATGACCTTGGCCATGTTGGCAGGGGTGAGGACGCCTCCGTTTCCCCCAAAGTCGAAGCTGCCGCGGGGCCTCGCGGCGCTGTCCCCGATCAGCTCCTGCACGCTCGGGCTCTGACGGGCGGGAAATCATTCAGTCTAGCATGGGGGAAGTCTAACATTCAATCTAGTGTGGGACGGTCTAACATTCAGTCTAGTGTGGGGGCAGTCTAACATTCAGTCTAGTGTGGGGACAGTCTAACATTCAGTCTAATGTGGGGGCAGTTCAACAGTCTAGTATTCGGTCAAATTAACATGCATATGGCACAATTCAGAGCAGCGCTCTACCCCATAGCATTGTGATTGAATTTAAGAATTCTCCTATGCCTTGTTTTACTGTCTCATTTGTATTCACTCTACGGTAACAAAGTTAAAGTGTATGAGGTCGAAACAGGAGGATTTCTTCACAACTCTGGCTGTCGCCACGGTACTCGAATTGTAAATATTGCAGTGGGTTTACTCTCCAACACACCGGTGTGCTGAACTAGTCACTAATTGGCACGTATTGTATAAGTGACAAACCTTACTAATTGGCTGTGTCCGGTGGTGGCGGGTTTAACGACATATTTATATTTATGCGATCTAACGCAAGAAAAACCTCTATCATGGATAATATTGGTCGCGAAAGCCTACCACATGTTAAACAGGTAACACAGTCCCTTCCTATTTGGCGCACACCCCCTCCCCCCCAAAGGGACATCTCCCTCCACGGTTAAGCTCCATCGGCACGATCCCCATGTGGCAAGCACTCACCTGCGGCCCGGGGAAGGGCCCGGGAAAGCCGGAGGAGCCGAGGCCGGGAGCGGGGCCGGGGGTGTGGCCCGGGGAGCCCGGTTCGTCCAGGAGGCGGCCGGGACTCGTCGCCGCCAGCGGGTCAGCGTCGCGCGGCGGGCGCGTGAAACCGCGCGAGGTCGACGTGCCGCCCTCGCAGAAGTGACTGTGCTCCAGCGCGCTGATGTACTCGCACACACTGTGGCAGACGCGCGTGGGCACGGTGCGTTTATTAAACCACCATCACGTGAACTGCGGTTTATCCTCACAGCGGCGGTGGCGGCTTTTGGCTGGCCATCGAACAAAAACTGCATCGCGTGCTTTCAGATGCGCTTCTCCGGCCATCTGGAACACCCTGATTTCAGATATAAGGAAGCCACTGGAGCTATGCACTTTCAAATCCAGATTGAAAACTAATTTCTTTAAAACTGCTTTTGTGTGTAAGTGCGGTTTGGCTATATAATGGTGCAAAATACGTTCAACATACGTATTTATGTATGTAGAACTAATTTCGTACCATATGTAGCCAACCATACTTGAATTGTAAATGTTGTGGGTTCACTCTGCAACACATGTGTCTGGTGGTGGTCGGTTTAACGACACATTTATAAGTATTTATGCATGAATGTTGAACTTGTTTTGCACAGCACGTAGCCAACTGCGCTAATTGGAGGTACGGGGAAGGATAACGAGGGGCGGAACAAAATTGGGATCAGGCCGCGGCACAGCTCAGGGTGAGCTCGCCGCTCCTCGCCTCGAGAGGGAGACACGGTGAGCTCGAGTCGAACACGGGACCTCACGGTGCCGCAGGCGTGCGGGTTGGAAAGAGGAGGTTGTGCCGGGGGCTTGCAGCCAGGCAAAGTGGGCGCGGGCGCTCACCGGAAGACGTGGTGCCAGCACTCGGACGCGTGGCTCCCCATCTCCAGCCCTACGTCCAGTATGGCCTCCATGCAGAGGGCGTGGGCCGCGTGAAGCCTCACGCCGGCGGGGCGGCCCATCTGCTCAAGTTTCTGCTCTACCTTCTGTCTCACTGCACACACAAATGCGCACAAAAGATCCCCCGTGTAGCCTTCACGGACTGTTGGGGCAAGTGCTGTTTTTTTTCTAAATTGAAAACTCATTTTTTTTCGAACTGCTTTTTGTATTTCCTCTGTTGTATTTTCACCCTCGCGCCTCAGAATAGCACGGTTGGCTACTTACGGTGCGTTAGAAGTTCAATAAACATACGTACATACCGAGCACCTACGAAGCCCAACATGGCACAGGAGGAGGGTGGGTGGCCTGCACCATGCATGGCCACCTTTGTCTCCGCAGTGGCAATGTTTACACACAGCACAAGGAAGCCATTTAAGGCCAAGTCGACCTATGGCAGGCCCAGGTGCTGTTCCGATATTCACCACTGGATCTGGCCGTGAGTGGGAATGGACCTCGGACTGCCGGGTTTGTAACACAGCACGCTAATCGCCACACTACCGCTCCCCACAAAATAAGTTTAACACACGTACATATTTATGTGCCCTCTGTCATGACTGTTGATTTGGGTTCAATAAAATAAAAAAGCCACTGGGGTTCCCACAGTGCAATGGTTTAGGCTTCATTTAAGGCTGAGTTGACCTAGGCTATGTCCAGGTCATGTCCTGATATTCACCACCAGAGTTGGCCGTGAGAGGAGAATTAAACTCGGGTCATTGATACTGTATCACAGTTTGCTAACCAATGCACCACTGCACAAACGAATACACACAAGGGCACACACGCATACACCACGTCCCCATAGAGTCTCTCACACAGTTGGGGACACGTGCTCTCAGCGAACGCAAAATGTGTTTGTCAGCCATCTCGGAAGGCTCACACCTGGGTTTGAACCCAGGAATCTCAACAACGCAGGCTCAGCGTCTCTCGAAAGGATACAACTCCCCTCTGCATCACCCCACCATTTAGCGCACATGCGTTCCAAATGCATGTGTTGATCACGGACGTGTGTTATTAATGTGTGAGTGCACTCAAAGGAGGTGTCATGGATGTTTGTGGGGAGGGAGAGGAGGGAGGGGAGGGAGGGGGAGTGAGGGGGAGTGAGGGAGTGAGGGAGTGAGGGGGAGGGAGGGGAGTGAGGGAGGGGAGTGAGGGAGGGAGCGTCACCGTGGGAGATGGAGTCGGATGGCTCCGTGATCTCGCGCTCGTCCCGGTCGCTGAGCACGCACGACGCGTCGGCCATCTGAGCCAGCGCTGAGGCGCAGTTCGCTGCTACTCCTATACGAAACGAGACAAAGACAAAGATTCCCCCCAAATATTGCCTGGGCAGACTTTTAGGGCAAGGGCTGTTACCGAGTAACACCTAAGAAGGCATTGCCCCAGACACTCATTCGATGCCGAGATGACCTAGCGGAGGCTCCGGATTGGTTCAGATAATTGTCACCGGTGTTGGCCGTGAGGGGGAAACGAAACTCAGGTTGTTGAGTTTACAGCATCCTGCCATAACCGCTAAACTACATACATATAAATACACATACAGTTGATCATCGATTATCCGTCTGCTTCCAACATTACCTGGCGGTCCCAGGATGATCCGGCGAAACCAGAAAAAACGTTCCAAAGACTGTACCAGTCCGGTGATCGGCACCGTGTGCATGACAAAAAAGTATCTATCTTTGATTTCAGTGTCAAATATTATTAACAGTACATTACACACTACATACAACAATCTAAACAATTAAAATACTGCACGTATATATACACATTTTTCATGACGAATAACTAAAGTACTAACAACAAAAAATGTACAGTGCGATCCGGCGAAAAGTGTGTGTAAAGGCTGCATCAGTCCAGCGATTGTCAAACACTTGTTGTTGATACAACAGCGTAGTAGTGTGTACATGACCCCATGCAGAGTCTTTGATATTGCAGTGGTAAGCATGGTTCAGCAACTTTTTACAGTGGGATATTTATTTTTGTCTATTTGTATGTTAATTTGTTCCAATTTCATGTAGTAAACAATTTAAAACACAAAAAAAAAACATATACACACAACACCAAAAAACTTATAGAAGAATGTGCAAAAATAAGCTATTTTAAATCATTATTATCTGGCTTTTTGAAAACCCGGCACCTCCTTCCCTCCGAAGCCGCTGGATAATCGAATGATCCACTGTACATACATACACTTACAGATACATAAACAGAGGATAGATGCATACACTGATTTTTTTTTTTATAGTCGACGTGTATGTACAATTCTCTGCCTGAATGTTTGATGAAAGGCAGAGAGAAAAGGGAGCCCTTGAAAAAAAACTTCTGTTCACGAGTCAGTCTGCGTACCTCAGTCGGGTGTTAGCTGCTGAGGTCGTGATGGGTTCTCCTTTCATTCCTGTTGCTCCGTGCCCCCTGCGCACCGTTCCCCTTGTGTCGTAATGTGCACCGACGCCTACTTTATCGAAGCCGATATTGGCACGTTAAATCGAGATTTATTGATGTATTAATCTCGTATGTATGAGCACGTCAGTATATCAGCCTGTCAGTCCGCCCGTGAGTGAGTTAATGTGCCATTTTACGATGGGACTACTGCTGTGGTGTCATCTTGGTGTGGTCTGCGACTGTTGTTGTTTTTTCGACCTTGCCCAATCTTCATAAATCGGACTTATGTAACGAATTGATTCAAAACTTATTTATATTTAGTGACTTGCTTACGATTTTCTCTATTTTGCACCCCTACCATGTTTTGTTGTATTGTTTGCTGTTGTAAACTTACTGACCCCGTGCCCCCTACTGGACATCTGTGAAAAACATATTTTCATAAGCTCATCGGATTTCCTCCTCCTATTCTAAAAGAAACATTCTGATTTTGAGTGAGTGAGTTCGTCCACCGACACAGGTGCGAAGCCCTCTCACCGAGCTGGCAGCTGAGCCGCGCGGCTTTGCGGAGTCCGTCCAGGCTCAGGCACACGGCCTCGCGCTCGCGCTGCCGTTGCTCGCGAGCGCCGTCGCCGCCCAGCAGGGCCGAGAGCCCCCGTGTGCCGCCCCTGTTCCAGCCGCCCAGCGGCGCCGACAGGATGTCGATCAGGTTCCGCCAGCAGCCCACCAGGATGGTGCGCGCAAAGCTCGCGCCTGCAGAGGGGGCGGGGAGACGAGAAGAAGGCCGGTGTGCGTGTGTGTACATATGCTGAACTTCTTTCACACCGCATGTAGCCAACCGTGCTGATCGGAGGTGTGATGCGCAAGTTCTGTGGAGTACGGTGCAAAAACAACCTCACACCTTCTCGGTGGTGCCGGACGGTAACGCTGCCGTGGCTGTGAGCAATGCCATTGGGGGGAGGCCGATTCCATTCGACTGTTCGCCTCATGGCGCTTTGTAGCCACCACATCGGCAAATTGGGGCTCTGAATGGGTAAGAGGGGCTGGTGACCCCTCCACCTTCAATTCAATTACCACAAGACCACGATTTAAATATCAAATTAAGCTTCTGCCGGAGGCCCCAGGGGGAAAGTCATCTATGACATCTTCTAGGAGACTGAACCGCACCCTCAGGGTTCCTCCAGAAATGGCAAAAAGCCACTACGAGTGGCCACGTGGAATGTTCGGAGGAGAGGCTGCGACTCCTCCGTTGTGAGCTGGACCAGTACAGCCTAGATCTCTGTGGTATTCAAGAGGGCGGATGGACTGGTTCTGGCTCCAGTCACTATGAGGGGTGGACAGCCATCTACTTGGGGTAGGAAACTGCCAAACAACATGGAGTGGTTCTTCTTCTGAACAAAAGAATGAAGGGGGTGTGGAAGCTGGGCGGTGAGGTGTGGGAAGTTGTTAGTCCGATGCTGTTGGCATGTGTCCCCATCAATGGGAGGTGGGGAGTGGTGGTGGTGGCTTACGCCCTGCCAAAGATGACCTTCAGAGGAGAGATTCCTGCAAGGCCAAATGAATTAGACGCCTTCTATGACCTGCTGTCACTGGTGCTAGTTGAAGTGGTCCCTCGGGATAGTCATCCTGTTGGGTGACTTTAAAGCCCGAGTTGGTCATGACGCAGGCGCCTAGGCTGAAGTGATTGGAAGGCATGGGCCAGATTAGCTCAATAGCAATGGGAGGAGGCTGCTACACTTCTGTGGAGCCCATGGGCTTTTAATTACCAACACACATCGGCGCATCCACACATCATGAATGCACGCCAGGTCCAAGCAAGAACATCTGCTGGAGTATATAGTGACGGAACAGCGGATACGGGCCTATGTCCTTGACACCAGCACCTACCGTGCAGCTGATCTGAACTGCTTTTGTGTTAAGTTTGTTGTCCTTTCCCCGCACCTCCTATTGCACGACTGGCTACGTACGTATTCTTGGGTCTTACGGTAAAGTCACGTAGATAGGTTCAAAGAAAATAATAAAAAATAACAAAAAACTACGCCGTTTCGATTGCAACACAAGCGGTCGTCTTTTTTTTTTTCGTGAAGATGACCGCTTGTGTTGCGATCGAAACGCCGTAGTTTTTTTGTTATTTCTTGTTATTTTCTTTGAACCTATCTACGTGACTTTACCGAAAGACCCAAGAATATTAATTCCTGCAGGCACAAAAGCTTTAAGTCAAGATTTGGCTATGTACAGTGTGACAGAAGTTCAATATAAATACACATCCTGGGTTTGCAGGCTGGATTACGTGAACTCACAAATCCTTGAAAGATCTGGACACAGTCCCATCAGTGAGCTCCTCCGACACGCAAGGCTGTATTGGCTGGGTCATGTAGCCTGCATGCCCAGCCACCGCATTCCCAAACAGCTTTTTCTTGGCCAGATAGAGGGGGCTTAATGGATGCGCCATGGTCTAGAAAAGAGATGGACTGATATGGTACAGGAGGAAATGGAACTGAGTGGACTTGCCGATGGCTGGTACCAGCAGTGTCAAGATCAGCGTCTGTGGAGGAGGCTCGTGAAGGACGCTACTGGGCAGTTGGAGGCAGGCGCCCTCCAATAATAGCGGAGGGCAGAGGCGCGACGCTCACAACAACGAACGGAGATCCAGGCAGCTAAAACACAGCAAGTTGGCACAGTAGGGGACACAGGTGGTGCATCTGCCAATCATCTCAGTCAGCTAACCCATGGCACCTGGGTCTGTCCCGTGGCGTGCACATAAAGTGCACATAACCTGGCACAAGCGCCATGGTGACGTCACCACCACTTCGTGGTGATTGGCAGTTTTTTTTGTTGTTGGTGTATGTAACACATTGGTTTTCTAAATGCATTTTCGATGCGAGATAATGAATATGAACACATAGAACAGGGAAGATACGCAGATAGACTGTCAAAATACTAAGTGTATGGCTGGGTCATGTAGCCTGACTGTCAAAATACTAAGTGTATTTTGACAGGACATGTCGCTAGAAAAGATCATGGGAAGAGACTGAAACTAATGATAAGAGTGGAAACCAATGGACATCCACCACAGAAATGGAGTAATAAGATCAGCTTATACGCAGGTGCTAGGTGGACTGTTACACCACTAGACTGTGTGTGTGCGGCTTACGCGAGTGTTCATAGAGGTTTATACATGTCAGTGTGATGCGTCCAATGCTATGAAATCGTTACCAGCTGAGACGGAGTCGCACTGAGCCTCGGCGTAGCGGTTGCAGGCCAGGGGAGAGTGACCCGACACCTCGAACACCATTTGTCCTCCGATCAAGTTGCTCCCAAGTCCGTCCAGATCTGCAATGAACAGCAACAAACGCTCTTCGAGGCAATGCCAGCCGGTCACTGTTCATATGTTGCAGTTCGAGTGGGTGATGGGCAATCGAAAAGGTTCAAGCTTGAAACTCATTTAAGTCTCAGTGCGTAGCTGCAAGGTGAGAGCCGTTTGTTTTGACTGCATATACGTTTTTTGAGGTTTGTGCTGTAATGCTGTCCAATATTATTTTGGGTTGTACTGCGCAGCGTCCGGCACGATTTCACTCCACGTGCTGGGAACTGAAGCTCCCAGGATGTAAAGAAATTGTTTTATTCTGAAAATATTTCGCCTGGAAAATCCCTCGAGATGGAACATCTCGTTTGCATGAGTGGTCAAGGGTATCATGTCGGAAATGATACCCTGAGACACAGCAGGAATCATGTCAAACAACAGGTGGTAACCACACCAACATCACATCGGATTCCTTGGTTTAATTGTGTCTGAATCGAGGGAGCTCTACTCAACCAGCCACTGCCCCCCCTCTCCCAGCTGTCCCTACGCCCCCCTGGTTTGGTTAGAAAAGGAACCCGGTACACCTTAACCAGTCTCTGTATGGGGAGATAGGACTACCCAGAGAGCGCAATCCCTGAACTGCTTTTTGCGTGTCGATTTTGTCGTCCTTCCTCGGCACCGATGATTAAAACAGTTGGCTAAGTACGGTGCGAAAGAAGTTCAAAAAGACAAAGATACCCCCGTATAGCCTTAACAGATTGTTTGGCGAAGTGCTGTTAGCGAGCAGCACCTATGAAGTCCAGCACAGCACACGAGGGAATGGGTGGCCAACATCATGCCCGGCCGCCTTTGTCTCCCCATTGGCGATGTTTAAACATCGTACCAGCCGAGTCGACATAGGAGAGGCTCAGAACCGGTTCAGATAATTGTTACTGGCGTTGGCCGTGAGCGGGAATTGAACTCTGGTCGCCGGTTTCGTAGAGCAGCATGCTCACTGCTACACTATCGATCCCCACAAAAGAAATTCAACACGCATACATGCATGTTTATGTGCCCTGTCATAACTGTTGATTCGGTTTCAATAAAATAAGATAAAAATCTACTAGGACTGCAATGGTGCAGGCTTCCTGTTCCTGTCCGCGCCGGCGCCGCACCGGTGAGCATGGTGACGAGGGCGGACGCGTTCTCCTGCGTGCTGGCCCGGTAGCCCGCCTCGCTCAACAGGTTCCTCTGCCGCACCTGGTTGTAAACTTCCTCCAGCCACGTGTTGGACAGCACCAGCATGATTCCGCTGCACTGCAGCTGCTGGGCAAACTCCCTCTGCCGCGGGGGAAACATTCGGAAATGCATAAGTCAGAGGGCAAGGGGGTAAGCGGGCATGCATGCTGAAGGGTGGGTGAGCAACTAGGTGGGTAGGTAGGTGACTGGGTAAGTAGGTGAGTAGGTAGGTTGCTAGGTGGGTAGATGGGTAGGTAGATGAGTATGTGGGCAGGTAGGTATATAACGGAGAAGTTAGTGTGGATATTTATCCAGGTGACCTACAGGGCTAGTGAATAGGTCATCAGTTAAGTTTGGGCAATGTAAATATAAATGTACAAGATGAATAGATCGATTACATTGCAAATGGTGTAGGATACGTTGGAAGGCGAATGTGTACATACATCTGCACAGAAATATGTATCATACCTGTCAACCCATACGGTTTACCCGTATTCCTGTAAAGGGGAATTGAGTAAAAAAATGTATGTCGATTTGTGTTGTGTTTCTCCTTTGTGATGGAACTTTGTAGGATGAACGTTGATATTTATAAGGGCACGGGGTGACCAACAAGGTCTGAATTGGTCTGGAATAAGCTAGGCACTGATAAGGGATTGACATGTATGATGTATAATTAACCAAAGCACTTGTCTCATGGACAAATGCAATCGTTCAACTTTGATATCGTGGCCATCGTGCCCAACTCACAATCGAGAAGTCGTGAGATCGATCCCGAGTTGGGGGACCAACCCAAGCTCACAATCGTTCCTCTGAGCCCGACCTAAGCGAGTCCCACTAGCTCCCGTTGAAACATCTCCGCCGCGTTCGACGGCAGCATTCCCTGCAGCGTAGGGCGGAGGCAGGTGACGATCGGGGGGGGGGGGGGGGGGGGGGGGGGGGGTGCGAGGGGGGGATGGTGGCGCACCTGAGAGACGGGCGCTCGCGCGCACCGTCCGCGGTAATACTCGGCGTGGATGAGCTTGAGGTTGAGCAGCAGGGTGAGCAGGGACAGCGCGTAGAGGCTGTCCCCGTTCAGGAGCAGGTGGTTGGGCGTGGAGCGGCCCGCCCGGCTCCTCGATGATGCCAGCATCCCTGAGCCATGGGACACCATGGTGGGGGGTGGGGGGTGGGGGGCGGGGGGGTCGACACGGGCGACGGCGGTCACAAAGCTGCGAGTTGCGATGACGGCGCAGTGGGATTTCCACGTCGTTTTCTCAGCGGCTTCCTCACTACTAGCGGTCGGCAATCTGTGACTCCGGAGCCAAGCGCAGTTCTGTAAGGACTGCTTCCTGACGCTATTCGCATCCATTGCGGCACTTGAAATCGTTTTTACCGAATTAAAAAAAAATGCCGAGTTAATTCATTTATATGTCCAAATAACCCAGAATGTACGTCGATCCCATCAGGCCTATCAAGCTGGGCACAATTGGGCCAGGATCATACTTGGAGAGGTGAACAACAGGCTAAACAAACGTGCAGCAGCCGTTGTGAACGGTAGAGGGCAGTGCAGCACAATACTGTACATCGTTATTTCCTCCAACTTCATCAACCCGCGCTGACCATTGTGGTGAAGTATGGTCAAATAATCCTCAGTCCCAAAACATTTGACAGAGACTTAGAGGGCCAGATTGTCATCCTGACAATAGGTAACACGTAAAAAAAATTTGTGGTGAAAACGTGCCAAGATCACCCATAATCAGGGGCCTGGTTTGCCCAGGGCGTTGCGTTGACGCACCTGTCCTGGGAAAACTCTGTAGTCTTCCCAAAACATTGAAAGTCCTAGTTTTTGTCAGCTGCATAATCACGAATCACTCAAAACAATGCATTTATATGCAATTTGTTGTCCTTCCCCCACACCTCCGATTAGCACAGTTGGCTACGTATGGTGCGAAAGAAGTTCAACATACATTGTAATTGTGAGATATTCTTCTTCCCATGTCGAGTGTTTTTTTTGTACCTAAGAGGCGGAAACCCTAAACCCTATCCACAACGGGGTAAACCTCTAAAACTGTGCACAGCAAACGAACGTGGCCCTTAGAATGAAATCCCAAACTTGATCGTTCACACAATTAAATTCATGGGATTTCCCGAGCTCCCAATGTCCTGATAGTGGCATTGTCTTTGTGCTGTTCGCCTTTTGGCGTCCTCTGGTCTATCGCTGTTTGAGACTAGGCTCTAAAGAAAGCTGTCTCTGGTGTGGACCAATCAGTTTCAAAGACAATGCATATGCTACCAGAGCATGTTTTTTTTTGCATGTTCACAACAATTATAAGTGGCTAATACAGACATGATTCCTTGCCAAAAGGTTTTAGTTTGGTGTTTTAACACATTAACACCTGTTTTATTGCCAGAAAGGGTAAAACCTATTCTTACAATTAAGTTCGTCATTTTCCCCATCCCCAACCTGGCCCCGTGCCTACGGAGTCCACAGCGCCCACCGGTGGTGAAGTTCGACGCCAGCGTCTGCAGCTGCTGGTCGATGTCCTCTGCGCTGGCGGCCTGCAGCATGCGGGGCAGCACCGAGGCGAGCGCGTGCACGAAGAGACGCGCGTTCTCGCACTCCGCCTCCATGTCGCGCAGCAGCTTCTGCGACAGCCGCCCGTGGTGCGTGTGGTGAGAGCCGCCGCCGCCGCCGGCTCCTCCTAACCCTCCTCCTCCTGCGCCGCCGATGCCGCCCCCGCCGCAGCCGCCGCCAGCCACCGCGCAAGAGCCGGCGGATCCGGCCGTGCCGTCGTCGTCGGCGAGGGAGATGTTCTCGGACGAGCCGAGCTCGGAGAGGTCGGAGCGAGCCGAGTCGCGCTCCACCAGCATGGAGTAGCGGTCGCACGAGTCGAGCTCGGCGCGGCAGAGGTCGTGGTCGTCGTGGCCGCACGACGCCACGCCGCCCACGCCCGAGACGGAGGCCGGCACGCAGCGCAGGCGCGAGCTCACCGACAGCAGGTTGCTGATCACCTGCAAGGTTGGGGAGGGCAAGGTAGACGCTGGTTTGCGCCGTGGTTTTTGTGTTTGCATTCGGGCTGTCGGAGCGGCATTGCGTTTTCGGCCTCCGTGTCTATGCTCAGCAACCGTAATTAATAAAAAAATTATAATAATCAAGTCACGAGCGCTCTGGGGTCTTGATCCTGCAAGGTGCCAAACGTGATTTTGCTGCTAGTGTTGCTGATGAGTTAAAATTTCGAATTGGCAGTGACTGTCACAAATTGGAAGAAATGTTATCGACGCTCCTGAGTCAGTAGTAAACGAGGCTATCCATAGCATCAATGCTTACTCTTTGGTTCTTTCTGAACCAGCTGAACGTGTGGTTTGATTGAGATGTGACAAAAACACCATGAGTGGGTGTGCCCCATGTGTTCATGAAGAGGCCGCCCGAGGTGACGTCAGAAGTAGTTCTTTGATGTCAATCTTCCTAGGGTTATTCCTCGGTACAAGTTAGTGCACCGCTCACTGCATGAGTTTTGCATGGAAATATCTTCATTTAATGCGAGCACAATGTGGATATAACTATAATTGGACAAAACAAAGGTTAATGAGTGTACTATTATGTGCCATTACCATCTTATCAAAAGACAAGAACATGTCTGTTATCAACTCGTACAGAGAGCACTGATGTCGTATCACGTCCGAGAATGGCCCCAAAAGACGAGACATTCGATGCCAAGGAATCGTCTAATGGTGATTCCTGTAAGCACATTCAAGCTAACCATGTAAGAATGTAATTGAATGTAATTGGTCTTTTTTAAAAATGGGAATCTTCCATGGAAAAATGCAATTCCTGCGAGGTCTCTCCAAGGTGGAACCATGAGATTTGAATATGAAGTCCTGCATTAATCACCACCACCAACACAACCACTGCCACCACCACTCATGCCAATGCCACCATCGCCATCACTGTCACCAACACCACCACAGTCACCATTTCCACAACCACCAACGGGAACGCTATCATCAACGCCGTCATCACCACCAACATCACGACCATCCCTAATAACAATACAAAAGGATCGCCCGTGTAGCCTTAACAGACTAAATGAGCAGGTGCTATTAATGAGCACCTATGAAGGCCGGCACGGCACACGAGCGGATGGGTGGCCAGCACCAAGTACGTACTCATTTGAGGCTGAGTAGACCTTGGGGAGGCCCAGGATGAGTTCAGATAATCGTCACTGGTGTTGACCGTGAGCAAGAACCGAACTCGGCTCGCCGGGTTCGTGGCGCAGTGCGCTAACCGCTGCACTGCTACTCTCCAATAACACCATCATCACCAACAGCACCACGATCAACAGCACTGCAATCACCGCCACCATCTCAAATCACTATCCCTACCACCACCGGCATCAACGTGTCAGACAGTAGTCTGTCACCTCAGTGGGCAGGTGGATGCTGTGTCCGCGCTCCTCCAGCCTCGACTCGGCCCCACAGCTCCCACTGATAATGCTGCCCCCACCGCCTCCTCCTGCTCCCCCGCCACCACCGCCACCGCCGCCCCCTGTGTGTCCTTCTCTGTCGAGGCTGGCGGCATCCTCACTCGGGGTCTCACGCTCCTGTGGCACAAGGGCAAAGGAAGAGTCGAGTGTCATCCCCTCATGTGTGTGCGTGTGTGGGTTTCTCCAGGCCCTCCGGCTTTTCTCCTACATGCATTAAGTAATAACTAAACATTTTTTTTTATTTCACCAGGTAAGGCCCACTGAGCTGTGTCGCTCTTTTTCAGAAGCGACCAAGCCACAAATGATAGCATAATGGAGTGGCATACCTCGTGGAAATTTATAACAGCCAAATACTCTGAAAGCACGTTTCTAAATAACCAAATGTCCAAAACCATGAACCTCTTGAAAATGTCTTGAGGCAGCAGCGAGGCATCCCTGGATGGAGATTATCATTATAACTACATCAATCGAGTGAAAGTGGTGCACTACTTAAATGAGCAGTGTTAATAAATCCACTGTCGGCTTCCAACAACGTGGTACTCATTTATCGACCTTAAAAGGATAATTACGATGCCCTTAGTGAAGCATTAGTAACTTGGCAAAAGCAATTACACAGTTTAAAAACATTTGTCTTGCGTATGGCAGTATGGCATTTAGCCCTGGGGCAATGTTGAGATATCCAAGCCACGAGAGAGGAGAGGGCTTCAGCAGAGAGTTTGTGTCATTTTGCTCTTCCTCCATTGAAGGAGCAATCTCGTGCCAAAATTATTGAGAACAGCAAAATTGCCAAAAACCAATATTAACTTGAGTGAAGTAAAAGCCTTAAGAGAATTGAGAGCAAATAAAGATATCCAAATTCTTGCTGCTGATAAGCAAGAATCACTGTTGTGATGCCCCGTGAGGACTATGAAAATAAAATCAAATATTTATCTTCTGGGTTCTTTCGGTAAAGTCATGTAGAATGGGAATAAAATAATAAAAATAATAGAATAAAATTATGTTATTATGTCCGGAAGACAGCGCTGTCTTCCGGACAGTCCTGTTTCTTCACCTGAGGAAGGCTACTTGTGTTGTGGCCGAAACGTCGTGAGAATTTTATTATGCTATTATTATTTTTATTATTTTATTCCCATTCTACGTGACTTTACCGAAAGAACCCAGAAGATGAATCCCTGCAGTCACGAAAGCTATGAATCGAAATCAAATATTTACTTGAAGAAGATACCTTGGAACTTAAAACAACGGCAATCATTGCCAAGTCATCAATTCCCAGGGAAGAGAAATACCTGATCAAACCAAGGGCATCAAAACCATCAAGACTTTATGGGCTACCAAAAATTCACAAATCTGATGTCCCATTAAAACCCATGGTTAGTACAATAGGCTCTGCCGTGTACAAATTAGAATACGTAATGAAACAAATACAGCCCTTCATTGGTAAGACCTCTTGTTCATCGAAAACTCTGAACATCTCGTAAATATAATTAAAGATATTAAGCTTAATCCTAATGATATTCTCGTAAGTTTTGATGTGACCTCTCTGTTCACGAGGGTTCCGGTCAACGAGTCAATTCAATTACTCGACACTCCGGTAACGAACAAAGGTTTAGCCAAAGATATCCCAAGACTAGCTGAACACTGCCGAATAAACACCTTCTTCTTGCGGCAAGGTGACTTCTATAAACAAAAGGAAGGACCAGAAATGGGCTCTCCTTTGTCTCTTGTGATAGCGAATTTGTACATGGAAGATGTTGAAACAAAAGCAATAGCTTCAAGCACACTAAAACCATCTGCTTGGTTTAGATATGTGGATGACACATGGGTGGTCTGGCCACACGGCAAATATACACTGAACACATTTATAAATAATCTCAACTCGCAAAACCCATCCATCCAGTTCACCATGGAAGTGGAAGCTGACAGAACTCTACCATTTCTGGATATTCTGCTCGGACGGGGTAGAAATAGTAAAATAACACAGTGTTTACCAAAAGAAAGCGCATACTGATGCCTATATTAATACAAAGTCACACCATCACCCCACACAGAAATCTGCTCTTATTAAGACGCTCATTCATCGAGCTAAGAAAGTATCAGATGGTGACAGTCTGAGAAGTGAAATTCAACATGTTAAAGAAGTGCTGCAAATTAACGGTTACAATGATGCACAAATCAACAGGGCATTGAATACCAAAACCAAATAAAAAAGCAAGAGCATTGAAACTGCCCAAGTAATTAAAACGATAAAAATACCGTACATTGCGGGAGTAACTGATGAACTAGCCAGATGTTTGGAAAAACAAAATATCCGAGTCAGATTTGGCACAGTACATAAAATACAGAATTTAATATCTGGTACAAAAAATGTATTACCGAAGCTATCAACAGAAGGTGTGTACAGGATTAACTGCACGTGTGGTAAATGTTATGTTGGGCAAACAGGACGAATTATCAGCACGAGACTAAAGGAACATCAGAGAAATATTAAATTCTCTCAAATGCAACTGTCAGCAGTAGCAGGAAAACGCGTGCCAACAAGGACACTCAATTGATTTTGATAATGTTGAAGTTTTGTGTAAAACTATCTACTACTAGCCAAGACTAATTATAGAATCTATCGAAATTTAAAGAAATCAAAATTACTTTAACCGTTCGGATAGCTACCGTATTAGTGCTGCTTGGAAGCGAATCTTCAAATAATACATTATTTAAATGCATGCCTACAAAGGGCAGCTTACTTAAATAGGGATTACCGTTGGTAGGGCTATGTCAATAAACACAATAGACAGGAAAGACATGTTCAAAGGGCTCGCATAATGCACATGCATAATGTACGATGCCTCCGTAATTCCGCCCCCCCCCCTCATCATTGTGCAAGAATGCAGAAGGGTGATCACCACATCTACGCCTCTATATAAGGAACGAAACAGTAATACTTCTCCACAAATCTGGCTGTCGCCTGATAAAGCTAGTTGTAATTACTGGCGAAACGTCGTACTCAGATTATAAATGTTGTGGATTGCTCTCCAACACACCGGTGTGCTGTACTAGTGACTGTATCGACACAAGGACTGCTTCCCCCCAATGTTCCGTTTGGAATTGATAAAAGCTACCATACTGCCTACTGTGACATCGTGTATAAATCAGCCCCAAGTACTGTACTGAAGAAGCTTGATTCCATCTATCACTCGGCCTTAAGATTTACATTGAACTGCCCATATAGGACTCACCACTGTGATCTCTACATTGGGTCAAACTTAACATCTCTTAATGTCCGACGGCTTGTGCACCAGATCTTATTTATTCACGATGTATTTACAAAAAAATCCGCAGACTACCTGCTGGATCTCCTCTCTGTTTCAAAGAACAAATTTGACCTCAGGTCTTCGCTCATTTACCAGCTTCACATTCCCTATTGCCGTACAAAAACTGGAGGAAGGGCCTTTGCTATTGATGCCCCCAGGGTCTGGAATGCTATTGCCAATAAACTGCAACTTGAATCGCTACCAATGAGATCTTCTCTCAAAAATGCTCTAGAGGAGTTGTACACCCCTAGCTGCCACTGCTATTCATTGGCGTAAAATAAAATAAAATGTTTCACTCCGGATGACGCTGCAAAGTATTATCTGTATTTTGATTTAGCGTGCTGATCTTAAAGGTGCATTGAAAAATTTGATACTCCGACCGATGCTTCTGTTGTTGTGGAGTAACTCATGCAGCCAGCTATGGCTCTACGATTTGGTGTTACATGTTATTTATGTAGTTTATTGTAAAAATTCGGTCACAGTCCTTGTGATCACTGTTATGTTGCAATTATGGCTTTATTTTTTGGTGATTTGGAAAACGTTTTTTGGTTTGTTTTGTTGTAGTACGGATTAGACTGATGGCCTTAATCTAAGTTTTTGTGGTTGTTGTTGTTTGACTTGCATCCCACTGGGATTTTTTGCACACAGCATTGGTGTACGGTGCTTTTTTTCAGGAATATTTTTGCTGTTATTTTTCCATGAATTTTCTGTTTGCACAGTCACACAAAGTCACTTTAAGATGTTTTTCTTGTTCGTGTTTTTTTTGTTTGTTGTGGTTGCACCCGATTCAAGAGCCGAATGGCTCAAAGGGCTATACCAAAATAAACTGAACTGAAACTGAACTGAACTGAATGTGACAACCCTTACTAGTTGGCTGTGTATAACCCAAAAACCTCTGTTATGGCAAAATAGCTTAATAAAAATTACCTCACAATTTCACAATATTTCTCTCCATCAGGAGGCCGCTGAGCAAATGAATCGCAGGACGACTCGGGGTCACACGTTCACTGCTGGCCGTGTCACGTGTTTGTTCAATTTTGGAATATTGTGGCTTACTGATTCTCAATGCTGAGTTTAATCCAGGATGTGGGCCATGGCACACACACACCCAAGCCGGTGGTGCTATGGGTGTGTGTGCCCACAACACAATCTGAATTATTATTTATTCTGGTAATACCCTGGTTTACGTCGGGGATGCGGTCCTGAATGGTGCGACGACGAATATCGAAGTGACGTAAATCGAAGCGATTTACAGGATAGCAGTAGTAAGTGGGTGGTGGGGGTGAAGGATGACGAGAAAGGACGGACGATGCTGTCAGCGACGTAAGTGTGGGTTGAAATGACGCAAATCGGGTAGTGATATTCATAACAAAGTGATGACGTATTTGCAAAATGATGTAAAAAGGGGATACGTATATGGGGGTATCACTCACTGTATTAGTAAGGCTTCAGACATCACGACTGTACAGACTAATTTTAGTCGATGACAGCAAACAAGCAGTGGTTGTGATCACGACAAAAACGACTTCGTCACAAGTGAGCAGCCGCCGCAGCAACAGCGGCGTGGTGGTTGCTCTGCTGGCCCCCGGTGGCATGGTGCCGGTACCTGCTCGCCGAGGGCCTCGTCGCTCGTGTCGCGCGCCACGCTGATGCTGATGTCGGGACTGCGCTCAGCGCGCTCGTCGCACGGCTCCGACGGCGACGGGAACTCGGAGGCGTAGAGCCGGCTCAGCCGCAGCTCGGACGCGCTGCCCCCGCTGCTGCCGCCGCTGCCGCCGCTGCCATTTCCGCCGCCGCCGCCGCCGCCTCCTCCTCCGCCTCCTCTCGCGGCCGTGCCTGCGTCTGGGCAGCCGTCGCTGAGCTGCTCGCGCTGAGCCAGCAGGAAGGCGGCCCGGTCCGCGCAGAGGCCCTGCCCGCGGCTCAGCGAGTCGAGGGAGCCCAGCAGCGCCCAGACGCAGGAGACGGCGGCGCAGCCACTCTCCACGCCGCCCTTCACGCACGCCTCGCTCACCCCATCCATTATGCTGCGGGGGCACGCGGGGACAGACGGGCGGTCAGTTCGGTGTCCACGGAGGGCGACTGGGCTGCTTGTCTACGTCTAAACAGTCCATGAGATGCCAGTATGTCAGACTATCGTTGTCTATTGACCCCACAAGAGAATGGTCCTGTCGGTTCCCTAATGTATATACACTTCTGCAGAGACCGGTCTGTCAGCTGCCAGCCGAAGCGAGTATATAAATCGCGAGCACGCCCCATGTGCCTGTCACTCACAGCTTGAGCAGGTCTAGGTGGGTCTTGCGCTTGAGTCTCCGGCGCGTGACCCCATCCGGCACGGTTGGGGCCGCCAGCTCAAACAGCCGCTGGGGGCTCGACAAACTCTGCACGGGGAGCCCCATCGCACAGCAGCAGTGAGTACAAGGCACAGCACAAGCCAGCTCTCCGAGAAGCTGAGCAATACAGACATTTCTCTTGCGACAAACACCTGTCACCTACACACTACGGCGTGTCTGCGCATTACTCCACGGACATTCACAGCCCTTTGTCAAACGACTGCTGGATGAAGGCCCCCTCCCCCCCCGCTGCACCGTGTTGGACGCGATGTCTGTTTAATCATACTTCACCACGGGTCGGTGATGATATTGAGCCCAGGAACCGGTCAGATACCACTCGTCGCTATCAGCCGTGGCAGGTCGTTCTGCAGCGTGCAAACCACTGCACCACAGCTCCTCCTCAACACTACGTACCCAGACACTGCTGCTTCACGCACACCCGTCTCTCAAAGTGTGTGACACCAGAGCTCGGAAGTCACACTCCAAATGCCCAGACACCTGTCCCTTAAACGTGTAACACCATATTGCGTAAGCTCTAGCTCCCGATACCCAGAGCGCCCACCATCCCCTCGCCACGCGACACTAGCACCACCTGCACTCCCCACTTTGTCAACTTTCTGCGTTTTAGCCGCCTGGCGCTCAGCTCGTTGTTGTGAGCGTCGCTTCCTCCACCAATGAACTCCAATCATCCTCACAGCAGCGGCTTTTGGCTAACCATTGAACAAAGACGGTCACCGCATCGCGCGCTTTCACATGCACTTCTGCAACCATCTGGAATGCTCTTCGTTCCGTTAAAAGGAAGCCACGGGAGCTATGCATCTAGACTGAAAACTCATTTCCTTAGAATTGGCTACGTACGGTGCGAAAGAAGTCCAACGTACATACATACACATACATAGAGCACGGTTAGCTAAGTATGGTGCAAAAGAACTTCAACATACATACACACAATACAACACAGTTGGCTATGTAGTGTGAAAGAAGTCCAACATGCACACACACACACACACACTAATCCGTGTGAGCACCGCTATTCATGTGCCGGGGGACCGCACCTCGCGCAGAACCTTGAGCGCCTCGATGCGGTGCTGCGGGGGCGGGTAGAGCAACATGCGGTGGTAGAGCGACTGCAGCACGGGCCGCAGGGACTCGAGCGCGCCCACCAGCCGCACCAGCTCGGCTGCCAGGCTGCACACCGTGCGAACCACGGGGGCCAGCAGTGCCGGCGCCGTCCAGCAGCAGCCCGAGCCCCTTCCCTGGTCACTGACCGTCACCGCCAGCGGAATGGGGCCCCCCGTGACCGCGACGCCCCCCACGAACCCGCTTCCGCCGCCCCCGGCAAACACTTCGGCCACCCCCGTTGCCTCTGACTGCTGCAAGGCATTGTGGGAGGAGGCGACCACCCGGTCCTGCATGGGGTTTCCCAGCAGCACCACGAGAGTGGGGCACAGCTGCTTCCTGTGGGGATGAGACACGATGCGCAAGGTCCATAGATATTAATTATTCATCGTCATAGTCATTAGCCACTTTTTATTTCCCGCTGGATGTAGGGTGCTTGAACGTGCACTGCTCGCTGTGAGGATGGAAATTCCATATTTCTACGCCAGTCTTTAAGGAACAATCACTGTCTAAATTAACAGAAAATTTTTTGCTATCAAAGAGAAACAAAAAAGATACCCAAAACGATATTAAATAACAATTTTAAATATATTAGTTAATACAGAGTACTCACAAGACATGGCAGCGGAGATTGCATTTAGAGAGGGTAACAGAGTGTACAGCAGCGGTGGGCGACTCAGACGAGTCGGTGGGCGAAAGGAGCAGCCCTCCTTCACCCCAGTGGGCCACAAAGCTTGACATCGTCCTTGTGAATTGCGTATGTTCAACTTCTTTCGCACCGTACGTAGGACACCCATGCTGTATGTATGTGTGTATGTATGTAGAACTTATTTCGCAACTTACACAGCCAACCGTGCTGTATGTATGTCTGTGTATGTAGAACTTTTTTCGCACCATACGTAGTCAACCGCGCTAATCGCAGGTGCGAAACACTAATCACGACCCCACGCTTCACCCTAGACACACCGAGACCAGGCTACCATGCGTTGCGGCACGGAGACGCATGCGGCACCGAGGCCGCAGGTTGCCCACTGCTGGTGCAGAGTATGGCGGCGACGTTGTAAACACCGAGACCTGGGCGCCCCGCTTTTGCGGTGCCCTGGCCTAGCGTGGCATCGTCATCACACATACTGCTCAAACCACTGCCGCCTTCTTTTGTTTATATTTTTCAAAATAACGTTGAAGTGAATCAATACGTTATAAATCGAATTACGCCGCTTGATTCGTTGGCGTCGTTACCGTGAGACTAAACAAACTTTATTTTACCAGGTTCGGCCCACTGAGCTATATAGCTCTTATTTAGAAGCGATCTAGGCCACAAATGATAGCCCGACAATTTGGAGGCTAAAAATCGAAGGACCCGGAGAAAAATCTACACCACCACGGGAAGAACATGCAAACTCCAAATGTACAGGCGTCAGGGTCAGGATCAAACCCATGATTTTCTGTACACCAGTTGATGTAGTGAACATCTCGCTCGCCACATAAGCGAGAAGTTAACTACTACCGTATATAGAGGGCTTACTGTATTTTTTTCCAGGGAAGCTCCTCTCAGTCTTAAGACCTTTCCACGAGAGTCCTGCTTTGAGCTGTTGACAAGTATTCTCCACGTGGTAGTGTATAATGCTCAAATATCTGCAGACATGTAAATACGCCATGTTGCTGTTCTGCCATCTCCCGGCAAACTAGCATGCCGGTGAAAACTTAAAAAAATGTCTACAATCATCAATTACTTGGGTGCCATCACATCGAGTGTTCCAAGGATTGAAACACCACCCATTGCCCTGATTATGAACCCACTCGCTCACACCTCTCACGCTGCTTCATGGCAGGCCACTGCAGGGCACATCCCTGGTGTAGAAAAGGAGGTTGGCCGAAAATCTTCAAAAATATTTCTATGACATCATCTTCCCTCTCATCATGATGTGACGCCAAGGTGGTGAGATGTTAACAAGCTCGCCTGGTATGTAGGAGGTCGAGGGTTTGATCCCGACCCTGATGCCTGTATGTTTGATGTTGGCATCTCTATCCCCGTGGTTGGGTGGATTTTTTTCTCCGTGTCTTCCGGTTTTTACCTCCACATTCAGAATAAACATGTATTTAGATTATTAAAATAATATTCCTGCTATAAATTTCCACGTAGTAATCCACTTTGTTGAGCTATAATTTGTGGCCAGGTCACTTCTGAAAAATAAGCTAATAGCTCAGTGGGCTTTACCTGGTAAGATTAAAATAGTTTAGTTCTATTTGTATATTTTTAAGCGATGTGTTTACCTTTCCTATAGTTTGCGCTCCTATTATGTGTTTGTATTGTTTGTTATTGTAATGTTCTGACCCGCCCCTACTGAACATCTGTGCAAAAAGAGCTTTATAGCTCATCGGATGCCTCTAGTGTGGATAAATATTCTGATGGGAAGTGTAATTAACTGCGTGGCCACCGCTGAGGCCTGGCCAGGAGCTACAGCGAGTTGCAGGATGGCGATTACCACACGAGGTCGGTGAAGCTGCGCTCGATGTGCATGCTGGACGAGAAGTTGCTCAGCAGAGCCAGGATGCACTCAAGGTACAGCAGTTGCATCTGTTGGCTCCCACTGCAGTCACAAAGACAAAGGTCCCCCATACAACCTTTAACAGACCGTTGGGGCAAGCGCTGTTAGTGAGCACCTATGAAGGCCGGCACGGCACAGGAGAGGGTAGGTGGCCAGCACCACGCCCGCCCGCCCGCCCACCTTTGTCTCCTCTATTGACAATGTTTACACACACCGCACCAGGTAGTCATGAGGCCGAGTTGACCTAGGGGAGGCCCAGGTCCGGTTCAGATATTCGTCTCTGGTGTTGGCCATGAGTGGGAATCGAACTCGGGTCAACCGGTTCGTAGCGCAGCGTGCTAACCGCTGCACTACCGCTCCCCACACCGTGGTCACCGCACGCACGGGCGCTCAGACGCGCACATGGCAGCACGAGAGCGTGACAAAAGCACGAATACAGCATGACAGGAGCACGGCTACAGCACGAGAGCTGCCCCCAGTGTTGGGAGGGTCACAAGAGGTGTCGTGTGCACAAACAGCCCTTTTCCCAATACACTGCTGGATGAGGGTCGCCCCGTGTCATGAGTACGATTTTAGAGGAAATTATTAATCAGGGAGTTAATGCAATACCTCCGAAGTGTGTGTGTGTTCCCCGTCCCGTGCGTTCCTCTGTCTCTCAGGGTAATTCTCAAGTGTCAGGGCCGTATGAGGTGTAGCGCAATACTCACTTCACGACTCCTTGTAGTTTGTCACAGAAAATGGCGAGCACCGAGACCACATCATCCCTCAGGGCCATCAGCAGTTTCATGTTTCCTGCACTCGCACACAGCAGCAACAAAATCAGTGCTCCGGGGCTGGCGACCGTGGCACTGCTCATCAGTCTAGGCCAGGGGTCGGCGGCCAAAATATCAAGAAGAGGCCGTTTTTTTTACAAATTTTATTTTAAAAAAACTATTTCAAGAGCTGCCATGTATGTTAATGACGGTGGTGGTCCTTGATAAATTACATCATGAAGCAGCCTTTAAAGAGCCGCATGCGGTTCCGGAGCCACAGTTTGCCGACCAACGGTCTAGGCAGTCAACGCAAAGTTTTTGCTCCACTTCAGGGCGGCCCACTCTTCTCCACTAATCGCCTTGAACCGGTGGTGGAAATTTCACAAAAAAACAGCTTTGACTTTTCACAAAGCAGTACTCATTTGATTTGACCCCACCAGGATAATGGGTTGACTCTACGCTTGAGTAAGGGGGAGCCATGAACATACAATCCCCCCTAATGTGCAATGTGGGGAATGGAAATTTCAGTCCATAGTCCCTCTCGCAACCTGTACCTGCATTGGCGACTTTCTCCTCGTTTCTCTCTCCATCTGCCTCCTGCTGAGATAGGATTTTCATCGGTAAAGCACAGGCACACGCATGCACACATGTGCTTGTGTGTTTATGTGAATTTGTGTGTTTTTGGTTCTAGCAATACAATACGAACAATTCTGGTCCGATCCTTTGCACCGTGCAAATTGGTAGCAATGAATGGCCAATTCTCATTTGAACCCCCTTAATCATTGGTTCTTTCGGTAAAGTGACGTAGATAGAAATAATTATAAATTTCAAATAAAGTGAATAAAAAGATTACGACGTTTCGATCTCAACACAAGCGGTCGTCATCAGGAAAAGGGGTTAGCATCTGAAGGCAAACTGTTTATTAAGGTTTGGAGATGGGCGTAGCCCAAGTGTATCAGCAGCACCAGGAGCATTGGCGGGGCAGCAATGCCAATGCAGCAGCAATGCCAATGCAGCAAAGGGCCGCCAGAAAATCACTGCACCCTGCTCCACACACCACACTGCTGACACAAGTCAAGTCATGACCCAAAGTGGTTGATGACATCTTTCCAATGATTGCCGAGTCTATAACCTCTTAGAGAAATAAATTTCGTGAGAGCCAGCCGCATTAAAATAATGATCAGCCACGGCAGAAGTATTGGTCCTACCGTGTTTCAAATCTGCCTTATGTTCATGAACACGGTCCGAGACATGTCGCTTAGTTTCCCCAATGTACCAACTGCTGACGCAGATACAGCTTAGTTTTTAGATGCCGGGATATTGCATGTCAGGCATCGTGTCCTTCACAGATGGAATCAGATTACGAATTTTATATACTGTGTTAAATCGGACCTGGATCTTGTTTGTTCATGATTTTGGAAATCATTTTGGTTACTCCTGCTATGTATAGCAAGGTGATGGTTTTGATTGGATCCTCAGATGGCTCCTTCCTCACGGTTGGGGTGATGGCTTTGCGGATTGGTGTACGTGTTTGAGTTCACTGGTTAGTTGTTCATGGTCAGAGATACATTGAGCTCTATGGTGTACCGTTTTGATGAGGGAATTCTTCTGGGATGGATGGTGGTGGGAATCAGGTTTTAAGTATGGCATCAATATGGGTTACTTTCCTGTAGACAGAATGGCTCTTTGAGCCATCTGGTCTCTTTTGATTAGGACATCCAAGAAAGGTAGCATGCCATCCTTTTCTACCTCCATAGTGAAGTTGATGGCTGGGTGTATGGAATTGATGTGGTTGAAGAATTGGTTTAGAGCCGGTCGGCCATGTGGCCGGATGACAAACGTGTCATCCACGTACCTCTTCCACAAGGACGGGTGTTGAGTGGATGCCTGGATGTCATCCGTCTCAAATTTTTTCCATGAAAATATTGGCTACAACCGGAGATAAGGGAGAAACCTATGGGGTGCCTTCAGTTTGTTTGAAGAATGTTCCATTCCAGGTGAAGTATGTATTGATGAGGCATTGTCTCACCAGGGCCGGTGCATCAGCATTCAATCCTTGTTGGACCAAATCTTAAATGATTGCAATGGTATCGGGCAATGGAACTTTGGTGAACAAAGAAACTACATCGAAACTAACGAGCAAATCACCTGAGGACAGTGAGATGTATTTAATTGACAATACCAGGTGAGCTGAGTTAAGTACAGAAGAGGTGATCTTACCAGTGAATGGCTGTAAGGTCTCAGACAGATATCGGGCCAGTTTGTAGGTGGGTGAGCCAATGGTGGAGACGATGGGACGAAGGGGTATAGCTTCAATATGGATTTTTGGTAAGCCATATAATCTAGGTGGCCGAGCAGCAGAAGGTTTTAAGGAAAACCGTTTGGTCAGTTCAATTATTGAAGCTGAATCATTGATACTGTTCATTTTTGTAACGAGGCTGTTGGTGGAAACTAAGCGACATGTCTCGGACCGTGTTTGTGAACATAAGGCAGATTTGAAACACGGTAGGACCAATACTTCTGCCGTAGCTGATCATTATTTTAATGCGGCTGGCTCACAACGAAATTGATTTCTCTAAGACAATGGTACTTTGCAAGCCGCCTGGCTATCAACAAAGATTCGTTCATGAAGCCATCCATATATACAATCACAATTTCAACCGAGAAGATTATAGACTCAGAAATCATTGGAACGATGTCATCAACCACTTTGGGTCATGACTTGACTTGTGTTTTCTTGTCAATCAACCTCCACCGTCAGCTGTGTGGTGTGTGGAGCGGGGTGCAGAGATTTTCTGGCGGCCCTTTGCTGCATTGGCATTGCTGCTACATTGGCATTGCTGCTGCATTGGCAATGCTGCTACATTGGCATTGTTGCTGTATTGATATTGCTGCCCCGCCCATGCTGTTGGTGCTGTTGATACACTTGGGTTACACCCATCTCCAAACCTTTATAAAAAGTTTGCCTTTAGATGCTAACCCCTTTTCCTGATGACGACCGCTTGTGTTGCGATCGAAACGTCGTGATATTTTTTATTTACTTCATTTTTATATTATTATAATTATTTCTATCTACGTGACTTTACCGAAAGAACCAAAGAATATGAATTCCTTGCAGTCACGAAAGTTTTAAGTCAAAATTTAACCCCCTTCTCCCCTAGGTCAAATCAGATATAACTATCTGCGGAGTGACCACCAGCAAAGCAGAGATGACGTTGACCAGGTGTGGTGGTGTCCGCACCACCCTTTATCTGGGGACTGGTTCTGCGTCTCCCCTAGGTTGATCACCATAAAATGAGTAACTGGTGTGGAATATTAACATCGGAACAGGTGACACAATACCCCCTAGTGCACTGTGCTCACCCAAATAGGTGCCCAGCTAAACACCACTGGCAACAAACCCATGTTAAAGGCTATATGGCAAGTCCGTGTCAATGTACATGTAACATGCAAAAGTATAGCCCTTTTCAAAATCTAGCGAGGGCCTACCTATTGTCACGAGGGTCACTGGAGTTATTTGATTATACTTCACACTGACTAGCTGGGGGGTTGTTGGAAGGCGGGAAGAAAAAAGGCATGGGTACGCTCATGAATTTGGCCATACTGTGTGGATTGGATGTATGCAGGTTAAAATAGTGGGCTAGTGAAGGTCTCAGACACTGGGTGTGATCGTGCCGCATCAGCGGGGGGGGGGGGGGGGGGGGGGGGAATTATACGGGTTTCATATTTCACAATGGACAGCAGAAAAAAATAAAAAAATTTTTCCCGCAATTCAAAGCTGGCGAGCCAGGGAACAAGGCCATTTATTACTTAATAATTTCTCAAATTAACAAATTAACACATCCTTGCAGGATTGTTGACTGTCTAGTCTCTAATAGTGTGTAGGTGTAAGGTATAATGCAGAATACAGATTTTTGGGCGAGGTTAATCGCGTAACTTAATAGGTGTGCTTTTTATAAGAACAAAACCAACCATAACCAACCATCGTGGTGTATGATTAATGTGAATCACAAAGACAAGACCTTCAAAACACAAAACAAATGGTGTAAACATGCAAATTAAATGAAAGCATTAAAAACATGTTAGTTGCAGAACATTCATCTTTCACTGCTAAGTGACCCCGACTATAACAATAGGTTTCTCCGCAGGAAAACCACTCTTTCAACACAGAATGCAGACATAAACATCATGTTTGGAGTCTTCCATTGCATTGTGGGGGTCACTTGCATGTGAAAACACCTTTTGGTTACAGGTACGTGTTATATTTCGTGCTTGTTAAAAAAAACAGGCAGCAGATTTTGTCAGAAACACAAAGAAAAATACATTAAAAAATAAAACAGGGCAGAAAGCAGGAAGTTAAAAAAGCGGGTGCGGAGGATAGCAAGTTGAAAAGTCAAAATTGAATTCGTGGTTCAATATTTATCTCGTCAAAAATCCCGGTGAGACGTATTATCTCGGCTTAAGGGAGATCTGATTTGTTGTTAAACCAAACATAAGGGACTGTTTCTGGCAGTCGTGTGCAACCAGAGAACATAAACAACACCTCATCACTGCTGCCATCATTAGCACCGCCTTGCAAAGGTCAGCGTCCCAGGTGGCGAGCGTGAGCCTTCGGTGAGAATTCCACATTCCTATGACAAACCCAGTATATCCTGCCATATGAAAAATATGCAGTAGGATTCAATCTAGATTTGAATGTTTTCGTCACTGCAGGGATCCACTCGTAGGTATAAAATAAATTGAATTAAATCACAACTTTTCGGGCGCAACACAAGCGTCCGTCATCAGGTGGGACAACCACAGCAAGAAACAATTGCTGAAGTGGGCAAATACAGTAGGCTTACATTTAGGAAACCGGCCTTCTCGGCTCCCTATTCGCGGTTGAATGTTTATATTATGCGTCGCAAATAACGGTACCGGTAGGTACAGTTATGAAGAATGATCTAACATTGACACATACATACTATCAATGAGATAATTGGAAGAAAAAAATCAACGTATATCAAACACTGTTATTGCTGTTGACCGTGAAAATATATTTAATTCAGTGTAAATTATCATATTTTCAAATGCATGTGTGTGTTTTGTTTTCAACTCAAGGCTGAGCAATTTTCATAAAACGCACTCGCACTCTGCAACCGGGGCACACAACGTCCTACTCTTTAATGTCTAATTTACAGGGAATGACACGGTCTGATCATTCCCTGCATACAACATAAATAACCGGGTGCCTGCAGCGAGAAAACTAACTGCCGAGAGTCATTACAAACTGGCTCAGTGACGGGCGCACTGGCTGCTAATGCTGATCTGACACACGAGGTCTGTGCAGGGAAAGTCTCACTACACCCACACGGGAACAGATGAACACAGGCAGAAGGAATAGGCGATCAGAATGAATCAACACCTGCAAAGGTTGTGGGGTGATGGGACCAGTCCTTTGGGGAGTGGACGGGGCAACAGTGACACATGCATGCAACAAACAAGCCGGCTCAACCCAGCCATGTAAGCGAGCTTTCACCGTGGAAGAAACTAAAAAGCCACTTGTGGAATGTAACCAATGGCATGCCATGACGCAATGGAGGTGATTGCGATGAACGGTGCTTTTACTGCAAGATGCTACACGGACACATGGAAACTTGTAAGATAATGTCCAGTCCATTACGGGATATCGTGGGTATATTGAGAACTGCTCTATTAGATCATCAATTATTGCATCTCACCGAACAGCAGGAGTATAATAAAAACTCTTACTCTTCAAGAATGTATAGTTGGGTGCGTTTACTATGCGCCTGTGACTGTCAATTGTCCAAGTATCACCCAATAAATATGTAAATGCACTTTGTACAGTCGAGAGCCCACTGAGAGTAATTCTGCTGCATTGGCGATGGTGATGCAGCAATTGGGTTTGTGAACCCCATGTCAAGCCTCTGAGTATTGCCCCATCAAATGCACGAGATTCAAATGAGGCTTTTGCAGATACATTTTATTATTAGGGGTCAAAGTTGATATAAATCAACAGTGATTTTCCTATGGATAGACTCAACCCTATTATAGGAATGTGGAATTTCCACCACTTGCTCAGGGCTGAGCAACACCTCAATGCTCATTTGATCAGGGGAAGATACAAATCTGAACGGGCTCTTACCAGGTTAAATAAAGATACCAATCTCCCAGCCCAGTTAACTGTACCTCAGTTTTATTGTTCACGTAATGGCAGTGCCCTGGTTCACATTGCACAGCAAAGGCTCATATCACAACACAAGGCAACGAGTGCTGGGCACGGGAGGGGAGGGGGGGTTAGTCTGGAGGCATGCACGATCTTGCAGGGGGGGGGCGGGAAGGCATGCACGGGGAGGGTGGGAGGTGAGGGGTAGCATCGGGGACGTGGTGGTGGGGGGCGGCGGCTTAAAAAACATGCCCCGCCCCCCCTCTCTCCTCCGCCTCACCATCTCCTCCTGCTTCTGCCGCAGACTCTGGCTCAGGTCGCCCAGCATCTGGCTGAGCGTGGCTCGCACGGCCGTGTTAGTGCTACGCAGGTGGCTGTTTGCCACGTACGTGTCAACGCACACCTGGGAAAGACGGCGGCACGCATGTGGGGTGGGGTGGGGGGTGGTGGTGGCGGTTAAAGGAAGACGAAACCTGTACAACGCTAACGGCTCTTAGCTTGTAGATGCACGCCTAGTCTGTGTCTCCCAGCGTGCGAGACACACATCCGAAGCTTCGCCAAAGTGAAAGGTAAAGGTGCAGCCCAGCAATTGCTTGCTCCTGCCACTTCTGGTGGGAGGACCTCCACTCCCAAGGTAATTTGGCCTACCCTTCCACGCTAGCCAGATTTCACACTTTACTCCACCGCACACGACTGGCAAATCAACTAGCCGTGGGGCACACATTTACACTGCTGGCCGGACAAAGACCAGAGATTTAGGAAAGCGGCCCATTGTTTCAACTGCCACACCTAGAAGCTTTATAAGAAACGGGCTTAAAAATAATGATCAGGCAGACCATTATGGCACGCTAGTGACACCAGGGACCTCCACCACTTTAGACAAAATAGAGTTACGCCATGCTAGCGTTATCACAGAGTCACGACCGTTATTTCAAAGTATTTATTTCCAATTAAGAAAACTTTAGTCAGGTCAAACGGCAAGTCCTGCGTGGTGACATAAAGTGTGGGTGTTCCCGCCTTTCCAGGCTGTCTGGTCAGCGTGGAAGAATAGGCCAAACGGCCTCTGCAGCGCTCTCTGGATCTCCCATGAGTACAGGCCATTCCAGCAGGAGCAGCAGGGCCGCAACTTTGTTGAGGAACACTTCAAAACTTGCGTTGGACAGCCCGAGACACACACGAGAGCTTGTGTTTACAAGATAAGAGCCGCGGATGGTTTTGCAGGTTTGCGCGCTTCCTTCAAAGGCCCTCGAAACAGACGGGGAGCATCCTCAGCGCGGTGTACAAGGAGGAACCGAACACACCGGCTCCAGCCGGGGGCATCGCCTGTCCGCTTGGGCAGAACGTGGCATGCGGAAAACAAGAGCACGGTGGCGGTGCACGTCATTTGGGGGGTCGAGTTGGTGGATCCCACAAGAGACTGCCGCATACTTCACAACTCCCAACCTCCGGGCTGAAAAATTGCCAAGTAGATGGAAAAATCTACAAGTGGGTTTGTGAACCTGTCTGTGGGAAACTTTAGAGTGTTATCTCCTTATATCGATAGATTTGTTTTGTCCGAGTACTCGGGCTTCCACCAGCATGGTAAAAAAAAGGAATTGACCAAATACAGTAATACCCAGGTTTACGTCGGGGACTGCATCCCTGAAAGGTGCAAAGGCGAATATCGAAACGACGTAAAATCAAAGCGATTTACAGGGTAGTAGTAGAGGGTGGTGGAGGCGAAGGCTGAGAGGCGACGGATAACGAGAAAGGGTGGACGACGATGCTCTCAGTGATTTAAGTGTGGGTTGAGGCAACGCAAATCAGGTAGCGGTGTTAATGAAGTGACGACGTATTTGTGAAACAACATAAAAGGGGGAGACGTAAATCGGGGTATTACTGTATCCCAATGCAGGATCCCCCTTACAAATGCTTGACACATCAGCGACGCAATCCTAGATCATAAAAAAGGACATTATTACACGTGTGTGTTTGCGTATTCTGACACGATTTCAAATCTCACACATTCAAGTGAATCACACTTGTGGTGCACGCCATCATGAGAAAGAGCTGTAGTAAAGCAACAACAGGCCGCTCCTAAGTACACGTACAGTTGTGTCATCAGTCCACTGCTGGATGAATGCCTTTTCACGGATTGGTGGAGGTAGTAGAGCATAGAGCTTCGAACATAGAAGTATAGCACAACAATTACTTTTGCTGCCCACTGCGTATCTCCACTACTTCTATACTGCATGTTAAGAAAATCATTGTCTCCCTGCTCATATGAGCAACAGAATGTGATGCTTTTTTCCAACTGTGGCTCCGACTTTGTGGTGGAAATTCCACATTCCTATGGTGGGGGGCCAGTTACTCCACAGGTTATAGAACATTTCACGTCTGTCAAATGGAATCAGCAGTTAAGGAGGTTTGTTTAAATCACTTGCAAAGACCTACATTAATATCCAGGACAACGCTTTACTCAATCGGCAAAAAGAACGTTACTTATCCATTTTTCTATGTAATATTATAAATAGTCCGGCTCCCCTGCTGTTCACAACATCAGGGCACCCAGTGCCATTGTATTATGAAGCAACATCTTGCTAACGAGAATGAGTTGAAACAAATCCAAGGTGACCTTGTTGAATGGACGAACACAAGTGGGGAATATTGATCTAAGGAAGGCACGTGGGCAAAACGATTAAATGTTAACGCAATCGTAAAAGAACTCCACACAAGCTCTCAAGCTGTAGGCACACCCGGTGGGGGCAGGATCCCTAGGCTGCCCAACACGGATGAGATTAAGGTTGTGACAATCTGGAAAACGACATGATGGCAACACCCGAAAATCACTTTTAAGTTTTCTTCTTCTTCTTGTTCTCCCCGAGCTTTAAAATTGTGTCGGGCAGCCAAAAACGAAACGACCTGGTTGTGGTTTTGGGTTGGACCTCCTTTGCACGAATTCCCTTTTGTGTTAATTCTTTTGTACAACTTTTTTGTTATTGTGGAAGCTTCCAAATCATGTCGCACAACTCATGACACACGGCCTAGGTACGTATACGCAAACGCCATTTGTTGTTTGCGTTGCACAGTGATTTTGCTCAAAAGCTAGTATCTGTAAAAGGTACGTTTTTATCAGTCAATATTATGATTAACAATTGATTTTTAGATGAACCCAAGTAGTGATTGGCCCAATTTTTTTGGTACAAGACCATCCACCCGACATGTACCAGGGTTTAATACCCAAATTATTTTTTCAGCTCACCTGGGTGAGTTGAATAACAATCATCATAACCATATTTAGCAATTAGATACGACGTTTCTCTTGACACTGCATCAAACATCTTCAGAACAGGACCCAAGACAGTATATTTACATTTACAATAACCTTTTCGAAAGCGCATATAAAACTATCGCCAATCACACAGTGGGTGAGTGACTGCGAAGGAGCTCTCCGCTAGCTTACACGGAGCTCAGGGGAGCCAAAACTCACCTCGGAGATCTGCAGTAGGGACTTGCCATTCAATTCAAACGTGGACGAGCAGGCGAGACACAGCAGCACCTAGGCACGTGAGACAATCACAGCGGTCATTACAGTCCCAGCACATGGACCGCAACGTCGGGCATCCTGTCGGACGGCACCAAACACAACCCAAAACACACGTGACGATGCCATGCAGCACAACCGCAAACACCACTGCGTACAGGTTTCCCTCGCTCTACGCGGCCGTAGTAGATGCATTCCCAAAAAAAAAGGGGGGCTCACAAAGCGAAACCGCACACGAGGCAGCTGCCTGCCGAGTAGCGCACACGGTACGCACGCGATGTTGTCCCACAATCTGACCGCATGGCCGCGTACAAGAAAATTCAAACCGCTGTTTGGCGAATTTTAGGTAGAAGTAGATTAGCCACATATATACACTAAATCGTACAAACTGAACCCGCATAGAGCGAGGGAAATCTGTACGTGTGATAGGATTCTATTCTAACACGAGACCACAGGCAGATGTCCTTCATGAGGTTACAGTTTTCGTCAGCTACAGCGACATCCCTGGTGCCGTTTCCTCGTCACCACAGCAATGTACAAACGAAGACCGATCCTGGTACAGGTTGAGGTTTTCAAATTGTAAGTGGAATGGTGGACTCTTTCAAACCCTCTACGCCAGCGTGCTTTTTGGAAAGGAGAGGGGAGGATATTTTTGCTGATTCCTGGTGTATTCCTCAAGCTTGTAGCTAGTTTCTCACGTTATAAGTCGAATTTCAGTTATTTCAATAAATCACCGAACCTTCACCTGTATCGGATCATCCATTTACCTCGTTACAGACTTTAACGTTTTCAACCTGAGGTGGAAAGCATTCAAAGCTTATGCAAGATGTTCAAATTTTGCAAAAGAGCATTTCATCAAGATTCTCAGGTTAGATTGGAACCGGCAAAACCTGCATTCTAAGGCGTATGTACCCGATATGAGACCATTGCACATCTGTCAGATTTAAAAAATATTTTCATAAAGACAGAATTATATATTTTTTTCACTAATTCCAAATAGTACTCATCTGCAAGCTTTCATCGTGCTTAATCTTGCATATCGAAAAGAGGAACTTCTTGCCTTCGAGCCGTCTATGTTTGCACAGTGCTTTGCTCAGTGATTTAATAAAGTGCCCACAGCAGACAACTGCAATTGTAACACACTGTACATGAATATCATGACGGCAGCAATCACTGGGTAACTTTGCCTCAATTAGCCTCGGGGCTTGTGACACGGTTTCTGGGAATTCCAGCAATGCAAGGGGCACGGTCGACGAGAAAACCATATTACTACGAGACAATCAATTCCAATGCCATGTGTTCATTGTCCAAGTTACATTTGTTTTGCTTTGTTTTCTCTCAATCTTATTCCAGCTGTTCACGTCGGCGGTATCTTAACAGGCAGGCAAAGTTTCTACGTCGTTTGCTCGCAGCCAGCAATGCATCAAGTTGAGTCAAAGAATGGCCCCAGAATAAAATGTGAAAGTTCGACAGTACTGATGAAGCTTTTGCAATACACCTCCTCATACAAACTCGGGGCACACCTTTTATATGCCCTGTGAAGAATTTCCGTGGCGTGTCAAACGCAGCGTTGTAATTTCCAAGCGTGAATATGCAAATAAAGTGACGGAATAAATGTTGTGGGTTTACTCTCCAACAAACCAGTGTGCTGAACTAGTAACGAATTAATCTTCTTTGGTTCTTTCGGTAAAGTCACATAGAATGAGAATAAAATAATAAATTGATAAAATAAAATAACACAATAATATTCAGACAGTCTCGTCCCTTCACCTGATGAAGGCCGCTTGTGTTGTGGCCGAAACGTCGTGAGAATATTATTGTGTTATTTTATTTTATCAATTTATTATTTTATTTTCATTGTACGTGACTTTACCGAAAAAACCAAAGAAGATGAATCCTTGCAGTCACGAAAGCTTTAAATCGAAAAATAGTAACGAATTGGCACGTTTTGTTTACGTGACAAACCTTACCAATTGGCTCTGTCGGGTGGTGGCGGGTTTAATGGCACATTTATATTTAGGTGATCTAACCCATAAAAAAACCTTTATTGTGGTATCAAGTTTCATTCCCAAAGTTCCATCACAATTCATCATCGTCTGTTGAGCCGACATTAAACAGCTTGTAATATAATCGTATGAGTAAACCACTGTGTGCCAATGCTCAGCTGAAATCTACATCTGATATTTACCTGCAACTGAATAGGGGGAAAACATTCCAGTGTGTCGCTATAGTTAGGCAAGTCTCTTAACAATTGTGTCATGAAGCTTAATGGGATGTCACCCGCATAATTATGAAAACATGTTTGTTATTTTCTGCTGCATTTCTTCTGATGCCCAACACATTTACCCACAGACAGCCTATAAAACGCTTTTTATGCACGGTGGTCACCCATCTCAGCAATATCCAGGCTCATTCTGTGCTTAGCTCTGTGCTCCGGAGGGATCGAGCATATTCTCGGTGATTTTGGCAAAGGCCGGCGGCCACACAAGTAAAACCCAACATTGGCAACCACAACAAAACACTGACTCAACACCGCCAGGTTTGGCATTAAAACTCAGTTTGTTTCAAAATCACTTTTTTTTATGCATCTTGTCATTTATTTGAAAAAAGGTTGCTTGTAAATCAATAGAATGTTCAAATTGTATGATGTTCTTTTAAAAACCTCATTATACTTTTGAACAAGGTTAATGTGTGAATAAATGCAGTTTGGATGCAGTCGACACATTGTTAGTTAATATAAGCCAAACATGAGGACATATTCCATACAATTGCAGTTATAATCAGAGTTTTACCATAAAAACAATGCGTTAATCAAAGCACTCAATGTCAAACAAAGGAGAAAAAAAATCTGGTTTTCAGAGCCGGTAGATTTTTCAACCTATTCAAATAAAAAAGAGGGCAATTTCAATTCAATAAGGGAAGCTATTTCTCCTACTTAACAGAAACCCAGTGAATAATGGCCAAGTATCCACTGTATTTACTGCCCCGTTCAAAAGCAGTGTCAAATGTTTATACTGGTATAGTAAAACCTTGGATTGCGAGTAACTTGGTCTGCGAGTGTTTTGCAAGACGAGCAAAAATAAATATTAATTTGATAAACGAGCGAGGGTCTTGCAATACGAGTAGTAGTACGTACACGCTTTGTCTGCCGAGCATCACGTGATCACAACTGATATACGAGTGCTTTGATATATGAGTGCTTTGGATTACAAAACACGTTTCTGGAACAAATTATGCTCACAATCCAAGGTTTTACTGTATAAGCTGAGTGAAGTTTAGACTTTCCTGCTCTGGTAAAGAATGACATGACAGAGCGCAAGCAATACAAGCAACCACTGACCCTTATTGACCCTGGCTCATGTGAGGAGTGACCGTAAAGTCTGTGGCCTGACACGCAAAGCAAAGAAAGACCGCTCTTTCTATATTTGGCCTAATCTTCCATGCTGGCCAGTCATCTCGGAAGAGATGAAAGCACCCACACTTTACTCCACCACACGCGACCTGCAGATCATCGATTAACTGTGGTGTACCCATTTATACTGCTGGATGGTGACCAGGGAGTTAAAACAATACAAAAAAAATGTCCATTGTTTTACTGATCCGTTTCCAGTTTAATTTGATTAACCAGATGGGTAGTTAAGAGACCAAGATCGGGGATATCGAACCAATGACCTCTGTATTGCAAGTCAAAGTGTGCTAACCATGACATCACGGCAACAGTCCCAATCTTAACCAACACAAAATGTAATTGTGTTCGCCAAACAACCCAGAGCAGCAGCCTCCTGAAAAAGTCTTCCGACTCAGCGTAGCTTTTCTGGGTAATTAAGAAATTATTATAATCACTTTTAGAGAACCCTTTGCTCTACAACAGAAATAAGAGCTAGGTGTCTTTATCATGCACTTCTCACAATCCTGTACTCATGGAGCTCTATAATTAATCTGCCTTTTTAGGTAATACAATTCCAAAATAACACATACTGAGGTTTTTGTTATATTCCCCGGGATTTAAAGAAAATGTTGGCAAAAGTATTTCATCAATAATAAGATCATAAACTGAAACGTTAGAATAATTTAAATTCACTTTGTCAGTCTTCTGTATTCGTGACTCCCACCCATACAGTGTCGCTATTATGTCTTTCATACTTCTTCCGCCAATTCAACTCAACGTGTATTTTTAGATATACAAGTTATATACATAGTAGTATGATATATGTTTAAAATAGTGAGTTTACTCAGCCACCGGGAGTGGTGGTGACGTCACAGGGCTCCACGTGGTAGTGGAGCCCCGGGAAGGAGAGGAGCCTAGCAAGTAACCAGCCAAGAAACTCGAGGCATACATTATTTTCAATAGTAGCATGATTATTGCAGGCAAAGTGAATATTGATCCCTATTCTTTGGTTCGTTCGGTAAAGTCACGTAGGTAGAAAATATAACAGATCACGACGTTTCGATCGCCACACAAGCAATCGACGTTTGATTATTGAAGGAAAAGTGACAATTGCTTGTGTGGCGATCAAAACGTCGTTATCTGTTATTTTTTCGACCTACGTGACTTTACTGAAAGAACCAAAGAGTATGGATTCCTGCAGTCACTAAAGCTTCAAATCAAGAATATTAATCCCGTTTAACATATTCTTGGTTCTTTCGGTAAAGTCACGTAGAAGGGAATCAATAAAATAATAAAAATATAAAACAATAAATATATCACGACGTTTCGACCGCAACACAAGCAATCATCATCAGGTGTGAAAACCACAAGAAAATTTTTTGAAAAAAGTGGCGGTTATTCTTAACGTTAGCGCCACGGAAAGCGATTTGACAGTTTGTTTAGATGGACGAGTCCATCTATGTTCGGAAAAGAGGAGGGGGGAGACGAAAAATAATGGATGCGGTCTGAAAGCCACCGTAAGCATGAACAATCACTTAAGACCCGAAATGGTTTATAAAATCCTTCCAATGATTGCTAAACCAGAATCCATCTTCTCGGTTTAAATTGTCTCTGTGTTTGTATATGTGGATAGCCTCATGAATGAATCTCTCATGGTAGCCAGATGGCTTGCAAAGAACCTCTGTCTTGGAGAAGTCAATGTCATGTGAACCTACTGAATTATAACAGTGATCTGCCACGGCCGAGGTGTTTGTCCTACCGTGTTTCAGGTCTGCTTTGTGTTCACGAATGCGGTCCGAGACATGGCGTTTGGTTTCTCCAATGTAACTACTACCACAGAGGCAACTTAGTTTGTAGACACCAGGATACTGTATATCCGGAATCACATCTTTTACAGACGGAACCAGATCACAGATTTTATGTAATGTGTTGAATCGGACCTGGATCTTGTGTTTATTCAAGATTTTGGAGATCTTTTTTTATGATCCCCGCAATGTAGGGTAAAGTGATGGTTTTGAAAGGCTCCTCAAGAGGGTCCTTCTTCATGGTTGGAGTGATAGCTTTGCGGATTGTGTGGTCGGAATAACCATTAGCCTTAAGCGCTTGGTGTACATGCTTGAGTTCACTGGCAATGTGTTCCTGGTCGGATATGCATTGGGCTCTATGGTGCAGAGTCTTGATGAGGGAATTCTTCTGGGATGGATGGTGGTGGGAATCCGGTTTCAGGTAAGCATCCGTATGGGTAGATTTCCTGTAGACAGAGTGGCTCGTTGAACCATCAGGTCTCTTTTTTATTAGGACATCCAAAAAAGGTAGCTTGCCATCTTTTTCGACTTCCATGTTAAATCTGATGGCTGGGTGTATGGAATTGATGTGGTCGAAGAATTGGTCTAGAGCAGGCCGGCCATGTGGCCAGATGACAAAAGTGTCATCCACGTACATCTTCCATAAGGTTGGGCACAGAGTGGCAGCCTGGATACCGTCAGTCGCAAATTTCTCCATGAAAATGTTGGCTACAACCGGAGATAGGGGGGAGCCCATTGGGGTGCCCTCAGTTTGTTTGTAGAAATAAAAAGAGATCCCACCAATAGCCTCGTCATAAAAACCAACAAACTGAGGGCACCCCAATGGGCTCCCCCCTATCTCCGGTTGTAGCCAACATTTTCATGGAGAAATTTGAGACTGACGCCATCCAGGCTGCCACTCTGCGCCCAACCTTATGGAAGATGTACGTGGATTACACTTTTGTCATCTGGCCACATGGCCGGCCTGCTCTAGACCAATTCTTCGACCACATCAATTCCATACACCCAGCCATCAGATTTAACATGGAAATCGAAAAAGATGGCAAGCTACCTTTTGTGGATGTCCAAATAAAAAAGAGACCTGATGGTTCAACGAGCCACTATGTCTACAGGAAAGCTACCCATACGGATGCTTACCTGAAACCGGATTCCCACCACCATCCATCCCAGAAGAATTCCCTCATCAAGACTCTGCACCATAGAGCCCAATGCATATCCGACCAGGAACACATTGCCAGTGAACTCAAGCACATACACCAAGCACTTAAGGCTAATGGTTATTCCGACTACACAATCCGCAAAGCTATCTCTCCAACCATGAAGAAGGACCCTCTTGAGGAGCCTTTCAAAACCATCACTTTACCTTACATTGCGGGGATCACAAAAAAGATCTCCAAAATCTTGAATAAACACAAGATCCAGGTCCGATTCAACACATTACATAAAATCCGTGATCTGGTTCCGTCTGTAAAAGATGTGATTCCTGACATACAGTACCCTGGCTTCTACAAACTAAGTTGCCTCTGTGGTAGTAGTTACATTGGAGAAACCAAACGACATGTCTCGGACCGCATTCGTGAACACAAAGCAGACCTGAAACACGGTAGGACCAACACCTCGGCCGTGGCAGATCACTGTTATAATTCAGTAGGTTCACATGACACTGACTTCTCCAAGACAGAGGTTCTTTGCAAGCCATCTGGCTACCATGAGAGATTAGTTCATGAGGGTATCCACATATATAAACACAGAGACAATTTCAACCGAGAAGATGGATTCTGGCTGAGCAATCATTGGAAGGATTTGATAAACCATTTCGGGTCTTAATTGATTGTTCACGCTTACGGTGGCTTTCAGACCGCATCCATTACTTTTCGTCTCCCCCCTCCTCTTTTCCCAACATAGATGGACTCGTCCATCTGAACAAACTGTCAAATCTCTCTCCGTGGTGCTAACGTTAAAAATAAGCGCCACTTTTTCAAATGTTCTTGTTGTGGTTTTCACACCTGATGACGATTGCTTGTGTTGCGGTCCAAACGTCATGATAATTTTATTGTTTTATATTTTTATTATTTTATTGTTTCCCTTCTACGTGACTTTACCGAAAGAACCAAGAATATGAATCCCTGCAGTCACGAAAGCTTTAAATCAAAATTTACCCGTTTAACATGTCGGCTTTCGTGACCAATATCAACTATAATACAGGTTTTTTGGGTTAGATCGCATTATGGATGATATTGATCCTGCACAGAGGAGACTGCAGTACACAGCGCCACGAGCACGCACCTTCATGACCTCCACCTGCAGGTCCTCGTGTAGCGCCGGCGTGCTGTGCACCGTCTCCAGCACCTGGCTGAGCAGACGGTGCTCCTCCTTCTCCTCGGGTAGCCTCGACACAAAGCGCTCCTCGGCCAGCAGCCTCTGCGCACCAGCAGAGAGGCAGGCAGCTGCGTCCACCGATGTGTGTCTGGGACACTCCGCGTGAAAGCAACACAACTGGACGCACAGGGAACGGAATGGTGGCGCGGTGGTAACACCCGTGCCACACGGCCAAAAGGGCACAAAAGTTCTATTCCAAACTTGGATGCTTTTTTTTCTGCGTGGGATTCGTATTTCTCTCCCCCTGTTCTGCACTGGTTTCTTCTGGGTTCTCTGGTTTCTTCCCAAAGCTAAAAAAAAACATACCATGCAACTGGCACTGGCCAAACTTTCCCATGCTGAAAACATACCTGCAAATTACTCGGTTGGGATCACACACAGTGGCAACATCGCCCCCGACCAAGCAACCTTGGCGCGGACCCTCCTAAGATGTTTTCTTGTTCATGTTTTTGTTTTTTTGTTTGTTGCGGTTGCACCTGATTCAAGAGCCGAATGGCTCACAGGGCTATACCAAATGAATGAAACTATGAAACTATGAAAAAAGAGTCTTGAGACTCAGTGAGGCTTTCCTGGGTCAACTAAACTCTTTTATTTTACCACGTAAGGCCCACTGAGCTATATAGCTCTTTTTCAGAAGAGACCTGGCCACAAATGATACCTCAATGAAGTGGCTTATCACGTGGGAATGTTTTGCAGTCAAGTACTGTACTCTAAACGCATGTCTCTAAATGTGGAGGGAAAAACTGAAAGACTCGGAGAAGAATCCACGCGACTACGGGGAGAACATACAAACTCCAAATATACAGGCGTCAGGGTCGAGATCGAACCCACGACCTCCTGAATACCAGGTGAGGTAGTTAACATCTCACCACCGCGGCGACATCATCAAAGGTAATTAAACAAGCGTAACAATAATACAACTCACACAATGCTTCAGACAGCCTGTAAGGTGGCCTACAGTTATTAAAGCCTATGTGGGGTCTTCCGGCTCGGGCCATGTGTTGAGTTTTTCTTCTTTCAGGCTTTCATCACGCATTACTGTGGGAATCTTCAGAAGTTAAAGTTCTTGACCCAGCAGTATGCAGTGTGTGGCGAAAGCCTGAGAGATAAAATATCTCAACACGTGACCTAACATGGAACACCATACTTTGCTTACGGGCTGGTGCAGAAACTTACAAACTAAAACTCTTCAGCTACTGACAAAATCACGCGGAATGTGCCTGATCTCATCAGATCTCGGAACCTAAGCAGGTCTGAGCCTGGTTAGTGGTTGAATGGGCCACCACCACATACAGACGGTTGTTGGAGGAGGTGGCTGGGGGGCTATGTGGTGAGCAGCAGCATAAATATGGCAAATTACATTGCTTGCTATACTATGCGTCTGCAACTATGCTTCCCACCTTCACCAACCAGCACGGAGCAGTGTGGTGAAGTATAGTCAAGTAACCGCATGGCTAACATAGGGTGAAGAGGACTTCATACAGCACTGGCTTGACAAAGCACTGAATATGCTTACGAATACCCACACGAAATTAGCCAAAACACCCCGGAGTCTATACTCAACGAGGCCTTTCTCGGTAAATGAAGAATCCTGTTACGGTTGTTGTCGTTGGTACCTGCACTCCGGCCAAGGCATACTGCGAGAGCTTCGTGTTCTTGGATTCTAGCGCCAGTCTGAACGGAGTGAGGCATTTCTCCCTGCAAGACAGCCAGACACAGTAGAAAGATGCATTACACAGCACACAACATAATTGAGAGTGGGGACACATTCAGTCTACAAGGGGCGCTCCGTGGGTCTCTCCTGAAGCCGGTTCTCGAGAAGGTGCTCTTGAAGTGCAGTCCACCTGGTCCATCATATCTGCCCTGGGCTTTAATCCCCTCTATTCCCTCACTCACATCACACAAATATATGAAGGGCGCTACAATGGCTAGATGTTAACTCCCTCGCCTGGCATGAATGAGGTCATAGGTTTGATCCCAACCCTCACGCCTATATTTTTGGAGTTTGCATGTTCTCCCCGTAGTCACATGGACTTTTCTCCGGATCCTCCGTTTTTTTCCTCCATATTTAGAATCACACGTTTAGAGTATTTGGCTGCTGTAAATTTCCACATGCTAAGCCACTTCGTTGAGCTATCATTTGTGGCCAGATCGCTTCTGAAAAAGGACTAAGTAGCTTAGTGGGCCTTACCTGGTAATATATAAAAAAACATAATGCTCTATGTCATCATAGAACATAACAATGCTTCCTCTGTAAGTAGTTATTTAACGGTGAAGACATGTGGGAGGTGAACAGTGTATTCTGAGTATTGTATGTACTATGTATATTGAATTTCTTTCGCACCATACGTGGCCAACTGTACTAATCGGAGGTGCCGGGGGAAGGGCAACAAACTAAACACACGAGATAATGGAGGTGGGGTCGGTAGCGGTAAGGGAGACATGGGTGAAGGGGTTAAAAAAGCAACAATGGAACGCAGCAAGCGTAGTCCAGCACCAATCAGAACAAAAAAGCCACAATGACTGTGAGAAGGCAATACAGAAAAGTGGATTGAATTCATCCATACAAAGCTCCGTGTGGTCACCTCGTATGTGTCGTGGGCTTTCTCCGGGTACACTGGTTTCCTCCCAGATGCCAAACTCTCATTAATGGAATTGGCCAAACATCCATATTGCAGGACGATCCAGAAAAAAAGTCTACGCGAGGCTTTGCTTGGAAAATAAAGGATAATTATGTTTCATAATTATGCATGGGAAATTAACGGTGGTTGTTCCATAATAATGACAAGTACATGGCACGGGATAATGAGTACCGCCCCAAAACTAGTTTGATCAGGGAAACACTTTGATTTTGACTCCACTGACTGTGCTAATTAGGAAAAAGTAATTTTCGTGGTGAATTGAATGTCATTAAAGATAAATAAGACCGACTCCAAAGGACAAATGAAGTACAGACTGAGATGAAAGTGCTCGTAACATAATTTGTACGGCATCTCAAGATTCATGTATGTGTAGATGCTTGATATAACCAATTTGTATTATGCTGTCGTACAATCCTGAGTTCCTTTGCAGAAACAAACCAATGTGGCTACCATATGTATTGATCGAGAGACGACCATATTTGATTATCCACAAGAATTGATCTTGTGTACAAGGAAAACTCATTATTCGTCTAAGATGTGTCTGTTATGTACATTAATTGTATTCCTCTGTGTTGAAGCCTGCAGAGTTACATCATCTCCAACGGGAGACACGAAGAATTACCGCTGTGCCAGTCAGAAGTACGTTGAGGTACAACCGTAATAAATTACTTGCAGGGAGATTATGCACATCGCAGTGCTGTTATGAATTAAAAGTCACGACTATTAGAATTACAGAAATAAATACAAGTACTGTGTTAAACTTTGTTAATTCTCCACAGAATTTGTTGGGGCGCCTGAATCAGGCATAAAACCGTCAATCCATGCACGCAGATGCCAATGCGCGTCGATACAACTGCACTTCCCCGAGCCCATAGCCACACGACGTGCGTGCGTCTCATTGCCAACCCAACAGGATAACCTTTAGACAATGGCATCAGTGACGACAAAGCGGTTACCCTGGTGCCTGGGTACCAGCTCTCAAACAGTTCGCTGGTTCGCTGAGTTCAACGGTATCCTGCGCTCTCGTGGTGGACTTTAGTAAGCTGTGCATCGGCATAAAATTAATCGTTGGTGAACCAAACGCCTTAGCATTGTAACATCGAACTACCAGAGCCGAATTTTCTCATTTGTGACACTGGATTTGGGACTGTGATTAGAGGAGTGATGCTGTATTTATTTATAAATCTACAGCTAATCGTTGTGAAAAAAAGCAACTGCTACTTTAATTCACAGTGAAACTGTAGTCCTTCACATTTCTGTCCAACCCATGTCATCTTATTCCCACCAATCATGGACACAATGAGTGTGAAACAAACATTTTAAAATTCGTGTTTAACAAGATGAACACTGTTTCTAGGGTATGCCAGCCCTTGTTCAATGAAACAATATAAATATAAACATAACTGAAAGCAACATTATTACACAAATGTGTCTTTTTTATCTCATGAAAGTAAACATCAAAAAAAGGAATTAAACCCTAATATCTTTAAATGGTATCACAATCTTCTTTGGTTCTTTCGGTAAAGTCACGTAGAATGAGAATAAAATAATAAAATAAAAATAAGACAATAAAATCTCACGACGTTTCGTCTGAACGAAGCTCGTTCGTTGTCCGTGGTGCTGGTCGTTGATGGGAAGAAAAACTGCCATTTGTCGCAATATGGCATTGTGATATATAACGACTTATTGTTGGTGGCTCAGCTGGTTGGAGAGTATATAGAGTTTATTGATAATATTGAGGTAGTTTATATTTTGGTTTTCATTGGTTTTACTATGTGGTATTCATTATATAGTGTAGTGTATACCCAGTTGCTTTGTGATTAATAGCTCAGCTTATTGAAGAATATATTAAGTACAATTATTATATTGATGTAATATAGACTTAGTTTTTTCTCACATTGGTTTACTGTATGATAGTTGGGTAGTTGGAGGCCCTTTAGCGTCCATATACTAAATGCCTCTGTTGATATGTAAACTTTGACTTTAACACAGCTATTTTTTACCATTGGAAACCTCATTTGCCAGTAACAAAATATGATAATTGGGGTTTTACCCTTTTATCTGGCAACAAAACTGACACCTTTTTTTACAAGGAGTCATGTTTACATTGACCACAATACCTGCGGTTGGAACGCAAACAAAAAACAACTCTGATAATGTATGCACTGTCCTTGAAATTGATTGGTCCACACCCGAGACAGCTTTCTTTAGAGCTCTAAAGAAGTTAACAAAATGGAATACATTCATATACAATACTAAATAAAATACAAAATTAGACCTAAAAACACAAAAATACAGATTCCCAAAAAATGTAATCCACAACTCATTGCGTGTGTGTCGATGACATTGGCTCATATAAATCACTAGGGCAAACACATCATCAGTTTGCGAATCAAATTTTGACCCCTAATTGTGACAATTCATCGACCTGTGCACGTGGTGACTCATGCCATGCTCCATTTGTTCACCTTCGTGTGCACTGCAGACATCTATAATGGCCCTATCAGATGAAAACAACTCTGCAGGGTATATCTAGCCTTCGTGCCAAGAAAGATGCCTCTGTCACAAGAGATGGGCTGAGGCAGCTTCGGCTCAAGTGCCACACACGACCCAGCTGCAGGCAGAAGTGGCGTCGCGACAAGGGGCTGTTAATGCAAACAGCTCGATTAATGCAGAGGACACCTCGGAGCTTGCAAACAAAACACTGGAGGCGTGTCTGCTGGTAGCACTCCATGCAATTTTTTTATTACTACATTCATCAAGTTCGCAATTTACCCGGTTTGCTTGCGCATCAATGTAGCCAAAAACACTAATATGGAATTGGCCAAGCTTTCAATGCGTGGCCTTCCTTAATACGCATTTCCTGGATATATAAATGCATTATTAGAAGCATTTGATTAAATAGAAACAATATGGACTGATTTCAACGTCACTATGTCTCAGCATAAGTCATCATAACGGAACCGGTAGAAAAACTAAAATAACTTTATCGGTACCGAGGCTCCCACAAGCCCTTGCAGGAGGGCGTGTGGCACAGTTTGGCGCCAGCTATCATAGAATGCGGTCGTGTCGCTACGGTTCTCTGCGGTGAGTACAATGTCTTTAAAAGCAACAGTGGTATGCCTCTGTGATCCGAGATTCAGCGGTGAACGGGACCCCACCCTGCAATTTCCAGATGTCTCGGAACGGGAAAGGGTTGAATTGACCTCTCACTGAACACTAGATGCTGCTCCTTCATGCTGTATACTAAATGCCACACAGTGAGTGTGGTGTGCTGAGTGGGTGTGTGAGATGGGCTGCTGGTTTACCTGAGCTGATGTGGGGGGATATCACTTCCGCTGGTGTGGGAGTCCAAGGTGTCTGCACACAAGGGCAAGGGGACAGCCACTCATAAGCATGCGCACGCACACCCACCGTGGTCCAATTAAATATGCAGGCCCATGCCCCTTACAGACGATGCTATTTTAATAACGCATTGCCAAGGCAACTTGAGCTAAAATCTCAGGGACTGTGATGGTGATGGTGTTAAAGGACAGGCTGAGAATACACTGCCACCGACAGCATGAACAGATTGCCGTACACCTTTGTTATAGCATTACTAGTAACTGGTGGGAAAATTTTTCCCAGGTGTACATTTTGTAAAATCAATACACACATTAATCACATGCACATACAATACAAAGATCTCTTGTATGGCCTTAAACAGACTGTTTGGGCAGGTGCAATTATAGCGAGCACCTATGAAGATCGACACGGCACATGAGGCGGTGGTCTGGCACCACAGACGGCCACCTTTGTCTCCCCAGTTTTGATGTTCACGCACTGCACAAGGTACCCATTTAAGGCCAAGTCGACCTAAGAGACGTCCGGGACCAGATATAATACGAGTGATATAACTTGCTGCAAATGTTAACCATAGCTGGGAACTTAACCCAGATCACCCAATCACTTTTGCAAACGAAACTATCCTGGTCTCTTGAGTTCTCACCCAATTAAACAAAAATAAAACCAAGTGGCCAGATTTTTAGTACAGTGTGCTCACTGCTGCGCACCACTTCCTACTTTTTGTTCTTTCACATAGTTCATACAAAGACAAAGCCTGAACAGCTGTTAGCGAGCACCTATGAAGCCATGCAAGGGACACGAGGGAGTGGGTGGCTAGCACAACGCCTCGCCGCATTTGTCTCTCTAGTCACGATGTTTACACGCCGCACTAGGTATTGGACTCAGTTGAGGCCGAGTGGACCTTAGCGGAGAACCAGGACCGGTGTTGGCCGTGAGTGGGAATCGAACTCGGGTAGCGGGGTTCGTCGCGCAGTGTGCTAACCGCTACGCCACCGCTCCCCACAAAAATACGTACCCACAAGAGCCGCCATTCGCCACAAAGTGGTGATGTCACCACGATGCCTGTGCCAGGCCAGGTGTACTTTGAGGCCATGTGATTTGTCGAAGGCTCACTGACCGGTCATGAAACAGATACAGGTGCCATGGGATGACTGACTGATATGATTGTCAGATGCACCAGCTGTGCCCCCTACCGTACCAACTTGCTGCAATGTATCTGCCCAGAGCTCCGCTCGTTGTGAGCATCGCTCCTCTGCCCTCCGTTTTTCTTGGAGGGCGACTGCCTCCAACTGTCCAGTAGCGTCCTTCACGAGCATTATCCATGGAGGCCAATCTTGACACCGCTGGTGGTAGTCCACTCAGCTCCATAATTTCCTGTACCGTATCACTTCTCTTTTCCAGCGCATGTAGTGCCCCGTTTAGCCCCCACACACACATATTTTCACGTACATAACTGGGCCAAGCCTTTCTGAAGCTCAGTCTATCCCGGTCAAACCAGAATGTTTGTAAACTTTACAGTGGCCTACTGGTGGCCTGTAGAGAGAAATCCATGCAGCCAGGACTGCTCTTCTCTGTCAAAAGGCCACGTGGCTCCTGGAGTTAACGCCTGCCCCAGGGCTTGGCAGTCTGATCACACTAACGCGCTCCAACCACACACACACACACTCTCTCTCGTTATACACAGGTACAATGGTGAGCGGTGGCGCAGTAGATTGCACACCGAGTTGTAAACCCTGCCGAGCCACAGTTCGACTCCTGGCGAGTGATATCTGAACCGGACCCGAGTCTGTCCGTCTCTTCACTTGACCGACCCGCAATGGCCAGGGTGGTGAAGTCTGGTCAATCAACCTGATGACCGACACGGGGTGGGGAGGCCTTCATCCAGCAGTGGCTTGACAAAGTCCTGAAAACGTATATGTTAAATTTTGATTTAAAGCTTTCGTGACTGCAGTAATTCATATTCTTAGTTATTTCGGTAAAGTCACGTTGAAGGGAAACAACAAAATAATAAAATATATAAAACAATAAACATTCTCACGACGTTTCGACCATAACACAACCGTTTGTGTTATGGTCGAAACGTTGTGAGAATTTTTATTGTTTTATATATATTTTATTATTTTGTTTGTTTCCCTTCAACGTGACTTTACCGAAAGAACTAAGAATATAACGTATATGTTGTATACATATACTGTAGATGCAAAGATCTCCCTATGGCCTTAACGGAGTATGTGCTGTTAACGAGTACCTATTAAGGCCAGCACACGAGGGGGTCGGTGGCCAGCACCACGCCCGACCGCCTTTGTCTCCCCAGTGCTGTTTACACAATCGCACCGGGCACTAATTTAAGGCTGAGTCGATCCACACGTGAATACACATACAGTACATACAGACCCATACATTGTGCATACACTGTACATACAGATGCACCTCCGATGAGCACGGTTGGCTACGTACGGTGCGAAAAAAGTTCAGCATACATACTTACACATGGTACAGCACTGACACGCATATATTGGTCACGAACTTGCGGTGACGTCACCACTGCGTTTGTGCCAGGCTAGGTGCACTCCCGAGGCCACGAGAAGTGGCACGGGACAGACCCAGATGGTGCCACGGGTTGGCTGAGACGATTGGGAGATGCACCAGCTGTGCCCCCCCTCCCCTCACTGTGCTAATTCGCTATACTTTATCCGCCCGGCGCTCCGATCGTTGTTGTGAGCGTCGCTCCTCCGCTGTTGTCGGAGGGCGACTGCCTCCAAGCTGCCCAGCAGCAGCGTCCTTCACGAGCCTCCTCATCGATGCACACCAACACACTCGCATACTCTACGCACAGAAGACTCATCGTACATTATGTAGAGTATAACGCACAGAGCATTGTACATTCACAAGCACACACTCACACAGAAAGACAAATACAGTATATCCCATGTAGCCGTATCGACTGCTGATGCAAGTGCTAATACACACACACGCTTACAACAAAGATCCCCCGTATAGCCTGAACAGACTGTAGGGGCAAGTGCTGTTAGCGAGCACCTATGGAGGCCGGCACGGCACACGAGGTGGTGGGTGTCCAGCACCACGCCCGACCGCCTTTGTCTCCCCGGTGACGATGCTTTACACACAGCGCACCAGGTACTCATTTGAGGCCGAGTCGACCTAGGGGAGGCCCAGCACCGGTTCAGACAATCGCCACCGGCGTTGGTGGCCGCTTACAACTCACATCTACACACATGCAACTACTGTACGCACAATCATACATTACACACGGAACAGAAACCCAACCTTCCCATGGTGACCTCCACATCCCCGTGATAACTCCCTCCCTTTAACAACACTACAGTTAACCCCAGTGATGGTGATCATGGTGGTGGTGTGGGGAGCGGTGGGGCAGCGGTTAGCGCTACGCTGCGTTACGAACCCGGCGACCCGAGTTCCGATTCCCCGCTCACGGACAACACCAAGTGACGATTATCTGAACCGGCCCCTGGGCCTCCCCTAGGTCCACTCAGCCTCGAATGTGTATCTGGTGCGGTGTGTAGTAAACATCGCCCCTGGAGAGACAAAGGCGGCCGGGCGTGGTGCTCACCACCCAGCACCCTTCGTGTGCCGTGCCGGCCATCATAGGTGCTCGCTAACAGCACTTGCCCCTACAGTCTCTTACGTCTATGCCGGGGATCTTTTGTCTTTTTGATGGCGGTGATAAGGATGATTATGGTAGTATGGTGATCGTGACGATGATCGTGACGATGAGGATTATGATATACAGTGATGGTGGTGTGGCTGGCCTCACCGCAAGCCAGGCAGCACGCCTCCCTCACAGCCCTGTGCTTGTTCCCGCTAGCCTCCTTGGCCAGGCTCTTCAGGGCTTCCTCCATCGCCTATTGATCTTCACTCTGCTCAAATATCTTCTCCTACTAATCCTCCTCGTCCTCCTCCAGCGAGCAGCAAGAAGACCATGGGGTCACAGGACCCAGGCGGTGACCGTGGTTTTACAATGTCGAGAAGCAGCAGCAGTGAACAGCAACTGTCGTAGAGGATGCTGCTGATGAATGATGTTTATCAATCTACGATGACAATGATTCATCTACGATTATGAGGAATCTATGTTGAAAATAGCCGGTGGTAATGCTGTACCTGCGATAATCTCGGGCGATGAATCAATGAAGATGGGCGATTATTAATAAATGCCAACGATTATATTGGCGATGATGACGTTTTCTTTAAGATGATGATTATGCGTATATAATTATGACAATGTACAATCACGGCACACACGTACGTTGATGATGATGAATCTGTGTGGACGATGTTTAACCGATGCAATTGATGACGGTGATGATGGAGTCTATGATGACGAGTCAATGATGACACTGATGAACCGTTGATGTTAATGATGGTGATGATGATGATGCTGTACTGTATATACAATCACACAGCTGGCAGATGGCGCAGACGCGGCAGTGGGAGCCGTGGCAGGGCCGGGCCGCGTCTGACCAATGGGGAGGGCGACAGGGGGCGTGAGCTGGGATCAGCTGTACCGGACTGGCACCACCCACAGACACCACCCACAAAACACGACTCAACACAGACAAAGATCCCCCGTGTAGCCTTTCACAGACTGTTGGGGCAAAGTGCTGTTAGCGAGCACCTATGAAGGCCGGCACGGCACGCCGAGGGATGGGTGGCCAGCACCAGGCCCGGCCGCCTTTGTCTCCCCAGTGGCGATGTTTACTACACACCGCACTAGGTATCTATTTGAGGCTGAGTCGACCTAGGGGAGGCCCAGGACCGGTTCATATATTTGCTCCACCAGCATCACTAACACCGCAGGAGCATATCAGCATATGATCCAATCAGCTGGGAAGCTAAGCGGGATTTGATCCTGGATAGTTTCCATAATGCATTAAACAGGTGAACGTATTCTGTCTGGGCAGTAGAGAGCACTACTTTTGTATGGCCGATGTACATGTTGATCAAGATGTCTTATGACCCACAATTAATTGACCCCTAACATTTTTGTTCCTTTGCATATTCATTTCTGTTTTAAATAAACCTTTAAAAATATATAGAGGATTACATGGGGATCACAACACATCTGGACCAGCCTGTAGATACAGAGCAACATCTACAATGTCAAATTCGGGTGGTCAAGCCAGATAACCGTGTCAGGAGCAGCGGAGTGCATCACCGCTGTGGTGTCTTCTTCGTATTTGTGAATCGGGCATTGAATCGTTATATGTTGTATGGTCTGTTCTGGAGGACCACAGTCGCACACTGGAATTGTTTTTTACTTTCAAGTATACGCATCTGCCATGATTTGTGCACTGAGATCACTGGGTGAATTGCACCGTATACATGTCTATAATTATAAAAAAAAAATCACTCGCTGTTCTATATTTCCCCCCACGTGTTCTGGTTCATGTTCCAGCACGGTGAAGTATGGCTAATTTTCCATCACTCCCTGCTCAGCGTCGGGAGACCACATTTGTATCTATGTTTAACTTATTTTGCACCGTACGTAGCAGACTGTGCTAATCGGAGGTGTATGATCGGTGACAAAACGATATATATTTTTTTACGTTTCAGTGCTCGAATAGGTGAAATAAAGTGGCAAAATTAAACGTGGTGTTTTATTGTTGTTCGTCACTTGGCTGAGACCATTATTAGCTTTGATATTCACACGAGGTGGCTGAGACCTGGATTCACACTTCAAAGCCATGGTCTCGGTATTAGCCTCTTGAGCCACCAGCCACCTCACGAGCAGTAACTTCTGTAAGGTCACTGCCACCAATGCTACCTACTATTACGACACATCCTACGAATGCCACCAATACCAGTCACGCCAATACTTGTGTATTACAGGACTACAAAAAGACAGATCCCCTGTTCAGCCGTATACACAATGGAGACAAATGTTAGATTTCTGCTCCCCGGTGTACGCATTGACAACACCGGTGAAAGCAGGTAACACAGAGTTATCACGGGCGTCGTTATGGAGAATACGGTACTAAGTAACAACATAAATAAGAGGACCATATGTCTCAATATATCTGTCCCTCCACATACAAAATTAAATGTTATTTTTATACATCCCACCAGCCACACCGCCTTCTGGGAGTGCACAATTTCCACAGCAGTCACAAACAGTGGCAATAACGACATCATAGGAGGTGGGTGAAAATATCAATTGAGGGGCTCAAATAAAAACAATTTGAGGGCTAAGTACAAGATATTTAATGAATATGTTTTTTTTACGACTTTGGAAATGTAATGTAAGGTCGCCTCTAATAGAACACGTGGTGGACATGGGTTCACCGCTTGCGTCAGTCTATCTTGTTCTCTGCGAGTGTGGGACCTTGTGCTCTCTCAAACTAAAAACGAAACTTTTTATTTTACCAGGTAAGGTCCACTGAACTATATCGCTGTTTTTCAGAAGCGATCTGGCCACAAATTATAGCTCAAGCAAGTGGCTTATTTCGTGGACATTTACAGCAGTCAATTACCCTAAAACGCACGTGGAGGAAAAACCGGAGAAATAAAAGTCCACGCGACCACGTGAAGAACATGCAAACTTTAAATTTATAGGCATCAGGTTTGGGATCGAACCCACGACCTGCATATCAGCCGAGGTAGTTAACATCACGCCACCACGTTAACGAGTCCAGCTTCGAGAGGGTTTACTGCAGAGGCTGCTCGAAATCATGCTGGTTAATGCGTTTGAGGAGGCTTAGCCCTGCATGTTAGCCATAGCCACCCACCCTCTATGGTGGGGGCAAGTGGAAGACCCCGAAAAATTGTATTTTAATTATTTTAGCAGATAAAATATTATTAATATAGGGCCACCGTTGGATTTTTGGGGGTCCATTAACCGAGAGTAAGTAGTCCAGGAGTTGAGCTGGGAGCTTATTTGAGGGCGCGCGTGTTCATTGGTCCCACGTTCCACCGTCACAAGACGCCCCTGGTGCAAAGTCCCGCCAGCTCTGAGGCACCGGGGCTTTACACACAGGGACGGGGATCTGTCAGCTGTGCAAACTCCCGTAGGATCAGCCTCTTGGCCACCCTCATTTTGCCAAACGTGGAACTTGCAGCAGCTGGTAGACATTCCAGGCCACAGGGATCTAAGAACTTCTCAATGGGGAGCCATGGTGGCGAGATGTTAACTATCTCGCCTGGTATGCAGGAGGCCTTGGGTTCGATCCTGACCCTGAAGCCTGTATATTTGGAGTTTGCTTGCCTCTCTCTCTTCGTGGTCGCGTAGATTTTTTTCCGGGTCCTGAGGTTTTTACCTCCACATTTATAATCAACATTCGTCTCGAGTATTTGGCTGCAATAATTTCCACATGGTAAGCCACTAAGTTGAGCTATTCATTTGTGGCCAGGTTGCTTCTGAAAAAGAGCTTTGTAGCTCAGTGGGCCTTACCTGGTAAAATACAAAAAAGAGTTCAGTTTAGTTTCAATTGGGGAGGTGGGGTCATAAGTTATTAATAATAAAGCACTGCATATATTTTTTCCGATAAATATGAATGAACCAATATTCGGAATTTCAACGGAGAGCAGGGGTCACGGAATCACGAAATAACTTTTCATATCCGCAGTGATGTGTTAGACCAATGTCATGCATCCTATTATTCCTGGGGTAATCCACAACTTTACTGCACTTAGCAGACACAAATGCGAATTTGGATTAATTTAAGGATAATAGGGAGGGGCCTGAAAATTTAAGTTTTTGCGGACCCTACATCTCACCTGGATTTTAATACATTTTCCAACATTTAATACTTTACATGTAAAAGGTCAAAACACTCCCCTGTGATGTGGCATCAGACTGAGATCTCACGCCCCTCTCTGACCACGCCTCTCGCCCCGCCCCCCAACTTTACCCCGCCCTCCCACCCCCGCGTTGCACGCGCCACGTCAGCGAGCGCCCCAAACAGCTGTTGCCATGGCAGCAGCACGTGACCGTTTTGAGTTCTTGGGTTTCAAAATAATTTCAGTCCTATAAACAACTTTAATTTATGAAGCAGTGAGGCCATCACATTGTGCGGTGTGGTTATTTAATTGGTATCAGCAATAGCAACATTCGTCCCCTACTGGCAAACTAATGCCCATTCGCAGGCTGGTGCTGCGTTCACCCTGTGACACAGGGACAAGCTGCCATTAGGGGGTCCCCTAGGCTAAAAAGATGTATCATTACATTGTGATTGAAAAATAGCCCCAATTATTACAATATAAATCCAAAATAATCGAATTAGTTATCTTGCCACCATCTTGGTGGCCAATATCATATACAGTGAGGGAAAAAAGTATTTGATCCCCTGCTGATTTAGTACGTTTGCCCGCTGAAAAAGAAATAATCAGTCTATAATTGTAATGGTAGGTTTACTTGAACAGTGAGAGACAGAATAACAACAAGAAAATCCAGAAAAACGCATGTCAAAAATGTTATGAATTGATTTGCATTTTAATGAGGGAAATAAGCATTTGACCCCCTCTCAATCATAAAGATTTCTGGCCCCCAGGTGTCTTTTATACAGGTAACGAACTGAGATTAGGAGCACACTCTTAAAAGGAGTGCTCCTATTATCAGCTTGTTACCTGTGTAGTGCCTTGGATTCACTCGGACGACAATTGCCTTCCTTCCACCGTCACTTTTATTTCCATCGTTCCACACACACACACTATATATAATTTCACACACACACACTATAATTTCTCCTCTCCACGCTCCGCCAACTCGAACACTCGAATTCCCCTCAGCACCGTCCGCTCATACTCCTTGTCTCCCCACAGAGTCTCTTCTTCTCTCACCGCACACATAGTGTTCCTATCTCTATCTCCTCACACACAGTGACTCGTCTATCTCTTCACACACAGTGGCTCTGTCTATCTCTTCACACACAGTGACCTGTCTATCTCCTCACACACAGTGACTTGTCTATCTCTTCACACACAGTGACTTGTCTATCTCTTCACACACAGTGACTTGTCTATCGCTAACTCTCCCTGTACCTACCTATACCGTAATCTCTACTCTGCTCACGCTAACTCTCGCTATCGCTATTTATTGTCCTCTGGGTTCGGCTCTCAATCTATTTCCCACTAACACTTGCCGGGCTTCCACTCTTCGCATCTCTCTACCCTCTGCTGTCTCCACTTCTCGCCAACTCCCACTCGTCCAAATCACCTAGCGTTTTTATCCCCTTTCCAATCAGCCTTAATTAATTGTCACGTGCCTCGCTGGCATTATCCTGCCAGCTCCGCACCTGTCCAACGGCCCAGATTCCGTGATGCCGCCACTTAACGCTAACAGCCTCTCGACCAATCACAGCCCTCATCCCTCGACTACCTTAATTACTTTGGCTTGTTTACGCCACCCGTAACTTCATCACCTGATCGAACTTACATGACCCACACTGTTTGTATGTACTATATATGGCCAACTTACCCATGTGTATTGTCTACTCCACTACATCACCCCCCCCCCCTCCCCCCGTGATGAAAGAACCTAGCCGTCCCCGGCTACGCTATACTC